AGATGTGTATAAGAAAATATAGGTGGGGTTCGTTAGGAATTCCGCAGTCAGTTTTTGACTCAAATTTAATAAAATAAATATTAATTATTAAAAGTTATCTTGAATATGCTCATTGTACGCTTGAGAATTAATTAATATTATATTATTAAGTCCAGAAAAGTAAAGTAAAAGAAGTTATTCTCGTTTTATTGTATGAAATATAAGAAGTTAGGAGAACTCTCGCAGTTTATAAGAAATAAAGTGGTAATATTTGAAAGAATAAATATTACATGAGAATAATATTTTGGGAATATTATGAACGAGTGGTAGTATTTGAAAGAATAAATACTACGAATATATGAGAAAGAAAGCGAGAAGTTAAGAGAAAAGTAAAATCTAAACCAAGCGAAATAACGAGAAATAAAGTTGTAATGTGAAAGATGTGTTTATCCACGGGTGGAAGACGTGGGTGACAACGTTTACTGCACCATTTAACATTTTGCTAGATTTCTCAGTACCTAGTGATTGTAAAAAGACGATTTATAGCTCGTTGGAATCGCCTCATCAAGACGAATCGAATGGTGGTAAGCTCATCTCTCTGTGATCAATATTGACGGAGTTATTACTAAAAAACCATTTAATATTTTTTAATTTCAGAAATTGATCTAGTGATTGGATTTCGATGTATCTTATACCATTAGATTCGTCTCATCAAGACGAATCGAATGGTAGTAAGATCGTCTTTCTAGGATCAATATTGACAGAGTTATTACACAAAAACCATTAATATTTTTTAATTTCGGAAATTAATCTAGTAATTGGATTTCGACATATTTTATACCATTAGAACCGTCTCATCAAGACAAATCGAATGGCGGTAAGATCATCTCTCTACGATTAATATTGGCGAAGTTACGATACAATAAAGTTTTAAGTATAATTCTGGCTAAAATTATGTTAATTTTTGGCCGGAATTATGATATACAGATATAAGAAATTTTTTATATAGTCACATCTCTTTATAATCACCAAATATGGACTGTCCCAAATGTGTGACTATAAAGAGAGTTGACTGTACTTTACCCTTAATAGTCTGGGATATGCATCTCTTCAAAAGGTCAAAATTTCTCGTAATGCACATCTCACTTAAAAAATGCAAGACCAATTTGAAATATTTTTCCAGGATAAAGCTAATGTTGCTATGAGTTCTTACAAGATGGATCCAAAGACTGATCTTCTGATCCTTTATTTACTTGATCAAAAATAAACTTTATGAGAATGATTTTCTGAAATATATCCAAATAGAATGAAAAAAACAACATTTATGGGACGTCTTGAGAATGGACCATATAGGTATAGGGAAGATCTAGGAGGGTTATATTCTATTTGTGCAGAATATAGATACAATGTTTTTGATGATTTAGTTAAAATAATTTCTTTTTATGTGAAAAACAAAAAATATCTGATATATTTTTTTCTTGTATTTTGTGATTTTAATATACAATAAGAAATTTTTTATTGTAATTTTTTATTTGTATTTATTGTTATTTTTTATTTTAATAAATTAGACAAGTATGTTACATCTAAAGTTGCTTGTCTAAACCTCTTCAAAATCCTATGATTAGTTTCATCAAAATTTTACTATAGATTTATTATAGTTTCGGCAGAGTTTCAGCAGTTTCAGTATTTATAATAAGTTTCGGCAGTTTCGCCTTTCTTCAAAATTTCGCCAGTTTTTTAATATAGCTTTAATATAGTTTCAGTAAAATTTCGCTTTTCGGCGAAACGTCATCTTGCCTAAACCTCTAGGTTTCGGCAAGCAATTTTAGTTACATCAATTAGAATTAATAAGACGTCATATGAAAAGAGCATAAAGAATGTATTAATCACTGCTTACCATATGCATTGGGATTAGTGTTTCAAAAAAAACTGATCCGATTCGTATCTGCAGATCTGATCCGTGACAGATCAGATCGGACCATATATTTTATGATCTGTGATCTGATCCGAATCAAAAAAATTTGATCCATTTCAGATTAGATCAGATTGGATTAACAATTCATTTAAATTGGATCAGATCAGATTGATTTGAATGAATTCGGATCGGATCTGATTTAAAACCATTGCAAAATGGTAAATAAAAAACGTTTTGCAATGTTTTTTATTAAAATCATTAAAAAACATTGCGAAACATTTTTTTCTTCAATAAATTAATAATAAAAAATGTTTTGCAACATTTTTTATTAAGAGAAAATTTATTCATCGCACGTGCGATGACATCGCTACCCCCCATTTTATTTATCACGTGATAAATCCAATTAAAATATAGCACGATTATTGTGTTACAATAAATATAAACAATTTTATAGCTTCGTCGATAGTTTTTTTTTCTAACACTCTTTTTAAATAAAAAAAACAACCTGTTTTTTTGCTTAAAAACGCGTTAAAGTTGCTTCTTAACATTTAAAAATACTTTTATGTACTAGTAAAGTAGCTCAAAAACTTTAATTGTTCAATTATCATAAAGAAATTGGGTTACACGGCTCAAGCAGTGATTCGTGAAACATGGAAAATGATAACACTCCACAGGTTAGTCAATTGCGCACATTTTTTTTTTGTGAAATACTACTGAAATACTATTGAAAGTGCTTAAAAAAAATTAATTTGGGGTAAACGGCATATGGTATAGAGTTTTAATAGTGTTAATTTCTTAACAATTAACATCAATAGCATTATTTATTAGTTAGATAGCGTTAAATGTACATTATTTATTAGTTAGGTGACGTTAAATAGCGTTAGATATATATTAATTAACGTCACAAAGCATTATATTATTGCGCATTAATTTATTGGTATTAAATAGCATTACTTTAATGTGCTTAACAGCTAACTTATTTATTAATCTATTAAATAGCAAGAAATTGAAACTGAAGTTGAAATTCCCGTAGAAATTATTCTTGGTTCAGAATTAGAAAGTCTTGACTCTACAAATTATCCTTCATTAACACATCCTATAGAATTATCTGTTAATTCAAAATTTAGTTCGTGGGAAATTGCTGAACATTATCTAAAGGAATATGGAAGGCAAAAGGGATTTGTAGTTAATAAATACCGAGTTGAATATATTCAATTATCAAACTCAACTGTTCAAATTCCCAGAAGAAGAACATTTGCTTGTGAATATGCTGGAAAGTACAAACCTAACTATAAGTCTAAGCAAATTGATCAACAACGTAATAAAGGGTCAAAAAAAAACTGATTGTAAATGGCGGGTTCACTTGAGTAAAACTATAAATAATAATTTCATTCATGTAACGTCTATCCATCTTGAACACAACCACAAAATACTTGCTGATAATACACAATTTGCTACAACATTCCGAAAATTTAATCAATCTATAATGAATGAAATTGAACATGCAGTTATACATGGACGTTGTGATGCATATACTATAAGAAATCTATTACAACCATTATTTCCTGACCAGCTTTTTCTTACACAAGATCTTTCAAATGCAATTCAAAAAATTAAACGTGAAAAAAAAATAGCTTGAACAGATGCTTCTCATTTGTTAAAATTTCTCCTTGAATGACAAAAAGAAGAACCTATGATGTTTGTTCAACCTTTAATAAATGCGGATAGTGATAGACTGTGTGGTATATTTTGGATTACGGAAAATCAAATTATTTTGTGGACGCGTTATTCAGATGTTATTTTACACTATAATACCTCTAGAACTAATAGATATAACTGTCCATTATCTCTATTTATACTTGTTGATAATGATGGTAAATCACGTTTAGGAGCACAAGCTTTTTTAAATGATGAAACTCAGGAAAGTTATGAGTGGATTTTACAACAAACGCTAAATGCAACAGGAATTGAACCAAAAGTTATAATCACTGATATGGATCCTGCAATGGATGTGGCATGTCAAACTACGTACAAAAATGCGTATCACATACATTGCATTTGGCATATGACCTAAAATTTACCTAAACGTCTCAAAAATAAACTTGGTGCTGCAGATTTTAAGATATTTTTTCATGATTTTTGGAAAACTCGCAATTCACTATGTGCAGAGGTTTTTGAACAACGATTTCAAGCTTTATTAAATAACTTTCCCAGTGGCAGTGATTATTTACATGACCCAATATATTCAACACGCCATTCATGGGCACGAGCATTTACAAACAGAATATTTACAGCTTGTATACAGTCAACACAGCGTGTGGAGTCAATAAATGCCATTATTCATAAAGTTGTTAATTCTAGCTCTACAATGGCAGAAGTAGCTGAGGCATTAGATTCTCGAATGCAAAAAGAAGAAATAAACAAGAATTTTATAGCATGGAAATACAAATCAACAATATATCATCAGCCATTTGTTGTGGAAAATTTTTTTAGTAACGTTAATAATATAGTTCAAAAATATTTTTCACCAAGAATTGTTGGGGAAATACATAAACAAATGTGCGAATCAATAATTTATAAATGTGAAAAACTAGATATTAAAGATGCATTTGAGTTTATTGAGGATCAACTGGTGAGTAAAAAATTAAAATTATAGTAGAATGATATAATAAATGTTTAACTAGTACTATTATGTATATATTTTTAGGATCAAAATGAAATTCCCGAAAATCAAGAAAGCCAAGGAACGTCAAATGATCAAGAAGAAACCAATAATATTGAAGATTATTACGATTTTCGCCAGACATACTTAAAATCATTGTTAAATTCAGTACCAAAAGAAATGATTAAAGAAGTATGGCGTATCATTCCATATATGGTGCCAAGTTCATATCAGCATATTATTATTCTTAACGATGGAACCCATTTATGTACATGCTTGTTATTGGTTTCATATGGAATTATTTGTCGTCATTATTTTAAATTAATGATTGAAAATCCAAACGCATTATTCCATATAATGCTAATGCCAACAAGATGGCTTCTGGATGACGCTTGGAATCACATTGACTCTATTTTTAATGAAGCTTTTATCTGAACATCATCTAAAAATTTAAAGCCAATTCATGATGATAATATTGATCAAAGGATTTATCTTAATCCTAGGCATATTAATCACGTTCAAGAAGTAGAAATTTGTTATTATACACAAAAAAAAGTAGATTATGGTCGAATTATGGGACATTTTAAGAAAGCACTAAACTATTCATTTGATAATAACGATCAAAAAAATTTAGATGATATTATACTAGCTTACATTGCGGAAAAAGAAACTATTATGACTCAATTAGAAAGGGGAAATGTTCTTAAAGACAATAATACAAATAATCAATTAAAGTTGTCTGATGGTCTTACATATGATGTAGATGATATTGGAAATCCATTAAAACGTCAAGGAAAAGGGAGACCTGCTACTAAGCGATTAAAAGCTTGTAATGAACAAAAAAATAAGGCGAGTACGACACAAAAATCACAAAAAGAGAATGTACTATATGAAGAAAATATTGAAAATTCAAATGGGCGTAAATGTGGTTTGTGTCATAAAATGGGTCATTATGCTCCCAAGTGTCCCAATAAGAAAAACGTATAATATTTTAACAATTAAATAAAGTAATAATTTTTACTGTGTATAAATAATAATTTTTTAGTACATGTAAGCTAATTTATTAAGAGTTGAACAATATACAAATACAATTCTGAATTTCTAATATTTAAACTAACCTATAAAGGATATAATCCCACTAAAATCCTTATCATAAAACACTATTCATACCCTTCGTTGATTTATAAAATAGTGTGTTGAATTTCATTTTGTTTATTTCTGTATAAGCAAGGCTGTACGTCTAATCTTTACATTATGTTAATATCTAAATAAAAATTGGGCATTAGTTTGCGAGTTCAGAATTTCATTGCAAATGCACAACCACGACTAAAATATTCATACTTGTTTGTATAAATACCTCTTTCTATATTCCTCTTTCAAACACTTCGGATGCAATAAAAGGTGGCTTATCTATTATATGTGGTCGCACAGATCTGTTGTGCATTTATTCCAAAATAAATCTCAAAAATATCAAGTGTTTCCTGATGAAAAGTTTTGCCATTATCATATAAAAGAAAAGCAAAAACTAATTCTTTAAATTGAAGTATAAAAACGTATATACTTTTAATAAAAAAAAAGAATTTGTTTGATTGCTACTTGATTAAACTAATGAATTATATAAGAAAAATGATTAAAATCCAAGTTAATTTAAGTTATTAAAATTGATGAATAAAGAGAAATTTTACCTTCTTAAGCCACTGAAAAACACATCTAGATTCTTTAAAAGCAAAATCCATTAAAGATATTTGACAGAATTGCGTATCTTAGGAAATTCTTGCTATTTAATAGATTAATAAATAAGTTAGCTGTTGAGCACAATAAAGTAATACTATTTAACACCAATAAACTAATGCGCAATAATATAATGCTTTGTGACGTTAATTAATATACATCTAACGCTATTTAACGTCACCTAACTAATAAATAATGTACATTTAACGCTATCTAACATCACCTAACTAATAAATAATGCTATTGACGTTAATTGTTAAGAAATTAACGCTATTAAAACTCTAAATTAATTTTTTTTAAGCACTTTCAATAGTATTTCAGTAGTATTTCACAAAAAAAAAATGTGCGCAATTGACTAACCTGTGGAGTGTTATCATTTTCCATGTTTCACGAATCACTGCTTGAGCCGTGTAACCCAATTTCTTTATGATAATTGAACAATTAAAGTTTTTGAGCTACTTTACTAGTACATAAAAGTATTTTTAAATGTTAAGAAGCAACTTTAACGCGTTTTTAAGCAAAAAAACAGGTTGTTTTTTTTATTTAAAAAGAGTGTTAGAAAAAAAAACTATCGACGAAGCTATAAAATTGTTTATATTTATTGTAACACAATAATCGTGCTATATTTTAATTGGATTTATCACGTGATAAATAAAATGGGGGGTAGCGATGTCATCGCACGTGCGATGAATAAATTTTCTCTTTTATTAAAATCGTTAAAAAAATATTGCGAAACATTTTTTTTTCAATAAATTAATAATAAAAAACATTTTGCAACATTTTTTAAATTTTGGATTCAGATCGGATCGAATAAATTTGAATTGAATTCAGACCAAATTGAATCAAGTCTGTTTCGGATTCAGATCAGATCAGATCCATTTTTTTTTGATCTGAATTCGGATCAGATTAGATTCATCTCAAATCTGATCTGATTCGATCTGTTTGGAATACTAATTGGGATATATGATAAAATGCATATTCTTAGATGCGATGAGTGTTTAAAATTTTATTTATTTTTTAATGAATTGCAAGAAATTATATCAGTTGATTAGACTTAAGTTTTGGATGAGAAAAAGGAACGATTGCTGTATTATTTAGCATATCAAACCCAAAAAGTTTATCTTAATACACAATTTCAAGCTAGTTTACTAGCATTAGATAATGATGGTGCAATTTTTATAGTAGATTATAAAATGCGTATTCTACCAAAATCAGCTCGTGAAACTAAAACAGAATTTTTGGAAAATGTGGCTAGACCTTGCATACTGTACTAGTGTATACTAAGTCAAATGATTATGGAAATCTTGATATAGCTGCATATGATCATTGGTCCGAAGATACTAAGCAAGACGCTTGGTTTAACAGCGTCTTCATTTCATGTAGTATTTGATGTGATGCCAAAAAAACCAAAATGGATTATCATCATTTCTGACAATGGACCTCATTATCATAATACTGAAATGATGATTATTTTATCTCATTGGAAGGATTGATATAATGTTAAAATTAAAAAGTGGATATTTTTAAAAGCTGGGAAGGCTAAAACAACTATTGATTCACATCACGTACAGGTTAAAATATAAACAGTTTATTTTTGCATTTATTAAAAAAAATATAATAAAACTGCTTGAATATTTATAAATTACAGATAGCACATGCTATTAAACATTATATAAAACTTGGATTTGATGTAACTGAAGTGGAGGATATAGAAAATGCAGTCAAAAATCTACGTGATACTTCTATTGGTCAAATGAATCCTAACTGTAAAAAAAAATAAGGGTAAATAAAAACATTTGTTGGAATATCTAAGTTAAATGAATGGCAATGGCCAATAAATGGTCTATTTGCAGGTTATATCCAAGCAAGAAGTTTGCTAAATATAGGAGATTTTATCAACTATTCACCAATACAAATAGAACAATCTTCCACCATTACTATCACAAAACCTACTCCACAAATTTCAATGCCATTAATACCTCAATCATTTTGGTTTGTTTCAATTATCTCTTCAACAGGTACATTATTTCATTCATTTTACCATTATTTTGGATGTTTATTACAGTCAAACCTTGATATAGCGAACCCTTGATATAGTGAATTTTTCAGACAACTATAATAAATTTCCTCTTGCTATAACAAATTAACCAATTAAATCTCTTAAAATCTTCACTATAGCCTTATAGCGAAGTTGAGATCTGGAACCTAGGGTTCGTTATAACAAAGGTTGACTGTAATTTATATTTTTTAAACTATAAAAAACAAACCTAAATGCATGAAAATGGATGAAATCAAAGAATTATTATCAGCAAAAAAACATTGGATTTGATCCTAATAGTAATTAACCAACATTAGTATTATTATTAGAAGAATAATTGATAGCTGAAATGACAACAGGTATTACTGTAATTAAAAATTATAAAATTATAAATAATCATTATACTTAGGGCAATGACAGATATTACCTAATATCAGTTTATTATAAGAGCTTACCCCCCCTCTCCTAGGTAAGATATATTATATATGTAATTTCCTTATATAGTATATATGTAACCTAAGATTTCCAATTACCCTTCTCCCCCTAGAATATTAAGTAATATCTGTCATTGCTCTTACTATATATTCTCTGTCAAGATGTTAAAATGCTCTTATCTAAAAATCGGATTGGTGATGAAAATATACAAATGGACATGTAAGAAAAAATTCTTTATAATTTTTATTTCCAATTATATTTATTTATCAAATAAATAAATGAGGCTTACAATAGTATTGATGAATATTTTCCACTTCAACCTAGATGGACACTAAAGGAAAACCAGAAATTTGAAAAAAAAAGGGAAGTACGAATGGCGAAAAAAATAATTAGTTTATTACAAGCTTTTTTTCATGTAGGTAACACTAATAAAAGTAACTGTTATTCTGCTCATGATATGCTAAAAAAGCTAAATGACATGGCAAACAAGGGTGAATTGGAATTTAAAATAATACTGAGACTTGAAACTATTCAGAATTGGATTGCTAGTAGGTATTCATCTACTTGTAAATGTGAAATGGCTGATATTGTTTTACAACGTGAAGAACAAAGGCATTAGAATTTTCATCTATATGATGATATAATATTTTAGTAATAAATAATTTGTAATAAATAAATAATTTTATAGTAAATATGTAAAAAAAACTGAAAAAATAAACAAATTGTATATAAAGAATAATAGCTGTATAAAAAAAAGTCATACATAAGCTGTTTTATGAAATTGAATTTAGTTATATATAAGAAACTTTCTGGAATCTGAAGGTCCTTCAAGGTAAACAACTAAATAAACATGTTAAAGTAAATTTTTTTTTATTTATTTATAAATCGCAAGTATTATTTATTTGTATAAAAAAATTTTAGCTGATTTAAACCACTCTATACTTATTTAGGCGATTTGTGTCCAACTGTCCATAAATGCATTTTATTAGGACCCCGGATATCTAATATAAAGGTCATAATGGACTTTTGGCCAAAAATACCCCTTTTTGCTAAAACTCAAAAAATCGTTTTTTGTAAATATCTCAGCATCCAGTGATTCAATTTTAATGAAATATTTTTTATTTTGTAGCCCTTATGTAGCTCTACAATTTAAAAAACAGTTCATCAAAATTGGCCTACTGGATGCCGAGATATTTACAAAAAACAATTTTTTAAACCCTGAAAAATGGGTCAATCCGAAAGTGTGACTTATGACCTGTTTTGAAGATATCTGGGATCTTATTTTATTATAAAAATTAATCCAGAAATTGCATAGTAAAATTCTGCACGTAATTAGCAGATCACGAATTAACTATGTAAATTTGGCTAGAATTAAGAATTATCCCTTAAACTGTAAGCAATTGCGGGCAAATTTGCCCGCAATTTTACCAAATTTCAGCTCTCATCTAATTTTATGAAAAATAAAGCAATTTTAATAAAATTTTTTTCTAAGATAGTTTAAATTATATATTGTGCAGCAATTATTATCATTTATTAATTATATATTAGAAAATCAAAAATTACCCATTGGTTAAAAGTTGTATTTTAAGATAATCACAAAATTTTAAAAAACTTTGCACTTAACTTTGACGATTTCATTGATAATTAATTGTAGCTANGTAACAGTACTGTCAAACTTATAAATGTAATGGTAAAGATGTTATTATTGGGATAATTATTTTTTTTATTATATTTGTTAAATATTAGTGTACTCTGCTAACTATTGATCTTTATTTTTTATAGTCATTTATTCTAAATCTAAATAAAAAATATCAAGCATTACTAAAGAAAGCAGCTGATTATTATTTAAATAAAGTTAATATTTAGGATTCACTACTAAAGTTGAAAGTTCATCTTTAGATTTAACATTCAATTTGATTTTCATTTTAAGTGCTAAAGTGATGAGATTCAGTAATTATAAAAAGACAATTAATAGCTTGTTGAAATTCTCTTGTCAAAAAGTCAAAATCAACTATAATAATTTGGATTGTAATATTGTTTATATGCATCATTTCTTTTAAAAATTGTAAGTATTTGAAGCATATTTTATCATGATATTTTCTTTCCTAATATTGATTTTATGCACAATTTTCTACTATTTTAAAATAATAGTTTGTTACTTTAAACTATAGGAAAGGTGGTATAATAGTCATATTGTGGTATTTTTTGATGATTATCTTGAATCAGTTAATGGATGGATTCTCTAATGCAATTTATACTGATGTTTTATGTTCTTAACTGATTATTTTCTTCATTAGCATAAGAGGTGAAGTGGAAAGTTGCATTCAGAAATGTCTTGATTGAAGAACACAAAAAAGAAAAAATATAATGGAATTCTTTCTTTTAGTTGACAATTTGAATTCATTTACATAGAAACAGCCATTACATCCATACTCTCAAAAACAGAGAGTGATTTGTCAAAACTACACCAGGCTATAATTCTTATGTTTAAACTAATGGTATCCACTCTACCAGAAAAACTTTTTGAAGAGATATTATTAATGCCTGTTCTTTGTATTCAATTTAATAGTAAGTTAAAATTTTTATTTGTTAATTGCAACTGTTTTACTAAAGCTTTGATTGTCATATTATAAGAGCAAGTACTGTTTTTTCAATCATGGAATCTGATATATCAGAAGAAGTAACAGTACTGTCAAACTTATAAATGTAATGGTAAAGATGTTATTATTGGGATAATTATTTTTTTTATTATATTTGTTAAATATTAGTGTACTCTGCTAACTATTGATCTTTATTTTTTATAGTCATTTATTCTAAATTTAAATAAAAAATATCAAGCATTACTAAAGAAAGCAGCTGATTATTATTTAAATAAAGTTAATATTTAGGATTCACTACTAAAGTTGAAAGTTCATCTTTAGATTTAACATTCAATTTGATTTTCATTTTAAGTGCTAAAGTGATGAGATTCAGTAATTATAAAAAGACAATTAATAGCTTGTTGAAATTCTCTTGTCAAAAAGTCAAAATCAACTATAATAATTTGGATTGTAATATTGTTTATATGCATCATTTCTTTTAAAAATTGTAAGTATTTGAAGCATATTTTATCATGATATTTTCTTTCCTAATATTGATTTTATGCACAATTTTCTACTATTTTAAAATAATAGTTTGTTACTTTAAACTATAGGAAAGGTGGTATAATAGTCATATTGTGGTATTTTTTGATGATTATCTTGAATCAGTTAATGGATGGATTCTCTAATGCAATTTATACTGATGTTTTATGTTCTTAACTGATTATTTTCTTCATTAGCATAAGAGGTGAAGTGGAAAGTTGCATTCAGAAATGTCTTGATTGAAGAACACAAAAAAGAAAAAATATAATGGAATTCTTTCTTTCAGTTGACAATTTGAATTCATTTACATAGAAATAGCCACTACGTCTATACTCTCAAAAACAGAGAGTGATTTGTCAAAACTACATCAGGCTATAATTCTTATATTTAAACTAATAGTGTCCACTCTACTAGAAAAACTTTTTGAAGAGATATTAGTAATGCCTGTTCTTTGTATTTAATTTAATGGTAAGTTAAAATTTTTATTTGTTAATTGCAACTGTTTTACTAAAGCTTTGATTGTTATATTATAAGAGCAAGTACTGAGATATATCTGGCTAATTGGTCAACAAATATGTGGCTAATAGTTTTTTCAATCATGGAATCTGATATATCAGAAGAAGTAACAGTACTGCCAAACTTATAAATGTAATGGTAAAGATGTTATTATTGGGATAATTATTTTCCTATTATATCTGTTAAATATTAGTGTATTCTGCTAACTATTGATCTTTATTCTTTATAGTCATTTATTCTAAATCTAAATAAAAAATATCAAGCATTACTAAAGAAAGCAGCTAATTATTATTTAAATGAAGTTAATATTTAGGATTCACTACTAAAGTTGAAAGTTCATCTTTAGATTTAACATTCAATTTGATTTTCATTTTAAGTGCTAAAGTGATGAGATTCAGTAATTATAAAAAGACAATTAATAACTTGTTGAAATCCTCTTGTCAAAAAGTCAAAATCAACTATAATAATTTGGATTGTAATATTGTTTATATGCATCATTTCTTTTAAAAATTGTAAGTATTTAGAGCATATTCTATCATAATATTTTCTTTTCTAATATTGATTTTGTGCACAGTTTTCTACTATTTTAAGATAATGGCTTGTTGAATCTTAATAGCTTTAAACTACAGAAAGGGTGGTATAATAGTCACATTGTGGCACTTTTTGATGATTATTTTGAATTATTTGATGAATGGATTTTCTGATAGTATGAGAAATGCAATTTATACTGATGTTTTATGTTCTTAATTGCTGATCCGTTTAAAATCGGCACTTTTTTTGGGGTTAATTAATGGTTAAATTTAAGCAAAAATTGCACAATTGTAAGAAAACTATATAATACTAGATAAGGGAATAATTTTTCATTATATATAATAAAAATTATATAATATATGTAAAAAAACCCAAGGAAAAATAATATGCTAAAATATTTGTACCTTTATTATTGAAAAAAACAACTTTACATTTCACGCGCGTCAGATTTAACTTTTATATGCGAATTTTGATAACTTTTTATTATATTATTATATTTAAATATCAACAAATGGGCTTATAGTAACAATCAACCAACTTTAAATTACTAAAACCATTTATTAATTATTTAATTGTCAATTCGTTTAATATTGGCACAATTTTTACTTTTTTAGCATTATATGTGCGGGGTGAAATTTAACGAAAATTGCATAGTTGGCAATAAATTCACAAATACTAAAACTGCGATAACTCAATATTTTTTAATAAAAATCATATAATATATGTAAAAAAAACCCAAGGAAAAATAATATGTTAAAAAAATTATAACTTTACTATGGAAAAGAATGACTTTACATTGTACGCGCGTCAGATTTAAAAGCTATATGTATTTTATATATACGATAGTGCTGTTTTTAAACGGATCGGCAATTAACTGATTATTTTCTTCATTAGTATAAGAGGTGAAGTGGAAAGTTGCATCCAGAAATGTCTTGATTGAAGAATACAAAAAAGAAAAAATATGATGGAATTCTTTCTTTCAGTCGACAATTTGAATTCATCTACATAGAAACAGCCACTACGTCCATACTCTAAAAAACAGAGGGTGATTTGTCAAAACTACTACATCAGGCCATAATTCTCATGTTTAAACTAATGGTGTCCACTCTACCAGAAAAACTTTTTGAAGAGATATTATCAATGCCTGTTCTCTGTGTTCAATCTAATGGTGAGTTAAAATTTTTATTTGTTAATTGCAACTATTTTGCTAAAGTTTTGATTGTCATATTATAAGAGCAAGTACTGAGATATATCTGGCTAATTGGCCAACAAATATATGGCCAATAGTTTTTTCAATCATGAAATCTGATATACCGGAAGAAGTAACAGCACTGCCAAACTTACGAATGTAGTGGCAAAGATGTTATCATTGTGAGTAATTATTTTCCTATTATATCTGTTAAATATTAGTGTACTCTGCTTACCATTGATCTTTATTCTTTATAGTCATTTATTCTAAATCTAAATAAAAAATATCAAGCATTACTAAAGAAAGCAGCCAATTATTATTTAAATGAAGTTAATGTCTAGGATTCACCACTAAAGTTGAAAGTTCGTCTTTAGATTTAACATTCAATTTGATTTTCAACTTAAGTGCTAAAGCGATGAGATATTTGCTTCATATATGCTAAACCAACCACCAACTTATAAATATTGGTATTAACATGATCCCATAAGCTGCTATTAATTTGACATAATATAGTGGTGTTATTATTATTACAGGAAATAATTTGGCTAATATAATTAAAAATAAATATAAATAATAAAAGATAATAATTATTAATCATAATTTACAGAATAATGTGTAATAAATTCTTTAATAGATATTATCTCCAGAAAAATATATTGCTGTTATTCTTCTTACGTCATCTAATAATTGGAAACAATTATTACAAATAATGAAGAAAAATTTTATTTAACAAATTTATATACCTTCAACCTCCGCCAATGATGCTTCTTTTTTAGGAACAACAATATATAATACTCGTCCTTCTGACCTTTTCCCAACTATCCAAAAATTAGTTGAAGAACGAGTATATATTTCCGTCAGCTGTGGGTACCTAAATAATACAGAGAAAAAGTTAAACGTAATTCATTCTTTATAATGAAAGAAAAAAATAAAAAATATACTTTTCGAGGTCCTCATGCAATTCACATAATGCATGAGCCATTTCGCTTGTAATTGTTAGACCCCTTGATGAAGAGGTTAGAGATCCATTGGAAGAGAAAGGATATAGAGATGATTTAACAGCTAATGTCATCTTATTGAAAAATAAATATCGATATTCCTTATCTATATCTGTCCTCCTATTATATAATTAGAAGATGTAATTTAATGATCATAAAGCAATATATTTATATAATATTTATATAATTAAATAATTACCCAAGTTTTTTTGACTTTTCATGATTTTCATTCAGAATCTTTATAATTTCTTCCGACTGTGAAGTCAAATAATTATGAAAAGATCTATAAAAAACCATTTCTTGTACTTTTGCAGAACCTTCTAATGAGTTGAGCGGTATAAAGAAAACTAGCGTAAGAGCATTTTGCTGTTCAGAAAATTTATTTAAAACAGGAAATTTAAGAATTAATAAATACTAAAAATTTAATTATTACAAACACATATCTCACTCGAACCTTATAAGCAACAAGATAATATTCTTCAATATCACTTTCATCCACATCATGTCGATGATCAACTGTCCTAATATTACTACTATTTGAATTTTTCGACAAATATACCTTTACGGGATGTATGTCTCCGTCAGGGCCGTGCAAATTGGTTGGCCCCAACAAAAAATTTGAAGGTCCCGGGATGAATACTTGTGTCGAAGGAGATAGAAGACCATTTGTTTCAAGAGGTGCAGTAGAGGGGTTGTGAGAAGTTGAGTTTGTAGGGGATGTGCTAGGTGAAACTTTCGGCGTAGTTGAAAAATATGATAAAAGATTACTTCCAGAGATATTTCTTGTGAAACCCATAAATGTTGATACCTATGGAAAAGTATTCATTATTTTAAATCTCCTTCTGTAAAGATATCAATATAAAACCAAATTACTAACTTTTTCAGCTTCTTTGTTCTTTCTCTTATTTTCAATTTCTCGGTCATGTTCATCTCTTTCTGCTATGTAACTAACTAAATGTCGCCATATTCCTCTAACATTATTTACTGGGATTGCTCCATTTCCACGATAAACTAACTTATTCTGCCAAATTACAAACATGTCTGAAATAAATTCATAATCCGATTGAATTTGATTAACAAATGACGTAATTTGTGACTCAGCAGAGTCAGATAATGGCATATATAGAATACCTAGAATAGATAAAATTAATCATACAAGTTTATAAAATATTTTTTCTAATAAAAATAAAAATATATATTATTATAGATACCATCAACCGTTTTAGTTAATTCCGTCTTTTCAAAATCCCATTCAAAAACCCAATTTGCAAAAAATTCTTCTAATTTATTTTTCAAAGCTTTGATTCCATCAGTTCTCACTGTATATTCGAATGGTCCATTAAAAATCTAGAGTATGAATTTAAAAATAAAATTAGTTTTTAAAAAAAAAAGATGATTCTTTTAAATTACTAAAAGTAAATCATGTGCTTACTCTATACATTTCATATCCTAATTCAAGCATTCTCTTTACTCCTGAATCATGCAAATTTGAATCAAGATAGTCAATAGTAGTTTTTGGCTTTCCTTCTTTATCTTTAATTACTTTTTTTACATGACCTAATTCGATAGACTTTAAATGAAAAAGTCAGTCTTCTATCAATTGAAAGATTAAAAATTTTATAAATTTATACTTACAATATGTATCCAATAATCAGGTTCAGGTTCGTAAAACGCAAGGCGATTTTTTTGTGTATGAACGTTTTCGCAAGGTTTTGAGGGCGAGAATACTCTGCAATATGGCGCAGCAATAGAGAATAATTCATACTATATTTAATAATGTTCAAAAATGGCATTCAGTCAACAACTTATGTTCCGTCGCATTATTCCTAATCTCTCATTTCATTTATAGCTAAAATTTCTAAATACATCCTTTTATAACTACTAAAATGATTTATAAAAAAATCGCGAACCTTGTAAAGTTTACTAAACCCTGTGCAAGACCAACTTGGCGTATCTTAACGTCCATTGGCACTGTTTTTTTAGAAGTGTAATAGAGTAATTGATCACTTTGTGAATCGTCCGTATCTCCAAAAGAAGGGTTATAAACGCAGAAGTAAGAAAGACTTGGAGGCACAGTTACGATTCCTTGTGAATTAGTTGTATCCATTTTAAAGAAAATTTAGAATACGTTTGTATAATTGTTATTTCTACTGCCCACTACCTCTAGACTACCCGTTTACGCCGGATTTTTTTCAATCTAAAAATCTGGGCCTGTGATTGGATTATTTTTGATAGTCATAATCGTCACATGTGATTTAAAACTTCAATTCATTTTTTATTCTCGAATTTGATAAAAAATGTCTCTTAGAATTTATAACGTCATTCCACGCTTGAATAATCCTATTCGCAGGGTACCCATTATTAGAATAGCAAGTTTTCACACAAGTATGATAAATATTTGCTATTATTTTGTATATACTATTCGAACATTTGAACTAACTTATATGTTGACTAGGCCGTGCTTGTGCATTCAAGGCTACCAAGACTAACAGTGATGGTGCCTGTAAGTCAAATTATTAAGTTCTCGTCTCATATTAACATACTGTGTGTTTGCGTATTAAACAATTAATTTGACATGTTATAATAATAAGCTTATATCAAGGGAAGTGTCAATGAAGCAGTGAAACTTCCACCAAGAGACAAAGTTGCGGGATCTTATCATTGGGATTTCGAGCGTTTACTATCGGTATCGTTGATCCCACTCACTGTGGCATCAGTTGTGAATGGAGCACATCCAATTACCGACCTTTGCCTTGGTGTTATTATCCCAATTCATTGTCATATTGGTTTCGATGCTGTTATCAGTGATTATTTACCACATCGGAGAAATCCTATTTTGAATAAGATAACAACGTGGGGTTTGAGAGGAGCCACTATTATTGTTCTTTACGGTTGTTATGAATTCAATACAAATGATGTAGGTTTGACTGAAGTTGTTAAGAGAGTATGGAATGCATGAAATAATTTACATTGAGCTTGACAAATATGGCATCAATTATTTAAAAAAGTCGGGTTACTTCTTATAAGATAAAGTATTAAGAATTCATTTGATATATTAGATAGATCTGTCGATCTGATCGCTAAAACTACCAATTTTGTGATTTTGTGTAAAAAAAAATTAAATAAATAATTTTTATTATCTTTATCGCATTGTAGGCTATAATATATACAGAGTTGATTAAGAATTGAATTATTAATTAAATTAAAAAAAAGAAAAGAAAAAAATTATAAAATTAATTTTTAATCTCGTGCTTACCATATTGACGGCAGACTTAGTATGATTTACATCTTCATGTCTCCATAAAGAAGTAACTGTTTTAGTTTGTGTATAAAATTGCAACCCGGATTTTCCATCTTTGAGTCATAGATACATAAAGGTATAATTAAAGATATATACATAATATAATTTCATACAAAATATAAAAATTTTGTTACTTACAAAAATTGATATCACCCTGGATAGAAGCGCGGTTACCAGTAAATGAAAACATTGGTAAAGGGACAGGAATAGGCACATTAACTATAAATAAAAAGTATCTGAAATTAATAAAAATAATTCCGGTATTTTACGCATTAATTAGAAAATAAAGCTTTACCGCCAATTTGTCCGGCTTCAATATTATTTGTGAAATAACGAGCGTTACTACCACTATTTGTAAAAATAGCCGTTCCATTTCCATAAGGATTTTTATTGATCAAATCAATGGCTTCATCTAGTGTATCAACATTTAAACAAACAAGAACAGGTCCAAATATTTCTTCCTATAAATATAGTACGAAATTACAAACTTGAAAAAGAAAAATAGTTCCTCTATAAATTTAAAATGTTATTTACCTTGTAACAATCCATTTCTGTAGTTACCTTGGACAAGATTGTTGGCCCAACAAAATTTCCATTTTTATATTCTTTAGAAACACTTGGATTACGACCATCCAATACTAATTTAGCTCCCTGTTCGACCCCACTTTGAATTAACCGTTCGACACGTCCTTTTGCTTCGCGAGAAATCAAGGGTCCAACATCAACATCTGGTTCGAATCCTCCAGATACTTTGAGTTTTTTTGCGCGCTCCACAAGTTCGGGAAGCCATTCTTCTGCTTCGCCTACAAAAACAACGGTGGATAACGCCATACAACGCTGCCCCGCGGCACCAAAAGCAGCACCAGCCAATTGGTTTAAAGTATGATTCTAATAATATAATTATCTATTAATTCCAACTTCTTAAATGAATATAATTTCTCATTTTATTAAATACCTTATTGGCATCTGGCATTATGACACCGTGATTTTTTGCACCTAAATTTGCCTAAAACAATTTAAAAAAGTAACAAGGAAAATTATTTTTAAAAAAAATGATGATAAATATAAATTTGTTTCTTTCATAAATAATAATAACATGCCTGTACTCTCTTTCCGTTTAAAGTGCCTCGTTTGTGAATATACTTTCCAGCTATATGATGATAAATTACGCGTAAATATGTGAATATATTATTTAATAAAATCTACAACTTTTGATCTCTAACCTTTATCACTTCCAACAAAAGATATTGCTTTAATATGTTCATTATCGCATAAGAAATTCACGGTTTCAACAGATCCATGAACAACATTTAGAACACCATCTGGAACACCAGCTTCTTTAGCCAATTGAGCAAGTATCATCATAGCACCAGGGTCACGCTCACTTGGCTTAATAATCATTGTATTTCCGGCAGCAATAGATAAAGGAAACATCCATAATGGTATCATTGCCGGAAAATTAAATGGACAAATACCAGCAGTAACACCTAATGGTTCTCTTATAGTATATGTATCCATATCATTAGATACAGCTAATTGTTCACCCAACAATAAATTCGTAATACCACACGCATGCTCTACTACTTGTCTACCACGCAACACGTCACCTTTTGCGTCAGCGAGAGTTTTACCTTGTTCTTCAGTGATGGACTTTGCTATTTTATCAGTGTTTTCACGGATTAAGAGTTGTAAGTCTAATAATATGCGTTGTCTTGTGAGAATTGAAGACTTTCGCCAAGATTTAAATGCTTCGGCGGCTGTTTCTGCCGCGTCATTCAATTCTTGCGGCGTAGTTTCCGGAATAAGAGTTACTAGTTCGTTGTTTGCCTTAAAATATAATGAAACTTTCATGAATAAGAAATACATAAAAATAATATAAATGATTTCATTTATTCAGTTCATTTACAGGATTATGAACAGGAATCCAATTGTTAGTAATTGATTCAACAAATTTTCCATTTATGAAAAGAGGAGTTGTACGAAAACTTTTCAGAGGATCAATCGGTGAAGCAGGTTGTAATGAGGGGTGTGATGTAGAAAAGGATCGATTTATTTTCCAAATACGTTCATAAATATTATTTACTAAAGACGTGGTTTTTGGCTGTAACCTTAAACGAGACGACAACATAATAATTATTTTTTAATAAAAAAAAAGGTGGTTGTTAATTCGACACCTACTGTTGATGATCGATAATAAATCCGCTTCTAACCAAATTTGGTAATATTTTGTAATATTTTTTTTTTAAAAAAAAAAATTAAATATTGAACATATTGAACTTTGAAAAATGTTCGTTTTAACGCGAACATTAATAAGAACGCGTCAATTATATTCACATGTTACTAAAAGGACTTTTCATGATTATCATTCTTTTGTAAAATTTAACGCAAAAGAAGATAACTTTAGTCGATGTTCTTCACGTTTTAAGGCACAATCATTAATTCCTTTTGTCGTTGAACAAACGGTATATATATGTACACAGAATATAAAGCTGGTTTTTGTTATTTAATTTATTTCTTTTGAACAAAATGTAGTCAAGGGGAGAACGATCATATGATATATTTTCTCGGTTATTAAAAGAACGAATTATATGTTTGAATGGCCACGTATGTATTAAAAGAAAAACTCTCGTCTTTTTACGAAATATATAAACTTATGTGTGAATTTGTATTGAAAGATAGAAGACAGTGAAGCAGCAGTAATCATAGCACAATTATTATTTCTTGAAGCCGAAAATCCGGAAAAATCAATTAGTTTATACATTAACAGTCCTGGCGGAAGTGTTACGGCAGGACTGGCAATTTATGATACAGTAAGTTATTTTTTTTTTAAAAAAAAATTCCTTATAATTTTTATCTATAATATTAATATAGATTATATATATATATTCTTTTTATAGATGCAGGTGATTTTCTTTAAATGAAAAAATTTTGATCTTAATGGAATGATTATTTTATTAATTATATCATTAATACATTTTGTATTATCAGTACATTCAATCGCCAGTATCAACACTTTGTAATGGTCAAGCTTGCTCAATGGGATCATTATTACTTGCTGCGGGTATTTTTAATTATTATTATTGAAACTAATACAAATCTATTAATGAATTAAGTTAATTCTTATTTAAATATTTAATAGGAGAATCAGGTAAAAGATACGCACTTCCAAACTCAAGCATCATGATACATCAACCGATAGGAGGAGCAGTAGGACAAGCAAGTGATATTGCTATTCAAGCAAAAGAAATATTGAGAGTTAAGGAGAGATTAAACATGATTTATAAAAAACATACCAAGAAGCATAGTTTAGAAGAAATTGAGAAAGCTGTTGAAAGAGATCACTTCATGAATTCTGAAGAAGCATTAGAATTTGGATTAATTGATAAAATTTTAGAAAGAAGAGAGATTAAAGAAGATGATGAAATAATTCAAAAATAAATATTAACTTAATTATTATGTTTGTTGATTGATATATTCTTGTAATAAAATACTTATTGTCAACAGAGCAGTTTCATCCATTTGACCAAATATTTCTGGAATTGGATATACATTTGTGTAATGATTTGAAGCAAATCGACTTATTGAATTCATAAAGTCCTATAATAAATAAAATTATAAATTAAAATAGCTAGAATTTTTAAATTTGTTTGCATTGCTTCTTACTGTTTCTGGCAATTCTGATAATGGCGAATTACTTGTAGATTTAGATTCAGGATCAGGGTTGGGATCGGATTCAGCTTCTGCTGTAATTTGATAAATTAATTTATGCTCATTCAGTAAAATTTTTGATATAAAATATGTAATCATCACCATCTTTTATTGGTTTGGAACGAATTAAATAATTATTCTCCTTAAAACGCTTGTTAGAATCCAAATATCTTTCAACAATTTTACATGAAGTATTCAAAAAAATTGCTGCTTCAAGGATATTATCGGTAAATTTAATTAATTGATATGAAAGATTTTTGTTGCGTGAATATATATAAATTGTTGTATCTTGACCCTGATAACTTTCATTTGACAATAATTCTAATAATAAATTTATAATAAACTAATTAAATTAAATAAATAAATAAGTAAGATAAGTTTTATAGATGATTATATACTTGGAATATTTTCTGCGTCTGTATTAGCTTTAAGTTCCGTTATTCGTTCAGCAGAAAATTCCTTAGAAAAAAAATACCAATTATTTTCAAATAATTCTCCAGAATCTAAATATTTATAAACGATCCTATAAGAAACTGCTCCAGAAATTTTTGCAGCTTCTGACCAAGACTTTGCAGTTTGAACATATTCCAAAGAACTGTTGTATAAATATACTTTATTACTTTTTACTCTCATTGTTAAAAAAAAAAAAAGATTTTAGAGGCGCAGTAAAATTAATAAATGCATGTTATAAATCTAGCGCAGGGCATACATAAATAATGGATATTACATTGCACAGTATGACGCACTATTTATAGAACATAATTTCGAAAGATCTATTTGTTGTAAATGTCATTAAGATTATCCTTTTCGATTAAGTCATTAAAATGCATATTCTAATTACTAATCGTCTTTATATTTCTTAATAAAAACTTTTAAATTGAATTCAATTCACAATTGACTTGTGTTTTATTAATAGATGAGGTTAAAAATTAACTAGGAGAATTAAAGATATCAGGCAATTACTAATTATCATGTCGATATTGTTACTACAAATAAATCATATAATGAATATATTATTCACGTGATTTGTGATCAGGTGTTCATTTCTGGCGTTTCCAATTTGGCGAAATACAATATACAAAGAATAATAGTTTCGGAAATAAAAATGGTATTCTTCTAAAAAGAAAATGCCTTTTTTAACAAAGTTTCAAATCATGATTGATTGTTATTTTGTTAATGAAATGAAGGCAAAATGTTACGAAAAAATAAATATAAATTCTTCGGTAGAATATTCGGTAGAATTATTTAACCAGTTTGACCAATGAAATATTAAGAATATTCGTCACCTTATGTCACCTTACCTTTGAATCTTGCCTTATTTGAGTATCGATATTATATTAATCGAATGATGTATGATGTAAACATTGTTTAAATAATTTCAGGTTTTATTCGGGTTTTATAAATTTTCCGAGTCTTTGCTGTTAAAAAAAGGTTATAAAATAAATGCATCATTGCAATAACTGCGGCTATGAAAGAATTATATAAAAAGTGATTATTCTTGGCAGAAAAAAAAAAAAAAAAATTTTTTTTTTTTGTCTATTTTTTTTACACCCAGTATTTTTTTGCCCAATAATCCCAATAATCTCGTGCAAACCAAAGCTTTGTTCTATTTAGTAGATATTTAAAGAGATTATTTTTTATTTCGGAGTTGTCTTTTCATACTCAGTGCATCAACTCCGGATTTCTAAGCTAATCATCATTTTGCATATTTTATACATTATTATATTAAACTATTAATATCTTTAATATCTTATTTGATTGAATTTTTTATGTTGTGTATCGTAATTTAATACTATAAAAATACTATATTATCAAAAAAAGAGTTAAAAAGTGATTATATATATCCACTTAATTAATATCGGTTTCACTGGTTGAACTGCAAGTGCTCGAACCTCTCCCCCCTACCCTTCGCGTTCTTTCTTTTTTCTTTATAACTATCACTTCCACCATTCTTTCGCGCGTTGCGCTTAGCTCCTCAACCCGTACCTCTTCCTTTTAAACTTTTTTTCCTACCTATTATTCGCTTCAAGATAGAACGGTGGTGTGTTAGAAAAATTTTTTTTGGTTTATATTCCTTGGTCTTTTTTATTATTATTATTTATTATAGAAGAATAATAAGACTGTAGAAAAATATAGGACTATAGAAGAGTATAAGACTATAGTAGTTTTTTTTAAAAAAAAAGATAGAAATAAAGAACAATAAGAACAATGTCAGAAAATAGTACAATAACTTCAATAACAGAGTCTGCTCCTAATCCAACAGAAACAACAAATCCACGAAATTCAAAACGCAGGGAAGAGAGTTCTTCAAATAATACATCCACTTTACGAAATAATGTTGCTGAGCATCTTCATATATCACCAATTTTAATTGCGGAAATAACTCGTACTCTTATTGCTTTTATGATTTTTATATTAGCAGGGTTTTTATGTACTTTTGCTATACAATCATCTGATTATCGATGGAAAACTTCAGGGGATGATATGATGGCTTTGGTGGATCTTGGGTTTAAAGTAATACCTAATACAACACATGTTTTCCTAGCTGACTTGTTCATGCTTATATTACTTGTTGGTTCTTTAGGTTTAAATCTTATTCTTGCAGAATCAAATGTAGCAAGATTAATAATAATTCGGCGTATATTCTGGATGTTGGCATTTCTTTTGTGTTTTAGACTGATAACACTTAGTGTTACAACTTTACCTAGTCCAAAAGCATGTGAACCTATCATTTCAGGAAATTTTCTTGATATGCTTAAAACCGGAGTAAATCTGATAACAGGATCGGTTAAAGCTTGTACGGATAACATTTTTTCAGGTCATAGCATCTTCATTACTACAAGGTAATTAAAGTGATAATATATAAGATTTTCAAAGTTATGATCTTTTAATAAATAAGTAGAATAAATAAATTTACTAATTATTTCTTTTTTTTTGCTAGTGTTATCCTATTTCGCGTATATTGTAAATATAAGTTTATTATATATTATTCATATCTTCACGGTCTTGTAGCATTAGGATTCCTTATCGCAACAAGGATTCACTATACTGTTGATGTCATATTAGCCGTGTTCATTACATACTCTGTACATTCAATTTATTTTTTTATAGTAGATCTTTGCATAGAGAAACATTTCTTCAAAATAAGAAGGGCGGAAGAGCGATTAGGTGATGCAGAACTTTATCAAAGAATAGCATATATGCCTAATATGTTTAATACAAGTTTAGTTGGTGCGGTACGATGGATGGATGGATTAGACATTCGATTTAGTAGTGAATGCGAGGATATAACGAGAGAACAAGCAAGACAACGACGTTTTGATTGTAATACCAGTTCAGACAGTAATTCAACAGATATGACGCAAGTTGTGGTAATTAGTCCACCGCAAGATGAAGAAGGTGAGCCAAGTAAAAGGCCTGAAACATCATAGTAATAAACCGAATGTGGGGAGTGCTGTAAAGATGTGTGATGTCTATTTTAATATGCACATTTAAATTTTTCAAAAGAGACTATGTTTTTTTAATAGACAATGTAAAAAAAAACAAAAAGGAAAATTAACTAATAGTTGTAGCTTTAAAAAACTTGATATTTTTTTTTTAAATCAGTTGGACTTTTAGATTTTTATTATCATATTTTTAATAACGAGTTGTTTAATTATCAAAAAAAACCAAATGTTAATAATAAACTTGTCATTACCTAATTTGTAAATAGCGTAAATTATAGTAATTTCTTTTTTGCCTAACTCAATTCTATAATATAAAAAAAAAAAATCAAATTTCTCTTATAGGCGGTTATTTATTTAAAATGAATTACTTTCCTTTCAAAAACCTTTATTCCAAACAAAAACACTCTTTACTACTAGTATCACTTGGAAGTTTTGCTTTTCTATTGCTTTACACTTTCCTATTACTTTACGTATTAGCAATATGGGCAACATATCCCCCTTACAATGAGATATAAAATTTTATAGACGCGAAATAAGGTGAGGATTTGATCTAGACAAAATCAGTTATCATGTGTTGATTTAACTAATAAAAAAAGGTATGATTTTTTTTAACAATAAAGTAAATTATTAATTAAGCCAATAAAAATAAATAATGATCGGCTGTACTTATCTATATCCAAAACATCCGATTTGGGGCTTTTAAAAAATTTGTAACTTTTTTTTAAATAATCAAAAAAGGAAAATAACAATTAAAAACGTAATAAAGTAGCCACGTTTATTTAGTTACTGTAAAAGGAGATAATTAATTTATTTTATTATCCGAACCTGATTTTCCGATTATTATTTCAAATTTTAAATTGTTAGTAAAAGCACGTGAATTAAATTTGCAGAACGATTAATTATTTAAAGAACAATTCTTATTTATATACATTAGGAACTGTACTGTGTCAAGAGTGTCTCAAGATAATATTGGTAAAACTTTTATGTCCTATAGTATAGTAATCATATGCTTTGATTTTTTTAGATAATATTTCCTTAAATCATTGTTGTTGTAAGTATTTTATACATTTTCTACATTTTCCCGAAGGTGGGCGAAGCTGTAAGGCTGTGTAAAATTGATATCAGTATGATACGATCAATTATTTGCACAGCATATGTATGAATATTCACATTAATTTATAAAAATGACAATTTAATAACAATTTTGCATATTTAATAATTAGGACCGGTTGCTTTATTAATTAATTAATTATAAGGTACAATTCATTTCTTTATATTAATATCGATATTTTTATGGATGATATAAGGACGTTGATCTCCGTGACATATAACTCAAATAAAATTTATCTGACTCAGGAAATGATAACCGGATTTATTTGTCATGCCATCGGTCAAAATTGTCTATATTTTTACCTTTTTATTTATTATGAAGGAGAAAAAACCAACATTCGAAAAGTAAATGTACTATATTGTATAAACCTATAATAATAATAATAATAATAATCATTTTTCTTCGACTTTTGTACCAATGGATAAGAGTTTATCCAAAAGCTCAAACAATACGGTCTCAAAATTTTTCATTTCATGGATTCTCTAATTGAGTGACCCTCCTTTTCAGGAGATCAATTTCTCTTATCAATGAGGAAATATCTTCTTCCATTGATATTCCAATTGTATTTAAATTCTCAATGTTATTTCCAGAAGTATGTTCTTCACCTTCTCTTCTCCATATATTTTCATAACCATTAAATCTCGTAACAAAACTAGAGTTCCATTCGATAATTTTATGTTTTAAACCGAGTATCTTCTCAATCTCTTCAAGCCTAGTCTTATAATTTTTTCCCAGGAGTGATGTATGTATGTAACGTCATTAAACTCGAATATTACCAAATATGGAGGACGTCTAAAGCAGAGGGAAATCACGTGACTTCGAAAATTTTATTTTCTAAATAAAACTTTTCGCCATATATAAACATCCTTTTAAACATACATGCTAAGTATTTTAGCCTACTCTGCAAGTTTACTTAGAGCACAAAATGAGGTTTTGAATGCCGTTTTCAATTTATTTGACATTTCATTTTTGTCTATCCATTTTTGGATATGATCGGCAAAAATTCTTTTGCTCATATGTAAAAAACAGTATTCAGAGCAGGCTAAGATATGTTATTTTATGATTTTCAATCTTAATTTATAAAAAATTAGTTCGCTCATATTATATGGAATCACGTGATTTGCCGCTTTTAGACGATCCTATTACCAAATTACTCGTGATTTTTTTTTTTTTTACGCGTATTTCCTAATTCGCGAAATTTTTTATTTTATTAAATCTGAACTTACAAAAAAATGCCTCGAGAAAACCCCTTGTCGTCTTTATCATTATTTGTTCCGCAAATTTTTCAAGACGTTCAAAAAACTGTTATAAACCACCGGAAAAACGCTGTGGTACTACGAAAATTCCAGTTTCAATGCTCGCAATTTAACGATGATAATCATAATTTTGGTGAAAACGAATTTAATAAAGAGTTTGTCAGAAATGTAAATAAAATATTACCAGTGAAAAAAGGACAAGCGAACGCAGAACGTGTTATTACCTTTATAGCTACATTTGTAAATTATTGTCAAGAAAAAGGTATTTTTAGGGATGTAGATAATTTATTAATTAATTATATTTAATACTTTGTTTTTATTTATAAAGAAAATGAGAGAGGAAGTGATTCTAGTGATACTATCGATAATGACAGCACGTTATTATCCCGATTTACGGGATTTTTGCTTAGGCATTTTCTGAAAGGTATCGAAGCTAAAGATAAAAATGTAAGGTTACGCGTCTGTCAACTCATTGGTCTTGTAATTGATTCAATTGAAGTAATTGAGTAAGTCAAAATTTTTTGAATATTTCTTTTATTTATTGTGAATAAGAATTTTGACGAAAAACTTCATTTGTAGCGGTGATTTGTATGAGCATTTGAAGGATGAGTTGACTAAACGACTATTAGACAAGGAATCTTCTATCCGTGTTAAAGCGGTGGAAGCATGTTCCAAGTTACAAGTAAGAGATATTATCATCAAGTATTATTTACGCTATAGTAGAATTAAATAATCATACCTAATTTTGGCTAGTGCGAGGAAATTGGAAAGGATATCGTCGAAAAATTACTTGGAATAATGCAAAATGATCCTATCGCGTAATATAATATTTTTATGAATTAATATATTATATATACTTAGTTTTATAATTATGTTATTCTATTTATTATTAGAGAAGTTCGACGTGCTGTCTTATTAAATATTGACCTTAACGAGAATACTATTCCTCACATATTTGATCGAACGAGAGATGCTGATGCAAGTATTCGTCGTGATGTCTATGTGAGATCTTCGGAAGAAATAGGCGATTTTCGTGTTTTATCTATTGAAACTAGGGAAAAATTGTTAAGAAATGGCCTTACAGATAGGTAAATATAAAATATCTCAATTTAGAATACGCAATTAATTAAAGAATACTATTGTTCAATACAGAGACCCTCAAGTTAATAAAGCTTGTTCAAACTTTCTTGCTTATAATTGGGTTCAACATGCAAATAATAATCTGTTAGAGGTAACCTATCTAATTCGATTAGATAATTAACACGTGTTCAATTATAACATTTAAAATGATTATTTTTCTTCTTTTAGTTACTTAAACGAATTGACGTTGTAGGAAGTAATGTTGCACAAGATGCCCTTTTGACAATTTTTAAGTCACGTCCAGATCTTATGCAAACGTTGAATTTTGATGGTTAGGCCTTTTTGTAAAAAATTTCTTAAGTTATCATAATTTAACGTTTTGTGACTTTTTTTTTTAATAGAGTCATTTTGGGAAAGTTTAACTATCGAATCCGTTTTTCTTGTACAAGTGTTTTGTGAATTCAATAAAGAGGTATATCGACATTATTTGAAAGAAAAAAAAATGTTTTTTTTTTTTTTTTTGTTTAATTGACTATAATGTATCGATTATTTTATTTTTATTAGGATGAAAATAAGCTTGATGAAGTTTTGCCAGAAGTTTCAAAATTTGCCTTATATATCCAAAAACACATCAATTTAATGCAAGAAGCATTTGAGGAAGATATAGTAAGTTGTGAGTTTATTGTTGGTCAATTGCTCATAATTTCAAAATTCCTGGATTATGGAGATGAAATTGGAAGGCGAAAAATGTTTAATCTTCTTCGTAAATATTTTATCTTTTTTTTTTTTTTTTAAAAAAAAAAATAATAATTTTATTTATCAAAAGTACAAAATTTGATTATATCATATATTTTAGGGGAAGTTCTTATGCTTAATCATGTCCCAGATGATCATATTGAAAGCATCGTGGAAGTTATGAAAAAACTTTCAATTGATGAACGGGATTTTGCTCGGTTTTGTGCCATTATTTATATAATTAAATTCGCTTAATTATGTTATGTAAATATTAACTGTGTGAGATTTTTAGTTCCATGGCCGAAATCTTAAATGATATTCGAGAAAAGATCGAAACCGAAAATGATCAGGGATATAAATATCAGGTTTGACTATGTAATACTGTAAACTCGGATAAATAAATTATTTCTAATAATAATAATAATAAAAATTTTATATTCAGATTGAGGATGAGCTTTCTGCCAGCATATTGAACCTTAGTATAAGATCTGGGTCTTCCGAAAGATCTATGTCGACAATAGATTCAAAGTTCACACTTGATGATGAAGATCGGAAATTGACAACCAAAATAACTAATATAAAGTGTTTGAACATTGTGCGCTATATACTTGAAAGAAGCGAAGAAGTAGGTTAAAATCAGATTTCATTATTTATTGATGTAGTGAAGAAAATTAAAATATATTCTCATACTTTCTTAAAGTCCTTACGTAATAATCCTTCCATGTATGGTATTTTGAACGAATTTATATTACCCAACTTGCAAAGTCCTGAACCAATGTTACATGAGCTTAGCATTCATTGTCTTGGATTAAGTTGTTTACTTGACCAGGTGAGTGAAAAATAATTAATATTTTGTATATGAACAATAATTAATTAATTCGTTACTTTCTTTAGCGATTAACTGATGATAAATTTGGTCTTTTCATATATTGTGCGGGACTTACAAATCCAGAATTACAAAATAAAGCTCTTATGGTATTGTGTATATTAAAATATATAAATTAAACTATTCGCAAAATATTGATTTTTACACGCTTTCATAGGTGATATTCGACATTGTAATGATGTATAGTTATCCTTTTGTTGTTGAAAATATACGTCAGGTTTGATAAAATATTTACTTGCAATATTCATATAACTAGAATGAAGTTTAATAAGTTATTAATTTGTAGGGTGATCAAATATTGGAATTATTGTGTGCGTGTCTTCATAACGAAAATCCAGTAGTTCTAGCAACTACAGTTGAAGGCATAGCCAAACTTATGCTTTCTCAAATGATATACGATAAAAATGTTAGTATTCTCATGATTTTTTCTTTCATAGATTCAAATTTTTTTAATCATCCCTAATTCGTTAAATTATAGATATTAAAAGAACTTGTAATCTTATATTTTGATGTTGAAACTGCAACTAATACTCGTTTACGACAATGTTTGAGTTACTTCTTTCCTGTTTATTGTCATTCATCGGTCGAGAATCAACGTTTAATGTTACAGGTATTCTTTAACTATTACTTTTTTTTCTATACATTATTTTTACATTTGTTTTGCGAGGCAATTAATACAATCTATTATAAATAGATATTTGTTCCGTCTTTAGTAAATTTAATGGATGAATATAGACAACTTAAGAATAAAGAAATGATACCACCTTTGCAAATAGCGCAACAATTAATTGATTGGGCGGATCCTTCTAAAGTCGTGTAAGTGAAATTTAAATTTAAATTCAATATTAATATTTTAATTATTTTTTTTTTTTTTTTGCGTTAAAGAAAATCGGAACAAAATGAAGAGATTATAGAATATGGAGCACATGCTGATATTGCCATCGACATTATTAAAGAGCTTTTCAGAGAAACGAACAGTAAGTGACAAAAAAAAGTATATGGTAATTTTTAGTTATTTAATTAAATTGATTAAATTGACAACTTTTGTTTTTACAGAGGAATTAAGGAAAATTTACTGCCTAGTTCTTAATAAACTCAATATAGATGAATCCGCTGGTACTTTACGATTTAAGAAACTAACTCTGCTTACTGGCAACTTAAAAACGGTATATAAAATTATCTACTATTTCTAATCCTGCTATATTCTTATTTAATAATTTTTTTTTCCATTTATAGAAAAAACCATTGATTGACGCAGTTTCTAGAAATGCGCTCAAAAAATTTGAAGACTCTATACTTCGTTTTTACAATGATGCACCTGAACCTTTAAATGATAATGAACTTGAACAATTAAAAGAAATTTTAGAATTTATAAAAAACGTTCATGAAGGTAATAACTTGCTATTTATTGTTAATTTAAAGATAAATATTTATTAATGATTTATTTTTAATTAGAACCTTCATTAATACGTGTAACTAGATCAAGGTAAGTCATATATGCAATTTCTATGAACATTTTTTTTTTTTCATTTTCAAATTTAATCTCTAAAATAACTTCATTGTTAAATTATTATTAAGTACTAGAAATAAAACCGAATCATTTGTAAATTATTTTACTTATCAAGATTATCAAGAACAAAAGAACTAATAAAATGAAATTTTATAAATAAAGAGGTGTAAATTTGATTTTTAGAATTACATTTAATGATAAAATAAGTTAGTTCAGTGGTCATGTGAATTTTCAATAAACATACATTCACACTATTATTATAGTGGAAATTCAAAATTCATCCCAGTAAATTTCGTATCAACATGAGTTTTTTACGTTATAAAACCATCATTGAAGAAGGCGATTTGGTTATCGCTCACTTAGTAAGTTGTAATATTACACAAATTTTTTTAATTTTTTTTTTTTAAAAAAAGGTTCTCTTATATAGTCGCGCGAAAATATGACACCACTTATAGTTGATTCTCGGAAAACATATAATAATAAATTCGGGACATTTAAACATAAAGATATGATAGGTAAAGAGTATGGTACAAAGGTAAGTAACTTTATTACGAATATATTAATTTTATATTTATTTGTTAAATGGTTTGTTTCTATAGATGCCTTCACATAATGGTAGAGGTTTCATGTATTTACTTCACCCAACGCCAGAATTATGGACGCATGTAGTTCCACATAGAACGCAAATTTTATATGTTGCTGATATTTCTTATATAATAACCTACATCGATTTAAAACCTGGTTCAGTAGTATTAGAATCTGGTAAAATTTACGTTTCAAAATTTAATAGACTTCATATTTTAACACGTTAATTAATTTCCATTGATATTATTGATATTGTTAATTAGGAACGGGGAGTGGATCATTTTCGCATTCTCTGGCGCGTACAATTGCACCAAATGGCCATTTATATACATTTGAATTTCACGAAGAGCGAGCGAAAGCCGTAAAGTGAGAAAAAAAAAATATCTGAATAATGAATTTGATTAATTATGAAAATCTAAGCCCTAACTCATTATATATATATATATGGTGTTTTACTTATTTTTTAGAAAGGAATTCGAGGAACATGGTTTATCAGATCTCATTACGGTAGAATGTAGAGATGTTTGCAAGGATGGTTTTGGAATTACAAATATAGTTCATGCTGGTAAGTAATTTGTTGAAATTTAATGAATGTTCTATGCAAATAATTTTTAAAAGAAGTATTATTAGTTTTTTTGGATTTACCTGCACCATGGGAAGCAATTTCAGCAGCAAAAGAGGCATTTAAGGTTATCTTTCGCTTAAAATCGCGATTCATTTATTAATTGTTTCCTCATATATATTCATACAAACAATTGATATTCTCTTAGCAAAATCGTATCGGTAAAATATGTTGTTTTAGTCCATGCATTGAACAAGTACAACGAACTTGCGCATCCTTGAATGAAAATGGGTTTGTTGGTAAGTAATTAATTTGATAAAAATTAATAATGTAAAATTAAAATTGGATATTAAATACTTTTTTTATTTACAATAGAAATTAAAATGTATGAATGCCTTATTCGTGAACATGATGTTAAAACGATACCCGTTTATACAGTTGCTGATGCTGTAAATAAAATTAAAGTACAACAAGATAAGAAGCGTAAACGCAAAGATCAAAATGAACAAGATGATGATAATTCTTCTAAATCTAAACAAGATCCTCCAAATTTATACGTTACTAAGACACCGAATGAAACTAAAGGTCATACTAGTTATTTAACTTTTGCAACCTTTTTACCAGTTTTAGATGATGAATAATACTGTATTATAATCATGCTATGAGAAGGAATAATTAAATAAACTATGATATATACAAACATGCGCAATGCGCATTGATATTTATAATACTTTCTGATTTTTTCGTTTTGTTTTTTCAGTATTTTTCCTCTTTTCCACGTTTAAAATTGTACCGATCTATTACTTTAAATTCAATTGAAAAATGTATAAAAAATGTATAATGTGACCTAAAATTGTATGACGTCATACGCGTTATGATCGACAAGATCGTCAAATTTAAACTTTATACCGTTATTTAAATTCGTAGATATCACTATCACCCAAAACACATTTCGACTCGTTATTTTACGATTCTCATTTCAAATATGCCTAATAAAAACGAAGATAATTCATTTGAAAGGGTAAATTTATATAAAAAGTATGTGTATCTTTATGTTACAACATTTGTTTACTTTTTTTTATTTTCTTGAAAAAGACATTTACAAAAAGAAAATCATTTGCAACGATGGAAGAAGCTACTGATATCTTAGAAATCGGTGTAAGTTGATTCTCATTTTTAATTATAAACTATTATTCGTGATATCAAAATTTATTGACACCCACTCAGGTGATTATCAAAGCTAGATAATTATTAATAATAATAAAAAAAAATATTTTTTTAGACACTTTATTTACAAAAATTAAATGCTCAATGTCAAGAATCTAAATTAGAAATTAGCAAATTAAAATATGAATGTGAATGTAGAGAAAAAGAGAATGAAATTTTGGATAAAGAACGTGAAAAAGAAGAATCATATACTTTACAACATATTTCCAAATCAAAAGATCAAGCATTACAAGAATCTGTTAAAACGTAATTATCACTTTTTTTGTTTTTTTATCTTAAAAAAAAAAAAATTTTATTGACAAAATCTTGATTAATATAAAATTATTTAGGTATAAGGATGCTTTGTTAATTCTACATAAAATATTCGACGTTGTTGATGATGATAAATGAACTACACCAAAAAAAAAATATTTTTTTTTTTTTACGGGTAAAATAATAATAAATAATTTATTTTTTCCTTGATTTTCTTTTATTATTAACTCGGTTTGTTAATTGAATCTACAATTTAATTACAAAATTTAATTTCAAGTATCTAAAAATAAATATTATACATATATATATATGAATAAAAGTCATACCTGTTTTTCTCTTAAGCTCATCTTCTTTTTATGCAATACATTTTTCTTGTGTATTACCATCATAAAAGCTTTATTCCTTGCCTTTTCTTTGTTAGTGGTGCTAGCACCTTCAACTTTTTTACCTTTCGAACTTCCATATTTTTCGCGTCCTTCTCGTCCAGCTTTAATTGATTCTATACGTTCTTCATAATCTTGTTTAGCTTTTTTACGTGGACCAGTAATTGTATTAACATCGATAATATCAGATGGTTCATTTTGTTGTCTGATTTAATGATAATTCATTCATTAGACAATCCATTAGATATTGACGCGAAAGTTGATAATACTTTTTTATAACATACGTGGAACTTCTTTTTCGTTTTCCTCCATCTACTATTTGTTCAGTCTTATGTTCTAATTTAAGCTCATTTAACTTTGCAAAATCTGCCGGAGTCAAAAGCTAAAAAAAAAAAAAAGTTTTGATTAAAAAATCCTCCAGACACATACGTTACTATGTAGAAGTAGAATCGGTAATCATTACTTGAGTCGTTGCTAAAGTTGAAACCTTCTCTTCATTAACATTCTTTTCATTTACATCGACATTATTTTTGTCAATTTCTTCATCACTGCTATCACTAACAACAATATCTTGATCATCATCGGAAGGCACATCAATCCAACCTTCTTCTCCTGAAGAATCATCTGAAGCAATTTCCCATTCAGCCCATTCTATATTTATATTATATACATATTAAATAATATGTATAAATTAAACAAAAAATTCCCAAATATCAAGATAATAACAATTAATTGTATAAATTAACTTACCATCTTTATGTTCATCATCACCAAGTGATGATTGTTTTTTATACTCTTCTAATAATTCAATTCCTTCGATTCTCTCCATAGCGCGAACTTCACCATATTGTAATGGTTTAAAATCTTTTAAATTCATACTTGCTATTTTACCCTAGTAAACATACATATTTTTTTTAAATCAAAGTTCGAATAAAAAAAAATTTCAACCAAAAACTCGAATAATATTTTGTTTTTTACCCTATCCTTTCGTTTCAATAATTCAGGATTAATTTCACGGAATAATCCAATTAACGACCTAGCAGCCATCATAACGCCTTTATTTTTATCTTTACCATATTCTGTTAAATCCTGTAAAAGAGTAGCATCCATTGCTAATGGCTGTCTCGTACAAATTTCTCTAATAGCATTTAAACTGTATAATGGAATAAGATGATTTTTCTTTTTAATAAAAATAAATAATAAATGAATTAAAAAAGAAATAAAATTAAAATGACATAATACCCAGCAGTCATAACTTCGCTAGCACAGTGATCGCTAACAAAATTATTAGCAACGACTCTTATAACAGGTTCCAATACATCAGGAGGAACAAGTTCATGACAAGCTTGAGCCAATATTACTAATACTAATGTAACATCACGTTGATGCGGTTGTAAATACCTTTGTAAATAACTATAAAAATTCAATAAAACTAATTTATGAATACCAATTATACGAGAAATTAGATTTAATGATAATATTTTTATTTCAAAACGATCATTAAATTGTGAGTTAGTTAAAGTAGAAAATAATTTTTCCGAAAATCCTAAAAAAAATGAATTAACGAATGAATGAATGAATATGAAATATGAAATTTTTTTTTTTTTTTTTTTTTAAAAAAAAAAAAAAATGTACAACTTTGTTTTTTTTTCATTGTTACCTTGAGGATCATTTAATAAATGTAAAGCGGAAAAATTAAAATTTTCAGCCTTATGTTTTTGTAATTCTTTTTTACGAATAGATACTAAAGCTTTTTCTAATTTTCTTTTTCTAGATTTTTTTGTTTTATTAATTTGATTAATATGTTGTAATTTTTTTACATTTGGTAATTGTTTCTCTTCTTCACTACTATCATCATCCTGATCTTGATTTGATCCCAAAAAAAATTGTATAGCAGTAACTCTAATTTTTGTTACTTGATGAAAACAAGCTTCAGCAATTACATTAGTTGTTTTGGCATCATTCCTATTTTATTTTTAAAAAATGATATATAAGTATATATATATATTTTTTAAAAAATTTAATATCATAATAAAATATTTTTATACTCACCAAATTCCTTTTCTATATAATTCAATGCAAACATCCAAACTTTTTTTTGCAGCAATCGAATTTTCACTCATTTCAGAATTTATTCTTCCTCCTCCTATTTTTACATTGTTTTGTTGCTGCTGTTGTTGTCCTTGTAAAATTGTATACATAAAACTTTGTAAAGTTTTATTAAGCTTGTTATTTTTATGTTTAGCATTTTGATTTTTTATATCTGTTACTATATATGAATATAATAACTCTCTTAATTGTTTGTCTCTAGTTCGGAATAATGTAAAGAATAGCGACAATAGACTATAATTAGAGTGAGAAAGTATTAAATGTTTGATATGGTAATTAAATTAATTGAATAGAAAAGAAGAAAAAAAAAATAATAAGTTCTCTTTTTTTTTGAATAATGGAGGATCGGATAATTCATTCCTTTTGTTACTATGATTTACTAAAGATTAACTTATTAGTATATGTATGTATATGAAAAAAAAGAATGAATTATCCAATCAACCCAATATGAAAAAGACAATTTTCCAGCTTATAAAAAGAAAGAGGTAATTACGTGACACTTGGTATAATATCTTTATTACGTAATAAAACTAATGTCTGTACCATAGTTTTACGTAAATTAGGGTGTAATATTTGATAATTTTCTGAAAGTAGGCTTATAATTTGTTGTGGAAATGAGCTAGTTTCTTGTACATAACATTGTGCTACCTATAATAACAAAATATATGTATTAATATAATAAAATAATCTTTTCTTTTACAAAAGAAAAAGTAAGGGTATATTTATAACCTGTGAAATAAAAGTTATTAAACTTCCAAATTCTTCAGCTTCTTCATCGGGTTTTAATTTAAATATATCTAACTGTGATTCATAATGTCTATATTGTTGTAAAAAATCTCGTTTATAAGATATAGGATCTCGTTTTATAAGATTTTGTAATTGTGGTAAATTATTTGGTAATAACGCTGTTCTATTTCGCTTTCCCATAACGAGGAGTAGGTTTTTTTTTTTAGAAAAAAAATTTTTCCTGATCAGTGATAAAACGATCGCACGTGATCCTATTGTCATGTGATTTAGATCTTTATGATTATTTTTTCTGGGCAGCTAATACAGTACACTGGTATGTATATTTGTCGCTAGCACAAGTAATAAATCTCTAATCCCTATATCTTGCGTGAATTGAATATTAATTTGGTTAATGATTAATATTGCCAGAGAAAGTTTATGCGTAAAGGTGGCAAAACATATCGAGGGGACATCCGAAGATAGTAACGCGTCGCCAGACAAACTGTTACCCTTTTATGTTTAGTATGCACAACTCGGTCTTTGATGCGATCCCGTAGATTTTTGCTGATAATGGTACACATAGTGCAATAACATTATTGGATTTACGAGTGCCGTTCATGCAACGAAATTCGTTGTAGTCTACTTGAATGATCTCTGAGTGGTAGTCAAGAAGAGATTAGAATTATCAATAAAGATATAAGCAAGATCAGATTGACTTATTCTGGTTACTTAACATGTAATGATAGAAAGAATCAGCGAATAAAAGAATGTGGTAATCAATAGATACTCAAAGTCATTTAACTGTGATATTGTACCTTATGTGAGAGGGATCTTCGCGAACTTTCGAAGAGCATTTACAGCACTTACAGAAAATATTCGACCGACTTAAGAACGCCGGATCCAAGCTAAATCCTGCGAAATGTAAGTTCGCTTCGACTGAATTAGCTTTTTTAGGGCATATTTATTTATTTACTTTCGATTAACGCTTAGATTAGATTATTAAAAATAATAGCTACGTTTACTATTTTACATATTTATTAAAGAAATCTACATACAGTGTGTTGCAAAAAAAACCGGAAAACTATTCACGTGATAAAATGCATGTTATACGCCCAAAATAAATTCAATTTACATTGTATAATAAACCTGAGACCCAAGGCTACATTTTGATGTCTTTTGAAGTTATAAACACTTCATTATCTTTTGAAAAAATCAGCAATAATTATTTATTTCAAATTAAAAAATATAACAGAAAATTAAATTACATTTTTATAAAACAATGGTGGATTAGATTTAATTTAAAATACTCAAAAATTATTAAGAATAATGCCAAAAAATAAATATCAAAAAATTCGCAGTAAAGAAGCATTTATGATAAAATGATGGGAGTTTTATTCTATAAATTGTCACAATTTCGGTATATAGTAAAAAATGCTAATAAATGGTTCAAATTACAAAAATGTGTGTAGTTTACTTAAAACAAAACCAATTTTTATCATTAAAATGTAAAATAAACTTGAATATTGGGACTACATGTTGACATCATTTAGGACCCCAGTACATTTTTACTTTTTGAGAAAATTAACTACAAATGTTGATTTTAAAGAAAAATTTGATATGAAATTTATAAATTAAAAAATGGATGCAAATTCACTAGAAATTTCTCAAATTTTATCAAGATAAATGGGAAAATTGCGAATAGAAAATTTTTTTTTAATAATATTAAGTATTTATGCAAAAAAAATATAAATTTGCTCTAAAATAGTTATAAAAAATTTTTAAATAAAAAAAATATAATTATAAGCTTAATTATAGAAAAATTACTAAAATAAATTTCATATTAATTTATTATTGATAAAATCTATGGGCTTCCATGGTGTTATAGCCGATTTTTTAATTCTGGTTTTTTTTGCAACACACTGTATATAATTAATGCTTTTTTTAAAAGCTATCCTTCTTGCTAATTAAATTTCCAATAATCCTTTAGATAAAGCAATTTCTGCGTTTAAAATACTACTACCAGCAGCACCTAAAACAGTGTTATGTACCAATAAAGTAAATTTAACATCCAATACATTACATTTTCTAACCCTACCAATTGTAACACTATAACCATTGCCATTATCTCTATCTAATCTAGGTTGTGGTCTATCATTATCATAACGAATAATAATAGATTTTTTTGGAGCAGAATAACATCCGATTTTTTGAGCTTCACACGCGTAAGAATCTAATACATCAATAATTTGTTGAGGACTAGGTGAAGGTTGGTTTTTAAATTTAATTGATACACACTCTGTATGGCCATCGATAACAGGTACTCTATTACAAATAGCTGAAACATTCGTAGATGATAATAATTTAAATTCTTTTTGATTTGAATTTAATTCCCCTAAAATTTTTAAAGTTTCATATTCAATTTTTTCTTCTTCTCCACTGATAAAAGGTATCACATTATCAAATATATCTAATGATGATACCCCCGGATATCCTGCTCCCGATATTGCTTGCATTGTTTGTACTATAATAGATTCTATTGGTCCAAATGCATCTTGTAATGGTTTTAATGCTACAACAAGTCCTGTTGTTGAACAATTTGAATTTGTTACCAACATTCCTTTTTTAAGCGAATAAACCGACCTTTGATGTGGAATTATATTAAAATGAGACGGATTTACTGTTGGAACTATTAAAGGAACAACCGGATCTCTTCTATAATTTTTTGCATTAGAAAAAATTACTAAATCCGCTTTTAAAAATTCCATTTCTAAGAAAAAAAATATTTATAAATAATTTAGTACATGTTTTTTTTAAAATCGAAATTTCGTTTTTATAAATTTATCTACCAATTTCACCAGCGACATCAGAATCCAAACCAGAAAATACCACATCACAATCATTAAAAAATTCAGCTTTACATTCTTTAATCACCATTTCTTTAACTTGTTCGGGTATGTCACTTGTCATCTTCCATTTTGTAGCTTCTACATACTTTTTACCAGCTGAGCGAGAAGAAGCTCCGATAGAATGAATAATAAATTGTGGATGTGATGATAATAATACTATGAACCGCTGTCCTACTGTTCCTGTCGCTCCTAATATACCAGTTTTAACTTTTGTCATTTTTTTTTTTTTAAAAAAAAAAAAAAAAAAATTTTAAGATTATCTTTTTATATTAGATTTAGATATATCCAACTGACCCTCCAATAAGATATTTTTCCACTCGTATTTTCGTTAAATAACTACCCAATCAAAATTTGTCACATTTTTACTTATATTGTAAAAATGTTTAAAATATTCAAAGTTCCTTCTCGAAATTCACTTTATATTCTTTCCTCGGCTTATATTATCAATAAATATAGTACTACTAATATGTTACAAGCAACCGAAAAGGAAGATATTTCTCCCTCTTCTGATGACACAAAACTTAAAAAGGATTGGTCTAGTGTTAAAGATATTCGTCAAGAATCAAAAACTTTTGGCACTCGTTTATTAGAAAATAAAGAGGATGTATGGCGTCATAATGCTTGGTAAGAAAGTAACGGATAACTATATATTATATAAATACATTTGTTGAAAAAATTTTTTTTTAAAAAAAAAACAAAAGGGATCACGTTGATTGGGATGAAGAACAAGAAGAGGCTGCTAAACAAAAAGTATCATTACAATCAAATAATCCAATGGCATTAGAAGAACAACGTAAAGATAAATTTCATTATAATCTTTTATTTTTATAGTTTTATTAAACCGATTTTAACAAATAAGATTATATTTTCAAAAGAAAAATATTTAAAAAATCCATCAGAATTTTGGAATACATTTTACAAACATAATGAAAATAAATTTTTTAAAGATCGTCAATGGTTAAAAGTTGAATTTCCTGAATTACATAATACGACAAATATTGATGTAAGTTCAATTTAAATTTTATTCCCTTTTTTTTTAATAACTTCTTTTAATAATATGATGAAAATGGATTTCACAGAGTGGAAATAAAAAAATTTTTGAAATAGGATGTGGAGCAGGAAATACGATGTTTCCTTTACTTGCTATTAATAAAAATTCAAATTTATTTATTTATGCTTGTGATTTCGCCGAAAACGCTGTTCAAGTAGTTAAAGTTAAGTTACTTTTAATCTGGGGGAAAAAAGAATTGTTTTATCTAAAGAAATTTTCACTCTCTTTTTTAGAATAATAAAGAATATAATCCGAATCATTGTAAAGCATTTGTATGGGATTTAACAAATAAGCATATTCCAATTGAATATATTGAACCTAATAGTTTAGATATTGTTGTATTAATATTTGTAATGTCTGCTTTAAGTCCAAATGATTGGAATCAAGCTGTTGATAATGTTTATAAAATGCTTAAACCCGGCGGTCTTGTATTATTTAGAGGTATTGTTATTTTATATGATTATTATTTTCTCATAATTCTGACTTATCCTATCTAAATTAGATTATGGTAGGTATGATATGGTACAATTAAGATTTAAAGAAGGCCGTATGTTGTCTGATAATTTTTATGTTCGTGGTGACGGTACAAGAGTTTATTTTTTTACATCAGGTTTGTACATTATTTAAAGATATATTTTGTACGTGTTCTTAACAAGCCATATTCAATTTTCTTTTTTTTTATTTAATAACATAAGATGAAATCGAAAAAATTTGGGGATCAAAATTTTCGATTGAACAAAATGCTATAGATCGTAGGTTAATCGTAAATAGACATCGTAAATTACAAATGTACAGAATATGGTTACAAGGAAAATTTAGAAAATTACCCAATTTATGATATTTATTAAATTGATGTCAAAAACTGATTCTAATATATTTATTTCTGAGGAAGGTAAACGTAAGCTGAGGCATAACTAACGCTACTATCTCCTTCGTGTTTTACATGGCTAGATTGTGCATAATGTATAAATCGAATCTTCGGTTGTTGAGATTCGTCAACAACTGAATCATTTTTATTATTATTATGATTTGGTAATGCATTAATTGCGCATAAAAGTACCCCAATAGGATGTCTTCCACATATAGTATTTTTTGTCTTAGCAAGATACGAAGTAAATTCTTTATGGTTTATCTTTTCGATGATATCCATTCCTTTCCTATCAAGATTTTCAATGGATTTATATATAGGGGTTGTCAATGAAGTATCAGATCTACGTGAAAGATAAATGCCATCACTGTCCGGTGATGCTGAATAATACGTATATGAAAATCTATGTCCCCTAATTTAAGCACAGAAAAAAAAAAAAAAAAAAAAAANTTTTAAAAATGACTACACCAAGTAAACGTAAGTTAAAATTTTGCTACACCTTCGTAAAATAAAAATTTTCTTAAAAAAAAAAAAAAAAAAAAAAAATATTTAAAATTTATCATCATCTTTGAGAAAGAAAAAAATTACTTAATTATTCACCAATGACAAAAATCAGATGAAATGATGAAAAGATTGGATGGATCAGCAAGATATGGAGCAAATAATTTTCCATAAAACATTTCCTTGTCCGCAGTTAAAGATCCCACCAATACAGGAACAATTTTAATGGAATCAATCTTACTAATAAAGAATGAAAAGAATGAAAGAATAAAATTATTAAAAAAATGCTAAATATTAATAAGAATAAAATTAAATAAAAAAAAAAACCTTTCTAAAATTTTATAAGTATATGGTAGGTGCATTTCAATACTATGTTCTTCCTCATCAATATCTTGAGACATAATTTCAAAATGTCCTGTTTGTTTCAATTCTTCGATAACTGTATAAATATAAAAAAAAAAACTTAATAAATTTGTTTATAAATATAACACAATGAAAATGATATATTTACTTTCAGTATCTAAAATCAAATTTCCCAAAGGAGTTTCGTATTGAGGACATTGAGAAAGCGCGCACTGAGAAAATCGAACATGATGTGAAGGTCCAAGTATGAATACGCGTTTTCTAAAACATGACAAACAAAAAATATAATATATTATGTTTTTATTCAATTTTTTTTAATGATATAAACAACTGTATTGTAAAATGAATATCAAAATATATACACAAAATCGGGATTGATACTTTTATAAGCGAATGCCGCGGCGGGTCCACTATATGAATATCCTGCATGTCTAAAAATTATAAAATTTATTTCTTAATCAGACTAAAAGCTACCATTTATCGAAAAAAAATTTTTTTTTTCTTACGGAGCAATAATAGCTCTAGCACCGGGAACAGGTATAGGAACACCGTCTACTGTTGTAGGTGGAACTTCATCTAACCACTGCGTAAGCTCTTTATTTAAGCGAGGTCCTTTAACAAAAATATTAGTATAAATGTTAGTTGCCCGATTTACATAAAATTGTCTAACACGGTACGGTCAGCTCTCTAAAAATGTATTCAATAAATACATCCACTACATATGCCCTCCAAAATAAATTCTAGCTCATTATAAATGCACACTTCTTTATACGTATTTATTGTGAAAATTACGTTTATTACCATAGGAGAATGTAATTATAGAGAGCTGACAGTATTACTTCAGTATAAATCAATTTTTTTTTTACCTTGTTCAGAGTACCAAGAGCCAGCGTGATAAGCGCTTCTACTCATCATATTTTAGTTGAAATAAAACGCGCAAAAGTGTTTAATGAATTTCTTTTACCATGTATGGTTATTTGTCACAATTATTCGCAATTATCACATATTTTCTGATTTTTTAGCGAATTATCAAATTGATAATCAAACTTTTTATCTTTGTTGAAAATGATTTTTATTAAACGAAGTAATTTAAATAAATTAAAAATAATATATAATAAAAATAAACGTTCATATTCTAAATTACCCAACGTATTATCCAACTTATTACCAACAAGAACAATAAACAATATAATAACATCGTCTCCAGTAGGTGCGGAAATACAAGTAAACGGATGGATACGTACTGTAAGAATACAAAAAAATGTTTCTTTCGCTTCTATTAATGATGGTACAAGCGTGAAAGGTTTACAAGCTATACTTTCAAATGAAGTTGCTAAAAAGTTTGATAGAATTAATTTTATTTTATTTTTTTTTTTAAAAAAAAAAATCCTTTTCCAACATTTTTATATTTATTATTTAGACTGACAACTGGTACTTGTGTTCGATTACATGGTATATTAGTTGATAGTATTGGAAAAGAACAAACTAAAGAATTACAAGTTAATAAAGTTGAAATTTTAGGTGAATGTGATCCTGTAAGTAAGATGTTTAGAATTAAATATATATTCAAATAAATGTTAATATCTTCTTATTATCAGACTTATCCCCTGCAAAAAAAACATCATTCGATGGAATTTCTTCGTGATATAACTCATTTACGGTTTAGATCAAATATTTTTAGCTCTATGTTACGTATAAGAAATTCTACTATGCTAGGTCTCCAACGTTTTTTTCAGGTACTATGAACATCTTACTGTATAAAATTTATATTTTTACTTAAACTAATTATAATAAATTATTTATTAAATAGAGAAATGAATTTATACAAATACATACACCAATTATAACAACATCAGATTGTGAGGGTGGTGGTGAAGTATTCAAGCTTACAACATCAAATATTACATCAAAACAAGAATTTTTTGGTAAACCAGTTTATTTAACAGTGTCTGGTCAATTACATGCAGAATCAATTTCATCGTACATCCCTCGTGTATATTCAATCGGTCCAATTTTCAGGGCCGAAAATTCATTTACTTCAAAACATTTATCAGAATTCTGGATGTTAGAGAGCGAAATTTCTTTTATCACTTCTTTGAATGATTTATACAATTTTGTTGAAAATTCGATTAAGTATATTATCCAATTTTTATTGGATAATTCTTATCAAGATATCGATTATTTCAATCAATTTATTGATAATAATTTATTAAATCGGTTAGAAAATACTTTAAAAAATCCTTTTATTACGATGTCTTATAATGACGCTATAGATATTCTTAAAAAAAATTCTTTTGATATTTCTTTTGGTTCTCCCCTTCAGTCTGATCATGAAAAATTTTTGTCTACTACTTATTGTAATTCTCCTTTATTCGTTATTAATTATCCAAAAGAAATAAAACCTTTTTATATGCGTTTAAATGATGACAATAAAACTGTTGCTTGTACTGATTTATTATTTCCTAAAATTGGTGAATTGGTTGGCGGTAGTTTAAGAGAAGAGCGTTATTCAATTTTAGAAAATAATATTATAACCAAGGGTTTATCTTTGGAGGATTATAAATGGTATTTAGATTTAAGAAAATTTGGGAGTGTCCCTCACGGCGGTTTTGGTATGGGAATTGAAAGATTTTTATTGTATATTACTGGTTTAGAAAATATAAAAGATGTTATACCTTTTCCTAGATCCGCTGAAAATTGTAAATTTTAAATAAAGAAAAAAGCTTTTTCAAAGTTTAGGATGTCCACTATTATATTTTTAACAAATCAATCAAATAAGATGAATTCAATAAAAAAAAATCAAATAAATCATATGGTTAGCAGGTTTCAAAAAAAAAAAAGAGAGGGAAAGAAAAATTTCAAATTTGCTGACTTTACCTTTTTGGCAATCATTCCTTCAGGAGGTTTTGTTTCTACGTTACCTTTACTGACTTCACCCCAATTTGTGCTGAGACAAGTTCCACTGCTTTCTGTATAACTCTTCAGCATGGCTCTTTTAGTATCATCATCAGCATCTTTATACAATTGTTGGAATAAAGAATTCAAAGCTGCCTCTCCTTCTGGTTTTTCTTGTTCTTTACTGATTTCTTTTTCTAACGCATCCCAATTTTTTGCACGTTTTGCAGATGATGGATAAGCAACCGATCCTACCACAGCATCTTCTCCTTCCAAGACTCCCCATTTAGCACCAGCATTGGCCTTTTTGAGTTTAATCTCAATTTTAGTGGACAATACCTCATATTTACTTTCCTTTGGAACTATTTCATGTGCAAGTGGTTCAAGTTCTAATGAATAATCAGATCCAGTTGGAAGTTTTACCGTGACCGATAAAGATTTCTCCGTCATGTAAACATCAACCGTTTCTTTCTTGACATTCTTGATGAAAATACTGACAATAACAAAGTTATCATTTTGATACCATTCATGCCTTACACGACTTTGAGATAAGAAACCAGCTGAATCTGGGGGTGTTGGTGTTGGTTTGGGAACTTCATTCCGTTGATTGAGTCGATAATTTAATAATTACTAAAAATAAAAAAATTCCCGTATCGGCAAATAAAAATAATTTGTCTTACTTTTTTCCAATTCTGCTTCAGTCTTTTTTAACCAAGTAGCTAATGATTTCTCATTAGGATTTAATTCTTTAGAAGACTCGAGTGATTTCTTTGCTTCTTGATAATTTTTAAGTTCAAATAACGCAATACTAAAGAAAAAAGTATATAAATATAATTTTATTTGTAGGTAAAACGAACAATATGCAATCATAATATGTCAAATTTTAGATAATCCGGTTACCCTTTTCTCAATAAGGCTTTTGCTTTAATTGAGTCTTGTTCGGTATGTTCATTACTTTCAATTAAGCTGAGCGCTTTTTCGGCGTCAGCTAAGGATTCTTTACCCTTCTTTTTCATTTTTTGATATGTAGCCGACCTAATTAGATAAAATCATTTTATCAATAAAATGTCATAATATTACTATTATAATAAACTAAATAACCTTTTCAAAAAATATTCAGGGTTAGTCGCGTCCAAATCAATAGCTTTGTTATATAGCTCTAAAGCTTCGTCATAATCGTCTTCAAAGAAAGCATCATTAGCTTGTTTGTAAAGTAGTTCCGCAGACGCCATTTTTAATGTCGAGAAAGAATTACTGTCGAGATTTTTTTTTCAAATACTTTATATATAGTAGACTATTATATCTGGAATATTCTCGAAAGATCATTTTTAACATATTCATGTGATCAATGATTCCAATTGTACAATTTTATACATAATGCACTGTATCAATAAAAAAATTTATATAATTATTTTAAATTTAATTATAATAAAAATTTATTAATCTCCAAATAATTCACCATTAACCATAATAGAATTTTCAATCACACAAGAATCAGATTCGCTCCATTGATCGAAATACCACGTAAATATAAACTCACCTGTATCATCGGTTTGAAATGCATGCTTATGTGTCATAATAGAATCATCATCAAGCATAAGTGTTGGAGACATTATTATTAATACATTTTATATAACAAAAGAATCGTTATTGATACGAATACGAAATTTTTTTTAATCATACCATACTATAATTTTGATTTAACTTACATTTTTTCTTCATATCTTGTTTTAGAATCAGCTTTGATAAATTTTACCCCGAATTTAACTCCTTCCACAACTCTAAAAACTTATTTCCACATTGTTTTTACCAATGTTACTATCTTCGCCACTATTTGCAACAATGACTTCGCATGAACGAAAATCTCCTTTAAGAATACGCAAACGCCCAATAAATCCGTCTTTTTTTGGATTCGGGAGGGATAGGTGTGGAAGGTCGAGTTGATGTAGGGGTTAAAGGAAGAGATGAAGTAAGGGGTGAAATATTATTCAAAATCACAGACGGAACGCATCCACCTAGTATACAGTTTCCAAATTAAAAAATTTGTTCAGTTGTGCCTCAGATGCCGATTTACGCCAAATGAATATTTAAACAAGTTTATAATGGAAATTTTAATACCTGGCATATGAGAACACGTGCACGTTCCGCCGAGAAACGAGGGAATATTTTCAGCGTCAATATGTTCAAGTAAAACTTTCTAGATAATTTTTTTTTTTTAAAAAAAAAGGAAGACGATTTAAATAAAAATATTTATCTTTTTTTACACATACCTTAAAATCTTTATCACAAATATGAACTTTTTTTAACATTCCAGGATCTAACCATTTTTTTGCTAACGCCAAATTTTTACAAATATAAAAGGTGCATTTACAACAAACAACTTTCCTAATCTTCCTGGATAATATTTTTGATCTAATTCTGCGATTGCACGATAAAGAGTTAAACTTGGCAAATGAAGCTCTATATATATAAAAAGAATTTTTTAGAAAAAAATTTAAAACATAAAAAGAAGCCACACAAGAACTTACGATGAAAACCCATTCCCTCACAGTCAAATATTACTGTTTCCTTATCAATAATTTTACCCGCTCTTCTACTCAATTCTGGCATAATAACACGATGTGAGAATTCTTGACATCTAATATGCCAATTTGTTAACTCTTCTTGTTTTACATATTTTGCTAGCCTTTTGGAATCATGATATCCCTAAAAATTATAAATAGAAATTATTGAACGTTAATTATGTAATAAATTAACATTTAATTTTCTTACCGCTCTTTCAATGTAAATTCCCCTTCCTTCTTTATCTGTCTTGTGTACAGAATTACCGCCAAAATATCCGTATATTTTCTGGTACACCATTACCCGCTTCAACATTGATGTCAGGCACGAAAGGTCAAAGTCCTCTTACAGGATAAAGAATCGGAGTGCCAGGATTTAATATAGGAAGAGGAATTGAATCGATACCTTCTAAATCGCGCCAAGTAATAGTTTCTATAAGTTGTTCCTTTGTTTTATCCTAATTGTATTATGTATTTTAAATAAATAATTTATAATTTCAAAATTTTCCAAGTAAAATTATATTACCAATCGAAAGCTTCTAGCGGTTGCGAATCTCATCAGGGTCTAAATAATAATAATTTTTATAATTGCAATATAAATTGATTCAAATTTATTTTACAACTTACATGGTCGTCATACTCTTCCCTAATATTTCACGAAACTTCTTTATAACTTGATCTCTACTTTCCAAATTTAACTCAGTGTCATTTTCTTGAGGCGTAGAAATAAATCTTTTGAAAATTATATAAATGTGTTAGTATAAGTAAAATTAAGTCAATAAGAATAAAAGTTCATACCTCAAAGAATGTATAACAGAGAAAATTTTTACGATAAGCAATAGATTTGTGTGACCTGATATATGAAAAGAAAATTTGCATATTGCAATTTTTTAAGGTTTTTCTAAATAAAGCTATTTAAAACTTAGGATCTTTGATACATTCATTATTCAGCCATTTGCAAGTCAAATGAATACCGGAGTAAATATTTACACTAATCACCATACAAAACATAGAAAAATACAAAATACTTATTTTTTTTTTTGCTAATGTAATAAATTACCAAGCGAAATCTCCTGAGAATTTATTTTATAATATCAATAATCTCGCATGTTCCTTGTCCTGGTTAGTTAAGTTTGGTACGAATTTATTTGCATTTAAAATAATCTTAAATCGAAATTTAAGAAATACTGTTTTTTAATGGTTAATAATGGTTAATAAAATATTCATGATAAATATTTGTAATTTTTTTTTAATCGATCTTTCCATCTTTCTTTCTGTCCATTTTGTTGGCTTGTTTACAATTCTCTGTATCTCGAACTCAACTTTGACAATTAACGAAATTATGAATCTTTTCGTTCGTGTCATTTTCTATGCTGAACTTCCCTTACTACCGTTTACTTTATAAATTATTAACAGTATGAGAAATAGTAATGTCATCCTTAACTAGCCAAGGAAAACAGCCAGTCAAAAATGTCTTGACTCCTGGAATCCAACGCAAATATTTTTCTTTGATCAATCTGCAAATGAGAAATTAAGGACGATCAATTGTGTGATGATTGATGAACTGATAAATTTATAGTAAATCATTTAAATATTATTTAAGTTTCTAAAAAAATTAGACTAAACGCGTTGAAATATTTGAAATTTTTTATCGCGAAAAAAATTGTACGATGACTGATTTGCAGAAATATGTTGATTGTATGTTTAAATAATTTTTATTTATTTGGATTTTTCACTTATTGTTGGTTTTTTTTTTTACAAATGTAATATTTCTCAGTAACAGTCGAAGTAATTACTTCCGATGGGCGAGTTATAGTGGTATACAAATGTATATTTATTTTGTTATTTATTTAAATTAATAATTTAAAAAATATATTCATTTAATATATAGGGAACTTTAAAAGGGTTTGATCAAACTACAAATGTGATCCTAGCTGGATGTCATGAACGTATTTTTTCAGAAACTGAGGGAGTTGAAAGAGTGCCTCTTGGATTATATATAATACGAGGAGACAATATGTAACGTATTATTTGCAACAAAATACAATAAGTATTTAAATGCATTTTTTTTAACCATTTTAAAATTTTGAAAACAGATGCTTGATTGGTGAATTGGATCAAGAACGAGATGCATCTATAGACCTTACTGAGATTAGAGCGGCTCCTATTACCGATATTTCTAGACGTTGAATGATTTTTTTTTAGATTTCATTTAATAGAAATTTTCTTTATTTTTGATATTTGTATATAACAAGCAAATAATAAATTTAATATGCATAATAGAAAAAAGTTTTGTAGTTGTGTAGTTAGGGAGGAGCTTAGATGATCATAAATATTTTTTTTTTTTATTTATATATATATATTAAAAAAAATGGAATTAAATAGAATTATGCAACGATTGTATATATTAAATTTAGTAAAAGAGAGGAAAAAAAAAAATAATTAATTTAAATCTAATCTGAAAAAAAAAGTTATTTTCTAATTTATAATAAATAAACTAGTCTATAAATTAGGAAGGAAATCAAATATTGTCAATGTGTAGTAATGTCTCCGGTATACTTAATAAATGTCCCATCCTTTCTACCTTTACCTTTAGATATTGGTCTACCTCTTTTCCAATGCGATTTGAGTCAAGATTGTTTTGCCATGTTATAGGAATCATTGGAACGCGTTCAATAACTTTAATTCCAGCTTCCTCGATTTGTTCAATTTTGTCAGGATTGTTTGTTAATAATCGAATGGTAGATAAGTTAAGATCATCTAGAATTTTTGTTGCAACATCATAATTACGAAGATCAGGAGGATGTTTCAAAAAAAGATTAGCCGTTACTGTATCATATCCTAAATCCTGTAAATTATATGCTCTAATAAAAACAATCATATCAAATCAATTATTTAATTCATTGAGATAATAAACACCTTCATACTTAATAAAAGTTTTTATTCACCTCAATTTATCTGCGAGACCGATTCCTCTACCTTCCTGCCTCAAGTATATAACTACTCCATGACCTTCCAACTGAATTAGTCGCATAGCTTCATCTAATTGTTCACCACAATCGCATCTTGCGCTATGAACCGTTTCTCCAGTAAAGCATTCGGAATGAATTCTGACTAAAGGTGGTGGTAACTGTATTGATGATATATTGGGATCATCACCATCACTAATATCTGATTTTATTTGACCAGGTTTTAACCTACCCTTATATGCTCCCCTTATAATTCTATCCATTTCATTTTCTTCTGGTCGAGAAGCATCTAAACTATTGCTTCGAATATTATCACCATATACAACTGCTAAATGTTCTTTATTGTCTCGATTATTTCTATAAAGGTGGAGAAAAAATTCTCCAGTAGAAGTCGGAATACGTGCTCGCACTTGACATTCTACTTTAACAGAGTTATTATTTTTAAAAAAAGTAGGTGGTGTATTTGAAGGTGTTTTAATAGCATCAGGCGTTCGAAATGAATGTCTAAGAATATGATTATTTGTTAGCCCATTTGTAAAATTTTTTTTGGAACTTGTCGAACATTTTGTCGAAGTTACATTTGATGGTTTAGTTATTGTTGTCGAAGTTTCTGTCTTCAAAGAAGTATTATAAGTGGAAACATCAAGCGGCTGAGTAAATATCGCCTCTTCAGTATTGTGAAAACCCATTAGTTCATATAAAAAAATCTAGATGAAAAAAAAAAAATTTCGAGTAATTTTTTATATCGGTCAATCACGTGATAATTTTTCAAAGAAACTGCTTAAAAAGATTTGTCATTGTATTTCATTTGATTTGTAATGTTGATTATTACTATTATGATAATCAATAAAGCTTTATGGTCTATGGAAATTACTATGATAGCCCGCGGAATACTATCGGGAAATTGGTTCCGTTTTTTAGCAACAATAACTGTGTACATCGTTTCCATATTATCTATATTGTTTATATTTGACCAACTAAAATCGAACATTTGGATTGGCATTACGTAACCGCAGACGCAGATTCTAATAGAGTCACAGACGCGTTCGAACATAACATATAAAGTTCTCCTCGTTTTTCAAAAAATGGCAGAGCATGATTCAGAGTGGTATTTCGGTTCACGTTTGTCAACTAATGGAGATTCTTTAAGAACTATAGCAGAAAAGTCAAATAGCGAAGTTTATCATGATGCAAAAGATACGGAAGAAACGAATTTTTTAAAAAATATCTCAGATTCTGATTCTGCTTATAAATCTTTCACACAGATAGATTATACTCGCTCGTCGTCTTCCTCTGATTCTGACGAGTTTTCTGACGAGGAAAGTTATAGTTCAAGTGAAGAATCAATAATCGATCTTGAAAAGTTGAGACGTGAGCAAGTCAGGCTTACTTTGCTTAAAAAAATATCAGATAATAGCACGCCTGAATTAAATAAGGGGAAGATGCCTGAGAAAGTCAAAAAATCGAATGGCTCATCAAATGCATCTATGTTCACATCGAATGGATCTATGTTCACGTCAATGTCGGATCACTTGGAATATGAAGAACAACCATACTATTATTTAAATTCACAGCCATGCCCGTTGGGTGTTCCTGATAAACTCGCTGTTCAAATGTTAAAGGTCAAAAAGAATAAACCTCCAACTAGGGAATTTTCGCCCCCAGTGTCTCTTGTGGTTGACGGATCTCCTTGGATCCCTGAAATAAAACGAACAAAACTTCCAATTGAATCACGTAGGGAGGATATTATTAGTATTATCCGAGAAAACAGAGTAATCGTGTTAAGTGGAAGTACGGGTTGTGGGAAGGTATTTGAATTTATTTATCTAATTATTTAAAGTGTCGAATTATATTCTAATTCTATTATAATGTCGCGAAGTCAACACAAGTACCACAATACATATTGGATGATTGTTTACAAAGACGCGTTCCAGTAAATATAATCTGTACACAACCGGTAACGTACTTTATCTCGTACAAATCAATCTTTAGTTTTGCAATGAAAGTTAATAAATACTTTTTTTAGCGTCGTATAGCAGCCACTTCTCTTGCACATCGTGTCGCATCCGAACGGGGAACTCCACTTCATGGTCAGGTGGGATATCATATTGGAGGTAAAGGAGGTTTTTCTGCATCTACCAGATTGCGCTACGTTACGACAGGGATTCTATTAGAAATGTTGAAAGCAGATCGATATTTAAACTCTTATACTCATGTTATTATGGATGAGGTATATTAATTCTTAGTAATTGACTAGTTAAACTTCTATAGAAAAGCAAGCTAAACATAATTTCTCATTTTAAAAGATTCATGAGCGTAATGTTGATGATGATTTAATGATGGCGCATCTTTGTGTTATATTAAGAGAAAATCCATCATTGAAGTTGATTATTATGTCAGTGAGTATATAAATTTGACGATTATTTATGTTGACGTGATTAGTCAGGGGTTGATAATATTTTTCACTAGGCTACCATGAACGTACAAAAGTTCACAAGATATTTTTGTGAATTCGAAACTGAAAATGATGGGTTTGTTTCGCAAATTCCTTGGATTGATATTCCTGCAAAAACTTTTCCAGTTGATGTTTTTTATCTAGAAGATGTTTGTCAAGGGATGGATACATACGAATCATATCAGAAGATTGTATTGAATGATCCTAAAAAGCCATCTATGATGCAAGAACGTCGTGATCTTTTTATAAGCTGGATACTTCGATGTCACATTGATTCACCGGTTGAGGACGCGTTTCTTGTTTTTGTACCGGGAATTGCCCTAATCGCTGAAATGGTAAGAATAATCAATATACCATTTCATATACAATTAATACTCATGAAGGGAATAAATATATTGTCAAACATTAGGAGGATCAATTAATGATACTTGGTGAACAGCAGCGGTATTTATTAGATTTCTACACTTTTTTTTATAAAGAATCCTTTTAAAAAATAAAAAGAAAATAATAATATTTATAACTTATTACATTTTCATTACCTTACGTTTTTAGGATGTCGGCTCATTCTTTTCCGGATTTCATGATCATTAAACTACATTCAACCGTCACTATTGATGAACAATGTTTGATTATGCAACGTCCTCGAAATGGTTGCCGAAAAGTACGATTCAGTTTAAACTATTGTTCATACTTAATTTTTTTAAAAAGTAATTCACTTTAAATATTACATTAATAAGATTATTTTGGCAACAAACGTTGCCGAGAGTTCGATTACGGTACCAGATGTGAAAATAATATTCGACAGCTGTTTGCGTAAAGACGTGCATTATGATAAGACAGCACGATCTTATAGTTTGAACGAACAGTGGATAAGTAAAGATTGTGCCGAACAGCGAAGAGGCAGAGCGGGAAGAGTAGGACCGGGAGTGGTATTTAATTATTTTATTTCTCTAAGTGATCTAAATATCGTCTATTAATGTAAAATTTTTATCATCATAGATTTATCGATTCGTAACGAAACAATTTTTTGATAGTTTAAGTAATGAAAGGAACCCAGAAATTAAGAGAACGCCTCTTAATTCTTTGCTTTTGAGATCTATTTATGCAAATCTCGGCGATCCTCGTGAATTATTATCACACTGTCTTGATCCTCCGGATGATACTGCTGTGGACTATGCAATTGAAGATTTGGAAGCAACCGGTGCTGTTATTAAATCTAGTAAGATATCCAAGGAAGTAGATGATTGGGTTCAAGGAAGCGTGTTATCATGTGAGTATGAAGTTACTCGACTTGGAACAGTCCTTGCACAATTACCGTTGGATCTTCATTCTGGATTATTAGTCGTATATGGTACTATTTTTGGTTCATTATACGATGCTATGATTATTGCTGGTAAGTATTATTTTATAGTTAATAAAAGAAAATATTATTATTAAAGCAAACATTTGAAATTATTAGCGATATTACAAAATCGAGGGGCAATAGTTCAACCACTAAATCAAGAGATACAGATTAGCGCGGCAATGAGTCGCTTTTCTCGTAACTTACCGGATGATTTTCCTATACAGGGTGGTTCAGATTTAATATCTCATCTACGTGGCTATTTGTATTGGGAAGAAACAACACAACACGATAGTAAATTCGATTTATCTAAAGAATTATCATGGTGTCAAAATCAATTTCTTAGTTTATATTGGATGAGAGAGATACAAGATTTGGTAATATCAATCCGAGAGTCATTAGCTTATATAGGCGTTTGTTCTCCGCCAGCTAAGGAAGAAAGAGATAAGATACGCAGAAATCGTAATATAATAAATGAGTTTGAATTAGATGAAGAAATTGAGAGCGATAATATTGATCAGGCGATTAAAATCTTGGATATTGCAGCGTATGATGAAACCCCCAATTTGATTAAATTTGACGAAATCAGTGAGATTCAAGAACAGCCTCTAATTAATACCTACAGAACTAGGTCACATTATCAAACAAAGCCAGGTACGCCTATTCATCAAATACCAGATCATGTACGGGCACTTTTAAATCCTTGGACAAACGTATTTGATCGAACATATGAAATATCTTCAAGACCCGTTAAGCTAAATAGAGAACCAAATGTTACTTTGCTGACAATTTTATTGACGGCAGCTTTTCATCAAAACTTATTTCGCGTTACTCCAAGTCAGGACAATCGTGTCTTCAAAGATTGCCCGAAAGATTTTAACCGAAATCATACAGTTGAATTCTCGGCTCAGATTCTTCCGCCAAAAGAAGTCATAATAGAAGCATTACAAAAAGATATTGGTTTCGTACATAAAATAGTTCATCCCAGCACTGAATCATCAGAAACACAAGGGGAATCTGAATCTTGTTATATTGAATTTGTAAAGCCTGTAAAACCTATATGGACACATTCTCGTGATAGAAATAAACCGACATTACCGGATGCCGCTTTTTTGGCACAAAAATTAAGAACTGTCAAAAATGGTATTTGGGCTGAGGGATTAAGTAATTCTACTGGACACACATTATATTCGGAAGATGCAAAAAAATTACGGTTTTCAGGAATTTTTGGATGTTCAGAAACTGCTACTGGGCTTTCTCCGATATTTCGTTCAAAGTCATCAAGAGTTTATCCGTCCAAAACATCTCTGTTTTTCCCACTGATCATTGATAGTAGTGATAATAAACGTTATTCAATATGCGCCGGAAAATTATTAGCTGTAGATTATGGTCATTCACATGTTGCAGAACATATTACGTGCCTAATAGGACCTTTACGAGCTAGAAATAATGTTGGTGACGCGATTCTCGCTTTTTTCGCGAATAAAGTTGAAAATGATGACGTGATTGGTGGATGGCATGTACAAATAAATTTGACTCAATATCCATTGTTTCATTCCCGACCTTCAGAGGTTGATTTAGATTTAATTCATACTGTCAGATATTTTTTAAGGCAAGCATTGTTTGAAACTAAACCAGTAAATTCTAATTCAGATGATAATTGTGATTATATGTCCTTGGCAAATTTGACACGTAAAGAGATGGTTAAGATTTGGAGCCAGTGTAAAATGACTGCGGATCAGGCTGGGAAATTATTGGTAGCTTCAGTGTTAATAATTCTCTAAATTAATATATTTTTATGAATATTTTTTATTTTTTTTGTAATTCTTTTTTGTAATTCTTCCTAAGATAGATTAGAATTAGTTTATTAAAATACATATGTATATTTATTTTATTTATTTATCGTTAATTGCTTCTCGAGTAAACTGCGCAATGGTGGTTCAGTGGCGTAATTTGATTATAATCACGTGCCTCTATAATGCATCAATTTTTTCGGTGTTTTTAAAAGGTAAAAATATTTTTTTTTTTTTAAAAAAAAAAAAAAGATCGTTTATATAAACCAACTAATTTATCAATATGGGTGATGGAGGCTTCTTTAAGGTTAGATTTTGATATAAAAATAAAATTTGTCCTATCCGATCTACTCGTAAGGTTAGAGAAATGGTTCATTTATTTTTCGTATTAATATAGGGTACGAGCTTAGAACAAGATAGCCGATTCTCTGATAAACAAAAAAAATTATTAAAGAGTATGAATTTTCCTTCAGAGTTTAATCAGAAGGTAATTTCAATTATTAATTTGTTCTTTGTAATTTGTCTACATTCTACACCCTTTTTTAACCTGTCGTTGGGCAATTTGCTCTTCAACGCTTTGAGAAGCCGAATCTCAATGATCTGTGGTTATCTTAATTGGCTAAGTTTGGTCCTAGACACTTTTCTAATGATCATATCAAACACAAAATAAACAAAATTTTTAGTTTACTTTTTGATTCAATGCTACCAGTACAAACTCGTAAGACGAAGGCAGTTCTTTGTTGAAAGCATTAGTATCAGCATCTGTTACTGGCCGTATTTCAAAATCAATCGCCATTGAAGGCAATATAGATTTTTCTTTTTTTTTTTACTTCCCGCGAATTTAAGTCATTCGTTTTCCAGAAAAAAATATTAGTTTGTTTTATTGGGATTCTGTTATTTTTGCTTTTATTTGGTAGTACTTCTTTCGTCCTTTCTTTGATAGAGAGAAAGTGGTAATGGATAAATGCACAAAAATTTGTCTTATTATTATCTTCACAATTATTTCAACTATTTTTTTCCACATTCGATTCTCAATTTATTAGGTTGATTTGAAAAAAGTGAACCTGACTGTCATTAGGCCATGGGTTGCGCAAAAAATTGTAGAATTATTGGGCGGTGAAGATGAGGTGGTTGTTAATTACGTGTTTGGATTATTAGAAGAGCCTGTTAGTTGATTTTAAGTTTTTTTTTATTCTGCTGCAAGCATTTTGTTACTTTGATCTTACTAAATAATAAATCTTTCGGATTAGGACTTGGATCCAAGAATGATGCAGATAAATCTTACTGGGTTCCTGGAAAAAAACGCCCCAATTTTTGTTACTGAATTGTGGAAATTACTTTTGTCAGCTCAAGAAGGTGAAAATGGAATTCCGGCAATTTTTCTTGAACAAAAAATGGAACAAATTCGGAGGAAAAAGGTTAACCATTTTTTATTTTTATCAAAATGTTTTAAAATGTTATAATTTAACTTTTAATCTTTTTTAAAAACAGGAAGAAGATGAACGAATCTTGTTAGAAATTCGGAAGAGGCGTGAAAAAGAGGAGGAAGAAAGAATAAGATTACGAGATATTAGAGAACGGGAGCGAAGAGAAGATCGCGAAAGAAAGGTATGCTAGTTTAATGAACAGGGAATTAATTAGAAAAATGAAATAAACATGCATTGCTGTTGTTCAGGTCCAGTTCATTTGTCTTACAAGATAATCTTTATAGGAACGTGAGCATAAACCAAACCGTAATCGTAGCCGAAGTAGAGAAGAAGACAGGAAAGATAGTAGAAGTTCTCGGCGGAGATACAGTCCTAGTAAAAGTGAAGAAAACAGACGACGACGTTCACATAAAAGGAGTAAAAGTAGAAGTAGGGATCGTAGTAGGGAACGTGGTAGGGAACATAGTAGGGAACGTAGTAGGGAACGTCGAAGGCATAAGAGTCATAGACATAGTAGAAGTAGGAGTAAAGAAAGGCGAAGGCAAGAAGAACGCAGACGACGCCAGAAAACTCCTAGTAGAAGTAGAGAAAGAGAAGATATGACTAAACGACGGCGTTTTTCAAAGGAGGAAATTAATACAAAAGAATCTATAGATAAAGTCAATCATTTATCTCCAGAAAAAAATAATCGTAAAGATAGTGTTACAGATTATGATTTAAAGAAAAGAACTGTTGAATCAGTAGAGGAAAATAATTCTGCACCAAGTTCACCTCCTCGTAAAAAAGTGGCTGATGTTCCAATTTTTAAATCCAAGTGGAATGATGATGTAGAGGATGAAGATGAAGTCGTGGAAAACAAAAAGGTATATTAGTAAAATAAAATTTCTGTAGATACGAGAAATTCAATAAACCAGTCGTTTCTTCATTGTTGATTAGAATTCTATTTCCGATCTTGAACAACTCGAACAACTTCGTATCAAAGCATTTGAATCGATGAAAAATCGCAAGTAATTTTTTTTCTGATGTTTTTTTACTTCAGATCAAGGATTATAATTAACCTTAATTAACCTTAAAAGACATGAATAATTTTATAAATTGCATATGGTATCTACAGATTTAATATAAACATGCATAAAATATAAATATAAATATAAAATAGTATACGTAGAAGTTGTTTTTTTGTATAATGAAAAATAAAAAATAATTTTGGAATGTAAAGTAGGTAAGGTTAATACAACTCTTTACATTATCGGTTATAGAATGGCAACCACTTACAAGTAAATTTCCCTAGCTAGAGGTTATGGTTACCCAAACCGGATGATTATCCAAAGATAATCCTATTATCCAGTATTATCCGGATAGGTTAGGGAATATCAATCCTAAAACTATTTTAGGATATAATATTTTAATGAGCAGTGATAAATTATTTTAAAATCTACCAAATATCTAAATCATCACATCTTTTTTTCCTTTATTTTCTTTATTTTAAATATTAATTTTAAAAAAACTTAAATATGCAAAAAAGAATATAATAGCAAATTGAAGAAATTTATAAATATAATAAAATTAATGATGCCAAAAGTAATAATAAAGATAGTGAGAATAAAGTAAAAATAATATTTTAGGTGTGGTAAACTTTACTGTGGGGGTTTACTATGCTAGATGGTCCTCATAGATGGTAAAGTCTTAAGTGCAATGTCTTAGCAGTAGTTTACCTTCTAATAGGTTTAGGCTGATTGGAGACGTTCGTAGGCTCACAGGTATATAAGGTTCTAAGGTGAGGTTCGATTCCTCAGTGAATTTGACGTACTGGTGTGTGATCCCTGGGTAACTGGTTTGGTTACTTATAATAAATGGGTGATCCCAGTACCCTTAGCAGCTTACTGTCCTGGTAGTCACTTCTATTACTACTGGGGGATTTACAACTATAGTGGGCTGGTATGGTAATCGCTGCCTGTAGTGGGCTTTGAGTGAGGCCATATTAGTAGTCTTAGTATTGCAGTACCTCTAAGCTAACCATCATGGAAGGACTTCTAGATGTCTGCTCCGTTATATCTGCCGTATGTGGGTGGTTGCTCACTTCTGACAGGCGCTAGTGGGTAGTATAACTGTGTCAGAAACCCTGCTACACTACGATCCATCCTTGTGTGGGTATAAACTTGGGTCGTCTTCCCAGTGTGGTATATAGGGGCAGGGGGATATACATCCGGTTACTTCTAAATAATTAGAGTAGGTACTTGATTAGCTGTAGCTTAACGGTAGGAGTGCATTTCTGCAACTTTAGTTGTAATGCTCCCTTCATGTAGCTCTGGTGAACCGGCTATGCTGATGTCTCCTAAAACATAAAAAAAAAAAAAAATAATAATATTTTATAGTTTTTGAATTTAATGAGATGAAGTTCAAGAAATTCTTGGCTATTAAATAGAAAATAAAAGTAGATTTTTTTTAGTAAATAAGTCAAAAGCTTAGTCTACCAATTATAAACTTTTAGTAATACAAGCTGGGTTTCTTAATCACCAGTTATAAATTCTTAGTTTAATGCTTATTATATGCTAGATCTTTTAAAATAGCTTTTAATTTAATATTGTGGATTTTGATATTTATAAAATACTTCTAAATGATTAAAATATAATTTATAAATATTAATTCAATACTTTATTTATCAAGAATTGGATTATACAGTAAGTGAAATTGAAAAATTCCAATTCAACTTTTAACTTCAATTGCAAGTGAACTTCTAATTTAAAATTTTATAAAATAAAAAAAAATTAATTAATATTTTTTTATTTTAAATAAAAAAAATAGATCTGAATTTTTTATAATTTAAAATATTAATGATTATATAATTTTAGAAAAAGATATAATCAGCATATTATAAATTTTTCAGAGATTAAATACCAATAATAATTATTATTTAATTAAAAATTATTATATTTTATTATATTAAAAATATATATATTCTTTTTTTTTATTTATTCTTATAAAGATTGATATTTTATTTGATAATTAGTCTAATATGTATTCATAAATATTAACCCCTAAAATACTTCACTTAAATTATCATCATAAATATCATCTAAAAAAATATTATTATAAAGAATTTTAATATGATTTTAACAGTTTTTAATAGTACCAGCTATAATTTTATTCCAACTTTAAATAATATATTGGATTACTTGCAAAATATTTATTTTCAAATTATAAATAAGCTTATCAGCTTTAACTTGCTCTAGTATTTATTTAAAATAAAAATAAAAGTATTTAATATTATAAAAGTAGTAAAAAATAATAAAACTAAATTTGTAATCACCTAATATAATAATGTCTATAACATTTTTTAAAAGTCATAATGATCCAATTATCTAATAACTAAAACTTTAATGTTATATTAAAAGGTAAAAAATAAATATCAATATAAGAAAGAATTAGATTTTCTAAACAATTATTAACTAGTAATAAGACATATTGCCCTCCATATTTTTAACCATCAAATTTCTAAATCATTCTTGAAAAATAATTGATAACATCCAGGTTTTAAAATTATTCTATTAGGTTATTGGTAAATTGCCAATTTTAAATATTATAATTTGACAAATTTACCAATTATTAAAGGATTTAACTTATACAACCTATTAGCATTTATATATAAAACAATATAAAGACACTCTTTATTTTTTTATGACTAGCAAAACATTTCATTGCCAATGTTTAATCTGGTTCTAGCCTGCAAAATTATTATATTAATACAGTATTAGTTAATATAAAAAATATTAAATAATATTTTAAAATATATATCAATAAAAAAACCCTATTTCATTTATATTATAGATTCTTTCTGAAGGATTCAGCATATTTACTTTGTAATAATAGTAGAACTTCAGCAATAGCATTTTCAGTTACAGAATCTGCTTTTTCTTAAACCTTTATCTGACAAATGCTATTACAATTCTTGAATTTTTGGTACATCATAGGTTTAGTTTAGTTCAATGCAGTTGCAACACTATGTAAATATGCATTCTGTAATTATCTTTTTTTTTTCTTTTGTCGTTCCTTGCATATTAGATATTGCTAAGAATTAACCTTATGACATTTCCCCAGTGTAAAATTCAATCGATCTAACAGGCGTACATATGTAAATAACCAGTTTAAATAATAGACCCTTAAACTTGAACCAACCCACAATACATTAAAACCGATATACCGATATGTTGGGATTCATATGAAATCATTGAAATATCAATATTTTTTCCATATAGTGAGAAAGTAAAATTTTATCGTTTCAATATATATCAGTATCCGACTGTAGATCGGAGGGTAGGGTGTGACCATGTTTTTCACATAGCAATAAATTATCCAATCATTTAATCATTTTCATCAGGGACCATGACCTTCTTCTATAAATAAATTGATTAATTAAATGGACTATGAAATTTAAAAAATTATATGGGATTTTCTTAGTTAAAGTCTTCACAGTTTTCGTACAATTATCAATTTACTAATTATTATTTCTAGGCTCTTTTATCATTTCGTAAAGATAGTTTTTGAGGAAAGTTTATATGTTTTCTAAAAGAAAATTTTAGTATTTAATTTGGAAGAAATATCTTAGTTTGCAAATCCGTTTCATCGCAAATGTACAGCTACAATGCCTACCCGCAGTTCCCAAAGGTGCCGACGACGATAAACATATATTTGGAAATCGAACCAGCAAAAGGTCATCAACATCATATTCGAAATTCCCAGCTCTAGATGCGATGCTCTACCTATTGAATTATTACCTCTCCTAAGACCTTCAACATCTTAGCGATCTTTAATTTATCACCGAAAAGGCGCAGGGTTGGCAGTCCCACTGACTTCATCGACAGTAAATTAAAGTCTGTTGACTTTAGAGACCAAATGATATTACCTTTTGTCTAACTTCACAAGATTCTTTGTTAATTTTTTCCAGATTAAGTTCTTCAGATGATGACGGGTACCATGAAAATATGGACGAGAGTTTATTGCATCTAGAAGATAGGAACACTTTTGTGAAATGTTTGTTATCATCGGTGTTCACCCAGTGTTTGTAGCATTCCAGGATGGTTGTTTTGGATGATCGTGGCATGATGTTCAAATGGAACGAAGTCTGCCGAAGTGGAACATAGCAATGATAGCATGAAATATATGAGGAGAAATCTGATGGAAGACCTTATCAATCATTTCTACTATCCAGAAAGAATATGATATATCATAGAGGAAGTTGAGATCGTGTAGAGGAACAAAATTTAGCTGAGCCAGTGAAAGTGATAAAAAAAAATAAAAAAAAGTGGAATAAATAGTCACGTCTCACTGATATCACGGGCATAAATACAGCCGAATGGATTTGTATTGCAATAATACCACAAAAAATAAAAGCATTTCTTAGTATTTTGTTTTTTCGATTAATGATGGCAGATTCTGCAAGGCGTAGTCTTCTCAGAGTTGCGCAAAATCTGATTGGGCAGAATATATCGCTGAATTAAAAAAAGAATGTCGATTTCTTTGATGGTTCCCATTTATACTATTTATACTCCTAATTTTGTAAAAAAAATTTAAAATTTTTCAAGCTGTTTAGGAAAAACACGTTTATATAATAGAATACCTTATAATAATATACATTTCAAGATGGAATTAAAGGAAAAAATATGCAAAATACTAGCAATTAAATAATAAATGAATCAAATTAATATTAACAAAATATTTATTTAATTAGATTAATTTTATAAATTTTATATATAATAATTTTGAAATTTAAATTTTACTAACTTATTATAAAATTTTTTTGGTTTTAAATACATAAATACAAAAATTTTATGAAAAACATAAGAAACTTTTAAAAAATTTTAGTAATAATATATAAAAATTTTTTTTGAAACCAGCTATTGTATTATTTTATGTATTATTTTATATAATAAAATTTATTTTATTTAATATTAATAGTGTTTTCTAAAAATATAATAAAGTTCAAATTATAATAAATGAATAACATGGTTAAACCCACACATTTACCATTTGGTATAATCACAATATTATAATAATCTGCAGTATTGGATTAGATAATATGTCTATATTACTCATATATACTTAGAATTATTTTTTGTTAATATACTGAAAATTTTTGTTATTAGCTATTATTCGCTTTATTAATATGATATATTTCTTATGTTGTAATCGTCATAATTATTGTTATATATGTAATAATTATTTATAATTAATATTATGTGACAAAGTTATAAAAAAAAAAAAAAGTTTTCATGATAATTGGTCATAATAACATAGGTTTATTCACATAAAAAAATTATATTATTTATTAAAGTAAATACATGAAAGAGAAAAAGGTCAAATATCTATTGAAATATAGAAGAAACTCAGTTCGAAAGCAGTTTATATGTTATATTATGTTACACATGGCTTACATTTCTTTTTTCTAAAAAAGACTTGGGTTATTGTTGTACTGGTATATGCAACATTGCAATCATCCTGATAAGGAATCGACTAGGTGGGCAAAATTTTTCTTTAAATATTATTATTGCATATTGCATAATGAATCATATCTGATATCCCCGATTTGAAATAATTCCTATTTCTCTTAGAATATTATATAACATTAATAACACCTGACGCGTATGGCACAGCAATAACGCGTATTGTAAACACACCCCAGAATTGTGTGTTTCACCCCAAAAATAAACTATTATAAATTGAGGGACCTACCAAATTTTTATTTCCTCAACCTTTTCTTCACGTTTGTTTTTTTTCACGAGCCGCTAGTCTCAATCTCGTAGAATTCCTTACAAATATTTTAAAAATAACTGAAACTTAACTCAAAATGCCACCAAAAGCTACTCCTAAACCAACTACAGGTGGAAAAACTACAGCTGCTGCTGCAAAGGCACCTGCGGGTAAAGCTCCTGTTAAGGCGCCAGCATCTAAGACACCAAAAGAGAAGAAGACCGGTGATAAACCTAAAAGAAGAAAAGTTCGCAAAGAGACTTACTCAAGCTATATCTACAAAGTTTTGAAACAGGTATATTAATTTTATCTTCTATTAAGCTATTTTCTGGTTTATCTCTTGGTGTGCTGTTATGCAACTTTAAGTATAAGATAAAAGAAGAATTTACTTTTTCCCACAACGTTTTCACTGAAATATATAAAAAACGCGTTTTGGTTTCACTTTATTCATGTCGGATATAGTTCTAAATTAGTAAAGTGATGATATCTAATGTCTATGACATCTACGTATTTATAAATATGATTATTTAGGTCCATCCTGATACTGGTATCTCAAATAAAGCAATGTCTATCCTCAACTCGTTTGTCAACGATATCTTTGAGCGTATTGCTGGGGAAGCTTCTAAACTCGCAGCTTATAATAAACGTTCCACCATTTCTTCGAGGGAAATCCAAACGGCTGTCCGCTTGATATTGCCTGGTGAATTAGCTAAACACGCCGTTTCAGAAGGAACTAAGGCTGTGACAAAATACACAAGCTCTAAGTAAAAGTTATCGTAGTTAACCATATACTCACGGAACAAAGGAAAATTTGCAGGAGAAGTAGGATATATTCTTTATAGCTGTGTAACGAGTTTAATATCCAATTTTTTTTTAAATTTGAGGTATAATATAGGATTTTATTTCTTATGCTTTTTTCAATTTTTCTCAGAAAGTTCACACTCACATTTATTTTCTTTTCGTAATCATGCTTTATGAGGATATTCCTAATTAAAATGATTATATATGTACAGCTTTTATAGTATGTTTCATTTTTCATATCTTTATAAAAAATTTTTTCTTTTATTGGCGGTTTAAATAAGAAGCATACTCAAAGAATTATAATAAAAAACTGATATAAACTTCTTTGCTTTGAAAAGTATTCAGAAAAATTTGTTAATTGCAATTAAAACAGGGTTATCAGGGACTCGAGGTAGCTTAAGTAACAACTCTAAGTTAATCGACTAGAACATTAGAATAAGTTTTAATTCATTAAGGATAATGAGTGGTTAAAATAATAACGATTAAACGCCGACTTAATAATAATAATGGTAATTTAAGACATTTTTTGTCTTAATTGAGTGTCCTTATATTCTCGCACGCGGTACACCGGTGATTTTGCATAATCATTAAATTATTTATCGATTCCTTGGGCTTATTACTGCGTGAAATTGTGTCCAATCAAAAAAAAATATAATGACTATAATGTCATGAGATTTGATATCACGTGAGTAATTATGATTATACTATTTTTATACATAGTTATAAATGACTATCATTGTGTAACCATTAGTATCGGGAGTCCTTCTCCTCAAATTGTAAGAAAATGAAACAAATGAAAATCCTTCGGTATAAAGAAAATAAATTTGTAAATCCGAATAGCCGAATCTGAACTTTATATAATATAAAGACTGCAAAAATACTTTCCAAGGAAAAATCAAAAATGTTAAATCTGCAAGATGCGGCACGAGGCGGTACGTAAACATATTGCAAAATGCTAGCTTAGGCAATTGTTTTCCATTGTATCATAAATATAAAGTACTTTGTTTATATGTGTTTATGTCATATTTAATGACATACGATATAAAGTTAGAAAAGTAGGACCATGCATATACTATTTATAAAATACCGAGTTTACGGATCAAACTTTTAAGTGTTCCGCTTTTTAGTTATATAATTCTTTGACTATTATTTTTTTCAATTATGGCTTCTGCAATTAAAAGGACTTTTTCTAGAGCCAAGAGCCCACAGCCACCAAAAGCTATTCCAGCTATTGGCTCTATACTGAATACACCATCTCCTCCTTCTACAATTTCGGAAACACCTAACCAGAGCGTTAGCAATAGCAATTCACCTTCTCCTGCTACAAATCAATCTTCAACTCGACAAAATGTCAAAGTCGTCGTTAGAGTTAGACCTTCAAATGCAGTCGAAATGACCAGAGGTGATACTGAAGTTTGGGAGGTAAAAAATGATTTACGAAGAGTTGGTTTACAAGCTGACTATTGTGAACGACATAGGAAGCAAATGGCAGAATACTTTTTTGGTAAACTTAAGCTATTTTATTTTTTCAAGTTTCATATATGAGTATAATTAATGCATTGTTTTTTTTATTATAGATGAAGCATTCACAGGTAGTGACAACAAAATTTTGTTCGAAAAAGGTGTACGAGATACAATTAGGTGAGTTGAAATAATTTGATTAACAACAATATAATAGTCCATTGTAAATGAATCGATTAAATTTCTGAATATAATTATTGATTTAAAATTTCATAGGTCTACTATGGAAGGTTATAACGGTATGTTAGTGTTAGTGATTTCTTTTTTTTATTGATTAAATTTGAGCCCGATTTGATTAATGAATTTCTTATCAATAGGAACTGTATTTGCTTATGGTCAAACGTCTTCGGGTAAAACTTTTGTAAGTCATAACTTTCATAATATTGTAATATTTCGATTATTCGTAAATACATATGTTAAATCTCTTAATTGTAATTTGATCTTATAGACGATGGTATAAACTATTTTTCATTTGATATAAATGTTTTGATTATAAAATGAATTCTAAATGTCATTAATTACAAAATTTTAATTTTATAATATTTGCAGACAGGTAGAAATAATATTTTTATGATTTGATTTTAATTAATCTGAACATTTAGTAACTTCATTTTATTATATAGGTACTAATTCACAGCCAGGCGTTATTCCACAAGCAGTTGATTGTGTGTTTGATTATATTAAAGAAGTAAATCGCGATTTTAAGTCATTTTGAAGTTTCAAATTCGTTGACCAGTTTCATCAACGTAAATAATAATATGGAATATTAATATAGTGTCAAGAAAAGGAATTTCTTCTCCGTGTTTCATATATGGAAATTTATAATGAAACTGTGCGCGATCTTTTATCACCAGAGACTGAAGATTTAAGAATTCACGAAGATAAAAGAGTATATCTTGATATTTATTATCATATTTTTATATCTTAATTGTATTTAAATATTTATCGTTACTTTCATAACAAACATTAGCGAGGCGTATACGTTAGTCCTCTTAAAGAAGTAGTTGTTTCTACACCTAGACAAGTGTTAAAAGAGATCATGAAAGGAGAAGGTATGTTAGTTATTATTATAATTTATTTCGAAAAAATACGGTTACTTATAAATTATGTTCTATTTGTTAGCTAATCGGCATATGAGTGCGACTGATTGGAACGAGCGAAGCAGTCGTTCACATACAATATTTCAAATGGTAATATTAGCGAATATATGAGTTACTGAGAACCATTCTATTCAAATATTTAACATAATGAATCCTTTATTAAGGTTATTGAGAGCACTGCCAAAAACTCGTCGCCATCTACTTCTCATCGTTACCATCCAGCTGGTCCGAAAATGTCTGGCGCTTCAGTGTCACTTTCCGTGTTGGTAACTATTATGAATATATTATTATATTATTATTATAGTTTATTAATCGGCATCGATTTTATTCGTTAATATCTTTAATTAGAATTTAATAGATTTGGCTGGTTCTGAAAAAGCCACAACATCGATAGATCGCCGAAAAGAGGGGGCTTACATTAACAAAAGGTTTATTATACGAACCCTATATTCAATTAACACTAGAGAATTTGAAGTAATTTGTATAGATTAACTTTAATATATTTTTCAGTTTGCTTACATTAGGCACAGTTATTTCTAAACTTACAGAGAATAGTAGCGGGTAACTTGATAATCTGATAACTAAAGGTTGAAACTTTAAATAACATGATAATCGAGACTTTTTTTTATGTAATAGTGGACACATACCATTTCGTGACTCCAAATTAACGCGTATTTTACAGAATTCGCTCAGTGGAAATGCTCGAGTTTCTGTAATATGTACTATATCACCATCAGTTATAAATATCGAAGAGTCACAGAACACTCTTAAATTTGCAGCCCGAGTGAAGAAAGTTGTTACAAAAGCACATACAAATGCGGTTTGTATTTATTTATTATTTTTATATTCTTTATTATCTTCGTTGATTAATTAATTGTTTAAATTTATGCATAATTCTTAGGTAATGGATGATAAGGCTTTATTACAAAAATATCGGTTGGAAATTGAAGAACTTAAGACCAAACTTGAAAGTACTAATATATCTAACGACAAAGAGAAGGAGGCTGAGTTATCGCAAATGTTGGCACAAGAAAAAGCCAAGGTAAACTATCGGAATATAAAAAATTAAATTTAAAGAAAAAAAATAAATAATTTATTTATTTATTTTATTCTATTTTTAGCATGAGGAACAGATGATGGAAGCTCAACTTGTCCGTACGGCCTTGAAGGAAAGGATTGATCATCTTACCAAGTTGATTTTAAATAATTCTTCCTTTTCGGGCAGTCCAGCAAATGCTTTAGGTCGTAAAGTTTTAGTTGAGCCTAGTGGAGTCGATCAAGTTAGTTATATTTATATAATAATTTCAATTTGTTTTATTTTAATTTTTTTTGTATGTTGTGTTTATAAGTCTTCTGGCCTTAAGACTAATAATGACTTAACAAATGCTCAGTTTGAAAAACAAATCGCGGATCTCAGATCAGAGCTCAATAGCAAGAACAAAATTATTGGGCAACTAACTGCCGAAAAAAGAAATGAATTACAAAGAACCAAAGAATTAGAAATAATTATAGAACAGCAGCAAGAAAGGATTCAATTACTTGAAAATGATGGTAGAGGACATTCTCGTAGTGGAAGTGGTCGTGATTTCTCTAATAGTCCAGAATATAGTGATTTGAGCAAGACAATACAGAGACAAAGGGATATGATTAAAGATCTTCAAGAAGACATTAAGTCAAAAGAAAAAATTATTGCCAAACAAAATGAAATGATGCATCTAGTAGGGCTCTCGCAATTTGAAAGTAAATCGGCGAATAAGATTAATGGGCATCATATAGAAAATGGCACATATCGAGCGGATGAGATTAAATTAACCAATATCGATGAAATAACAAATTCGGACGATAATAGGGGTAATGATAGGAATGATGTACTGTTGAAAAACAACTGTTTAATAATTTCTGATGAAGCGATTCTTATATTCTTGTTGTTTACATTTTCGAATTTTATCACAGTCGGTTGAAGTTAAGCCTCCCTCTGACGGGGATAGTTTGTATTAATTTCTAGTAAATCCACTAGGTTAGTGCATAAAATATTTAATAGTATAATCATCATAGTAATAATCATAATTTGCATGTATAAAGTAAAATCATAATCATAATAAACCGACATTGACGCCAAACATTTAACTGCATTTGTTGTAATATTTCTTATAATATAGGTCACGGTGCTACTGGTTAGGGCCATTCTAAGTATACTAAGTATATTTTTAATTATCTTAGATCGGGTATTCTTTTCGGGATTTTTTTTTTTATTTATTTTTTCTTCATTTTGGTGTATGTATTTTATCCATAATAATAATTTTATAGACTGTTTTATTTAGACATTTTTTTTTATATTTATTTTGAAAAAGAATTTATCAAACTTTTTTTTGTAAATATAAAATCAATAATATTTAAAGGGTAAATATTGTCACAAATTATCTTGTTAAGTGGTTTAAAAATGAATCTGATGTCTCGCACATATTTTTAAGCTTTGTAATATAGGTATAAATTAGCTTTAGATTTTATTTGCAATAACGATCTGCTTTGACTTTTTCACGACGATCGAGTAAACTGTAAAAATATTAATTATTTTGTTACATGAAAATATGACAGAAAAATAAATAATTTATAAATGACTTACGCTTCAGCAAAGTTTCCTTCCTTCTTTGCTTTCTTTAATTCTGAGATCTCTTCCTTAGATGTTTTTACTCTGCCACCGCCCCAAGTTTGATATTTTTTGCTATAATAATATAAATATAAGTACAAGTGAGTATTAACTAAAGTTCAAAGTAACTTTTTAGAGAAAATTTCCAAATAAAAAAAACGATACATTTGTTCAATCTCGTATTCACTAATAGGTTTTGTTTCTTTTTTTGTACTCTTAACTTTTTTCCGTAATCTGGCTTGACATTTTATTTTCCAAGTTTCACAGAATCCAACGGTTTCAACATCAGCTCTTAAATTATAACCACCATCAGCAATTTCGTCAACACTTAAATATTTTTCATAAATACTTTGTAATGCAATTCCATCACTTTTTATAATAGGTGTCCATTCTTCTTGAGGACCAATTGCTTCTCTTTCTGCTGTAATAACACCAAATTTATCTGAAGCTAAATATTTCTCATCAAAAGTTTTTATTGAAATACGGTCTGTACTACCAACAATTCTAGAGCCAATAAATACTGAAGCAATATCTTCAGGTTCAATTGTTGTCAATTGTTTTCCAGGTGGTAAAGGTTGCACTCCAATACTATGATCTTTTTCTGAACAATATAGGCAAGACAAAGGTTCACTATTGAAAATTAAAAATAAAGGGCCAATTAGATCTTCTTGAGTTTCTGCAAAAACCCAACCTATTAAAAAAATATATATATATCAGAAAAGCAAACAAATGACGTGATTATAAAATATATAAATAACCTTCTTGATTTCCTTCTTCTTCAATAGATTCTTCAGCCTTACGCTTTTTCTTTTTTCTATAACAAAGAATGATACGGTTATTAAGTATTTGTTAATAAATAATGACTAGTTTAAACTAACTTTTTATCTCTATCGCCTTTGAAACTTAATTTTCCCTTAGAAGCTTTATATTCGGACATGACAGGTTTGAATAAAGATCTACAGTAAACTTCCAGAAAACTTTAAAAGTACATTTATTTGTTACACTCGAACATCTATTTACACCATGTATTACTAAATCATGTTGTATAATGTCATTGTTAAACGTGGGCGTCGGGTCTGCGCGTGTCAATCGTATCATAGTTATGTAAGTAAAAACCATATAAATAGACAATTGAAATTAGTTGATTTTTAACTAAAAATAAATTCTTTATACAAATAATGGCAGCTGGAGACTCTCTACGTTATCGTGCTCGTACTGCAGTACCTGCAGGTATTATTTGAGTGGTTCTGTTTTTATTAATTAAAATATATTTATTGAAACTCTTATATTAGGTCGTCCGGAAACATATGGTTCCAGAACTATGACAATTCATCCTGAAGAACTTGCTGAAGAAGTAGGGCCAGTTTCCTCAGAAGAAGAAAATGAATTATCAACACAGCCTGTTGGAACTTTAAAACTTCGTGGTGATGGTGATGGTCAATCTAGTGGCAGAAAAGTTAAATGGGATGATACAGTTGTAGACAATGAAGGTTTAGGAAGAAAGAAATCAAAAAGTATGTATAAAATTTTTAACCAAATTTTATTTTTCATGAGTTGATTATTTAATTACTTTTTTTCTGCACAATCCAAAGTTTGTTGTATCTATCATAAACCTCGTGCGTTTGGTGAATCCTCGGATGAAGATTCCAGTAGGGATGATTCTGACGATTCGGATCATGGTCACGATCATGACCATAAAAATGGTCACCATCCCGACAAATGTTATCGGAATACTCCAAATGCATATGAACGTCAACCACAATACAAAAGTATTACGAGATTATTAAACAAATCACTTTATAATGATAATAATGACAATAATAATAATTGTAATAATTTGTTTTTATTTTAGATCGCCCACGACCACCAATCCCAAATCCAGAACCAAGAGATAATCCAACTTCTCCTTCATCATAATATTTAAAACAAAAGGCCCATGATTTTTTAAGTATTAAAGATAGAATATAAATAGAAGTAATGTCGTTTATAAAAACATTTTCTTTTTTAATTTTGCTTGTATGTAAATTACAAATCTTATACGAACTTTAGTTATAATTTCAATAAAGTGCATATTTTTTTTTAAAAAAAAAAACATTTAAATATATAATATATTCTTTGCAAAAAAAATCTTTATAAAAAATTCGTTCAACCTTCTTTAGGCATAAAAGGATCAACGCCACCAGTTTTGGCCATCAATTCTCTTGGCATATAATTCACAATTTCAGGATCTATAGTAGGAAAAGGAGGTGGTATACAATCCGATGGAAAACACTTTTTCCCAGGTTTCTTTATAGCATCTCTTATTCTTACATATTGATCATCAAAACCAGGAACACCACCTTTGACATAAATCAAATTCAAAATGTTGTCAATTTTAAGAACTTTTAAATTTAAAACCGTCGCACTGTTACCTCCAAGCCTACCCGCCATCTTTTTTCCTTTGAAAACTTTTCCTGGGTCCTATTATAATAAATAATATATAGGAGAAAAGTTGAAGCTATAAAAAATATATGAACATTTGAATGGAAACAAACCTGATTTTGACCTGTTGAACCAGCAGAACGATGAGCCAATGAAGTACCATGTGATGCAGGCAATCCTCTAAAATTCCATCTTTTCATAACACCTGCAAAACCTTTACCAATCCTACATAAAATTTATTTTTTTTCAAATTATTATAATACAAAAATTACCTTTAAAAATAAGTACCTTTTTATATAATAATAATTCTTACGAAGGAGCTGTTACGTCTACATATTGTCCTGGTACAAAATGGGCTGCTTTTATTTCAGTTCCGACAGGTAAAACAGCATCGGGGGTGACATGAAATTCTAATAATTTTTTTTTCGGGTTAACCCCAGCTTTTCTAAAATGACCTAATAAAGGTCTTGTAAATCCTTTTAATTTTTTTTCAGTACAACCGATTTGAACTGCAACTAAAGGTGGCTTTACATATTTTGAATTTTGTTTAATTTGAACCACTTGAACTTTATCCAACTAATTTTTTTTAAAAAAAAGTAAAGTATGATTATTATAAAAGATTTTTAAATCTTATCCAATTTTTCTTACCTGTAAAATCGTTACCGGATGTCTTACACCCCATTCATCCCATAATGCAGACATTCCTCTCTTTCTAGCAATTGCACCTAATCGTTTAGAATTTTGTGTCCATCTTGTTTTTTCCGATAATGTAGTTGAATCGCTAGAAAAATTAGATTCCGTAAAGAATGAATATTGCCTGAAAAATCCGGAAATATTTAGTTTAACTATTTTATTAAAAAAAATTGTTCGTTTAAATGTTAAAGAAAAAGACATGACTATTAATAAAAAAACGCCAATTTTTTGTAATTTATATCAGATCATGCGAAGATCCTTCTATAAATATAAAATTTATAGATTTAAATATATGCAAATACTCTTCTATCAATGTCTTTTCGTGTACCGACCATAATAGATTCTTCAAGTCAAGATAATGCTATACGTGGAACTAACGATGACGCTGTAACAAGTAAACTGTAAGTAATAAGTGACTCCAAAAAAGTTATTAGTGAATTTTACCTAGAACTTGAAATAAATACATTAAAAAGGTCAGCAGTTAATACCGGATATATTCAAGACAAATATGTAAGATATTTTGTTCGAAGACCATCAAAGAGACCACCCATCATTAATAGAGGAACATACGTTCGTAATACTGGATTAGACATATTAATCACGAAATTTTTGGAAGGTGGCGGAGAAAATGTAAAGAAACAAGTTGTATCATTCGGAGCTGGATCTGATACGCGATACTTTAATTTCAAGGTAAATTTCTTTTTTTTTTAAAAAAAAAAAAAATTCTACTTAAAATTTTCTTTTTTTAATAGGCAACATCACGTAAATTTTATAAATATTTTGAAATTGATTATCCCGAAGTCACATCAAAAAAAGTTGCAATCATTCAAAAACATAAAGATTTATCAGATTTAATCGGGAATGAAATACAAATAGGTATTTTTCATAATTACTTTAATTACTTTACAGACATTTATTAAAACAATTTATTGTAGGAAAAGGTGGTACAGAAATCTACGCGCCAGATTATTGTTTAATATCCGGAGATCTTAGAGAATGGGAGGAGAATATAGTATCACATTTAGAAGAACATCATGGTTTTGATCGAAGGTAAAAAAAAAGATAATACTATGTACATATTAAAGTTTATTATCACGCATGAACTAATGAACTAACTTTTTACTAATTTATAATAAAAAGTATTCCGACATTATTCTTATCAGAATGTGTATTAATTTATATGGACCCGATTGATTCTAATAAAATTGTACAATGGGCTGGAGATAATATGATAGCAGCAATATTTATAGTTTACGAACAAATATTACCTAATGATGCTTTTGGATCTGTTATGTTACAAAATTTAAGATCTCGTAATATTGAACTCCGTGGTATACACGCATATCCTGATTTACAAAGCCAAAAAGATCGTTATTTATCGCGTGGATGGACTCATGTCGAAGCTGTTGATATTAATGAAGTTCATGATAATTATATCGATCCAAATGAAATTTCCAGGTAACGAACAAATAAAAAACCGTATGATTATAAATATATATATTATAATTATCATTTTATTAAGTGTATAACTTTATTTTAGAATATCAAAATTGGAATTTCTCGATGAGCTTGAAGAATGGCGACTTCTTGCATCCCATTATTGTATCGCTTGGGCTTATATAATAGAAGATATATCAACCAAATCTCTATTTGATCATGTAAAATTTGATAATTATAAAAATATATAACTAACTTGTCAGAAATTATTCTTCGATGAGTCTAAATAAAAGTATTTATTTATTTTTTAAGAAAAAAAAATAAAATAAAATAAAATAAATTAGTCTAAAGTTTTAATAAGAAATAAACTTTCTTTATAAAAAATTTTCACTCAGTGAGAAGATTGTTACTTCATAACTCATTCTTGTAGAGTTCGGATTAATAAAATAGATACGATACATTCTAAAGTTTAGCATCACAGCGAATAAAAGGAAAGAAAGAAAAAGTCAATAAAACATACCTTCCAGAGTAAAAAAAAAAAAAAATTTTTTCCCTTTTAAACTGTTAAATTTTCCTAAAAGCCTCATAGGATGGGGCGCTTTTTTTTGTGGCGCATCTTTGGGGGCTCTAAAGTTTGAACCCTGAAATTTTTACTGCGTATGTTTGAACTCTATCTCGCGTATAAAACTGAGAAACGCCCCTTTAAAATATCCGATTTGGATACGAAACAGGGGATAAAATTGATTTCCTATAATCAAATCATGTTAACCACTTAATAATGATTAATGATGATGACATCACAGCTGCGAAAGAAGATAAATTTCTCGTAAAAAAAAAAACTTTCACTTTAACGCGTTTTTTAATATTAAAACTCTATCATTCAACATGCCAAACACTATAGGAATAATCACTTCTAGTAACAAAGAAAATAAGGATTTTATTACCACTAACACAGAGTTTACTTCAAAAAGACGAAAGCTGACGAATCAGTTAAATTTACGTGTAAAACGTCTTAGTCCTAAAGCTAAAATCCCTAGACGTAGTTCTGTAAAAGCTGCTGGCTATGACTTATACAGGTACAAAATATCGTAAATGTTGCCATTGCCATACTGTAGCGTGTAAATTTACAAAATTTAATTTTTTTTTACTTTAATAATAAAGCGCGTCCAATATCACTATTCCAGCTAAAGGAAAAGCTCTAGTTCCCACTGATTTAGCCGTTGTTGTTCCAGAAGGAACTTATGGACGCGTCGCTCCAAGAAGTGGGCTTGGTATTGTGTTATTATTTTTTTTTATTATGCAGTTAGATAAGTTTTTAACATTTTTTTATGAAGCTCTAAGAAATTCCATTGATTGCGGCGGAGGAGTTGTTGATGCTGATTATCGTGGACCAGTGGGAGTTATTTTGTTCAATCATGGCGAAGTAGACTATCAAGGTATATATTCACTTCATAATTTAATATTCCCGAGAATTGGGATTTAAATCTTGTAATATTTAATTATAGTTAATGAAGGTGATCGAGTTGCACAACTTGTCCTTGAACGAATTTGCACTCCTGACGTAGTTGAAATCGAAGAACTGGACGAAACTGAACGTGGTAATCGCGGATTCGGTTCTACTGGGCTTCAATAACGTATACTTGACATTACATAGTTTTTTAATATATCTTAATAAAATTATCAGAGAGCGATATTGGAAATAACAAACACGATTTATTTGATTATAATAAATATATGAAGTAAAAATATTAAGAACATATATTATAAACGGAAGAATATAATTGATAATTGCAATCATAATTGTTTTTCTCTCGTTAAATCTATTAAAAATTCGCAAATGTGAACATTTATTTTATTACAATATTTGCTTTTACCATTAACCATTCCTTTTCGAAAATTAATTATTCGGACAATCGCGAGCCAAATGACCAGGCTAAAATGAATGAATTTTCCTAAGATTTAAATTAAATAAATACAAAAACATATATATACACACATACCTTTCCACATCTAAAACAACCGGCTAGTTTTTTATCTTTTGAACTGATTTCACTTCGTTGATAAGTATAGCTTTTTGCTTTACGATATTGGTCAAAAATGTCTCCATCGTCGCCACGACTATGACCAACCCCTAAATATTTTTGTTCACCGTACCTAATTTCTCCTCCTTTTATGGGCTCAGCAATACCTGATGATGATGAACCTAACCCCGTACCAGCTCCTTCCCAACCTAGTGTTTAATTATGTTATTGAGTAACAACAGAAAATAACCCAATTTATAAAATATTATACTCAATAATAATAATTACAATACCTAATTTTTTCAAAATTTGAAATCCAACGTTGCGATCAGATATCATTTTATCTGGTCTTGAACCTTCTTCTCGATCTTTAACGTAACCTAAACCGCCAACCAAATATGAAGGCGACCGTGATCGTGATCGACTATAAGATTTACTTCGATAACGTCTACGCGATGATGAATTAAAATCACTAGATTTGCGTCTATCATGACGATCATACGATCTAGACCTTGTTCTACTTCTTGATCTAGATTTAGAACTATATCTTGACGAAATGGACCTCGATCTAGTCCTGAATCTAGTTGAAGATCTTGATAAAGTTCTCGTTCTAGTTTTTGAGCGAGTCCTCGATCTTGTCCTTGTTCTGGTTCTAGATCTTGACCTTATTTTCGTTCTAGTTCTTGACCTAGACCTCGTAAGTGAACGGGTTCTTGAACGAGATCTAGAAAGCGATCTAGAAATACTCCTTGAACGAGTTCTTGAGCGTGTTCTTGTCCTAGGAGAAATAGATCTAGTCCTCCTCCTCCAACTATGTCTTGAACGACTATGGCTCCTATATCGTCTAGACCCGGATCTCGAACGACTACGACTATGACTTCTACTGTCTCTTCTACGTCTATGTCTCCTGCGACCTCTTGAATGACTACGACTTCGGCTTATAGAAGAATCACTATAACTATGACGTCTCCTAAATCTTCCCGAGCGAGATCTTGACGATGATCTGGAACGTGATCTAGACATAGAATAACTTCTGTCCCTTGACCACCTTCTTCCACGATCATCCCGTCTATGTCTGAACGAAGATGAATGACGGTGATGATATCTCTCGGATGATGCTCTCGCTGCCTCCTCTCGCTGTTCTTGTAAATCCATATAAAAATCATCTAAAAATCCAATCTCCCAACCATCTTTGTCTAGATCAATTTGATATTTTTCTCTTAATGCACGTTCATCTTCCCCTTCTAAATTAGATTCTATTATAAACATTCCTTCATAGAACCTATCAACAGCCTCTAACAATTCTGTAGTAGGAGGTAAACGATGTGGTGGTAATCTAATTGAAGCAGCATGAATAGAAGTATAAGGAGAATCCTCAGGCTAAAAGAGCTGGCAAATAAGTAAAGAATTAAATGGACATAAAACATTTATATCTTATATTAAGCTATATATATGCATACCAAGACCGCTGGAACCATTAAACCAGCTGGTAATTCATGATATTTTTTTTCTGAAACAGGTGGTGGTATAGGAGGCATATTAGGTGTTGTAGATACTGGAGGTCTAATCATTCCTTGTATTGGCATGTTTGAAGGAGATTGACCAGGGGGGAACTGATCTTGAATACCAGGTGGTCCAGGTTCAGAAATAGGTCTTATAAGACCTTGTGCACTTGATGGAGATAAATGTGGATTTGATGGAGATATTGACTGAGAAGGCGGTGGACCAGGAAAAATTCCAGGTGGTGGCGGAGGCGGAGGTGGAACACCTGGACTATAATAAGGTTGATTCTGATAACGAAAGTGGAAAGGATGTTGACCAGGAGTTGAATATGATACTGATGAAATACCACTGGATGGAGGTGGTGGAATTTTAATACCAGTTCTTAGAGCATTAATTTTATTTTCATCAAAGTATTGCTTGTCATCCCAAATGGATATTATCTAATTTACAATAAAATTAATTCAATTTAAATTCATAACAAATGAAATGTAACAGTACTTAAATAAAAAAAACAATTACTTTAACAACTTTTTCTTTTTGCTTCTCATTTGCATCCATAAAATGAAAAGCAACTCGCAATAGCGCAAGTAAATGTGGATGTAACGCCTCTTTAATCCAAGGTTCCTGTCGACGCTCACTATAATAATTATTTCGTTAGAATATATCTCAAATTATCTTATTAATAATATTTGTTACTTTTCGAGTCCTTACCTATGAAAAAGGACATCGTTTATTAGGTATATTAAATGAAGTCTATCTTCGAATATTGGTCGAGATTTCGAAAGCGCAATAATAAAACTTATCAGGGTATCATAATGAGCCGGTGTTGTACAATGATCAAATATCCATGTTTTACCACGCTATTTATATGTAAATTAGCACATATCCTTATTATTGAAAAAATAAGTATGTAAAAGAAAAAAGAAAAAATACCTGTATGTTAGATTGTGAGCAATCATGCATTAGCATTCCAAGTGACATTTGAAAGTTATCTATTTCTGGCGGTCCTGCTGTGGCTCTTAACGCCATTGCAAGCTTATCGAAAGCCAGAGATAGATCATCGATAGGTGGGGCTTGATTTTGAGGTGGTCGATAAGGTGGTGGTGGTATATACTGATTTGGCGGACCTTGAAAAGAATAAGATGGCTGTTGCGGAAAACTACCTACTCACAAAAACAGAATTCACTTTAAGGGAATGTTTTTTGATGTTTGAACTTTAGGCTTGGACTTAAAAATTTTTTATAAAAGGTGCTCTTAAATTAAATATTCTAAATATTTTGAAGTATATTATTGGTATCATAAAGGTTCGTAGTTTTAGAAAGTCTTCATAGGGAAAAATAGCAAATTTGACTATCAGCATTACTTTGATATTATAAGTTCTTAAACTGGATTTTCGCTCTTAAAGGTTTGTAAATCAAGCCTGAGTAATTTTCAGCGAAGAATTGACTTCGACTCGACTCACCTGGCGATAACCACTGTGACATTATTATGAATTTGTGGAAAAATTTTGGTGAATGATTTTTTTTTTTAGTTTTTTAATGGTCACACAAGTGTATACACTGACACTGTAATATATGCGTGATCGGAAAGTCCAGGTTCATAGTTGTCGATCAAAAGCCACGCTGTTGTATAAAAGCCCCTTTGATTAATAGTTACTTTTTTAGAATATTAATTACTTTTCCCCAACCTCCTCGTCAATCACTAATTATCGACTGCCGTATTTTTTTCGCATAGCAGCAAAAAAAGAACTACGGCATTTTATACTTTAACCCTTTCATTCTAGCTTCATTGTTTATATACAGAATGTCGACAAACTACACTTACGATTACATTATAAAGGTTTGTAGTTACGAATTCTTTCATCGACGTTAACATTTGGATCCCCCTTTTAATTTTCGCTATTAATCACTTTCTTTATTATTTTACAATTCAGTACATTATTATCGGAGACACGGGTATTGCATTTTTACACGTATGCTAAGCTCGTTTTCTTTTATTTATGCTAATGATTTTTTCTCTACTAGGTGTCGGAAAGGTATTTTGAAATTATTTTTCCCATTAAAATAGTCCAGGAAAACCTTTGTCAGGTTTTTGTATTATCAACCAAGTCGAATAAATCATAAAATTTTTTTAAGTAGCATGAAATCGTGATGTCCAATTAATATTTTAAATCGTAATTTCTATTTTATAGTCATGCCTACTTTTACAATTTACTGACAGACGGTTTCAGCCAGCTCATGATTTAACGATTGGGTAATGATCTAATATATTTTTATGTCTCATTTTATCACGATCGTTTTTAATAAATATTTTCATACTTATAGTGTGGAGTTTGGGGCACGGTTTGTGGATGTAAGATAATAGATATCCAAGTTAAATAATTCATTCATATTCAATTATTTTATAAATTTTATGATAATTTTTTCAATAAGGTTGAAGGGAAAAAAATTAAACTTCAGATTTGGGATACGGTATGTTAGTCTTTATATATTTAATTGTAATATATTATATATAACATTAGTGGATATCAACTTTTTACCTCGATTTTAGGCTGGGCAAGAATCTTTTAGAAGTATAACGAGAAGTTATTACCGCGGTGCTGCTGGAGCTTTGTTAGGTTAGTATAGTTCATCATAATCATCATCATTTATTTTTTATTACATTACATTAAATCTTATCTCTGAAATTTCGTTTAGTTTATGATATCACCAGGTAATTGGATTATTAATAATTATTCTAACAATTATTGAAGATTTTTTAATCAAACATTTAGTAACTTTATTAACTTTATATATCTTCAATTAGGCGTGAAACCTTTGACCATCTTCTCATCTGGCTGGAGGATGCCCGTCAACATTCCAATTCCAACACGACAATAATGTTAATTGGTAACAAGAGCGATCTTGAATCTAAACGTGCCGTCTCCTATGCAGAAGGTGAAGCATTTGCTCAACAACATGGATTATTTTTTATGGAGACCTCAGCAAAGACAGCGGATAATGTTGAAGAAGTAAATATCGATGAGAATATATTATTTAAAACTGTGTTATAAGTACTATTACATTAATTAATTAAATGTTTTTAAAAAGTCATTTGTAGATACCGCCAAAGATATTTATGAAAAAATTAAACAAGGGGTTTTTGACGTGTCAAATGAAGTTTGTGTATTCGATTGCTATTAGATTTAATTATTTGTTAAATAAATTATTGATTGATGTGTCTAAAAATTTTTTAGTCGAATGGCATCAAGGTTGGAGGACATTTGCAACCCAAAACTTTACCACTTAATACAGACAATGGGAATAATTGTTGTTAATACTATTTTGGTTTAATCATCCTCACTCTGTTCATCTAACTTATACATTATATTTTTACACACATTACATCATATGTTACTACTATATTGTAAATGCAATTCTTTTTTTCCTTTCCTTAATACTTACTAATTCCCTCTTTATATTTTTCTTTTTTTTTTTTTTTAGATTCTCATCTATTTAGCAAGATATTTGAAGACAAACATTAGTTTTCATAAATTTCATATTTTATTTTATAATTGTAGGTTTTTATTCATTCATGGAATGATTGTCATTCTTTTGTATTTTTAAATCAAAAAAAAAAAAAAAAAAAAATACATATAAAAGCTGGTATATATATGAAGTATATAAAATCCTAAAAAAAAACCAATAAAATTATTTTGGCTCTATTTTATAAACTTGATATTAACCAAATATCTGTTAATTAAAAAATTAATACAGATTTAAAATACATGTATAATTTTGGTGCAATTATTAGTAATTTTTTTCTAATACCCAATTTTTATTTCTTAAATAATGCTTTTTATATAAACATTCTTATGATATTGAAGTCACCAGTCAATGACATTCAAATATTAACATATTCTAATACAGTGTGTTACAAAAAAAACAGAATTAAAAAATTGACCATAACACCATGACGATCTCACCAAATTATATATGAAATAGCTTATTTGAAAGATAGATATTATCAATATTATCAATAATAAATTAATATGGAATTTATTTCAGTAATTTTTCTATAATTAAGCTTATAATTATATTTTTTTTATTTAAAAATTTTTTATAACTATTTTAGAGCAAATTTATATTTTTTTGCATAAAATACTTTATATTGTTAAGAATTTTTTTTTTTATTTGCATTTTTTCCATTTATCTTAACAAAATACAAGCCGGAAATTTTTAGTGAATTTGCATCTATTTTTTAATTTATGAATTTCATGCCAAATTTTTCTTTAAAATCAACATTTGTAATTAATTTTTTCAAAAAGTAAAAAAGCACTAGAGTCCTAAATGATGTCAAAATGTAGCCCCAATATTCAAGTTTATTTTATAATTTAAATGATAAAAATTGGTTTTGTTTTAAAAGTAAACTACATATATTTTTATAATTTGAACCATTTATTAGCATTTTTTACTATATACCAAAATTGTGATAATTTGAAGAAAAAAATTCCCATCATTTTACCATAAATGTTTCTTTACTGCATATTTTTTGATATTTATTTTTTGGCATTATTCTTAACAATATTTGAGTATTTTAAATTAAATCTAATCCACCAATGTTTCATAAATTTAATTTAATTTTCTGTTATATTTTTTACTTTGAAGTAAATAATTATTGCTAATTTTTTCAAAAGTTAATGTAAGTATTTATAACTTCAAAAGATATCAAAATGTAGGCTCAGATCTTAGATTTACTATACAATTTACACAATGTAAATTGTATTTATTTTGAGTGTATAACATGCATTTTTATCACATAAAGTTTTTTTTGTAATATACTGTACATAATATTTATTCTAAAATTTCAATTAGTTATATAATTTTACTTTTATTGGATACTATTACATATTTTTTTATTTTTTTTATATATTATTTGATTTTTTATATAATAATATGGTAAAAATAAGTAAAAAATAAATATTTAATAATAAAAAATTTAATATAAAATTAAAATAAGCTTATTATTAAATAAACTAAAAATTTTAATTTGAAAATATAGTACTATATATATAAAAACTTTATAAAAAATAAAATACCTTACAAAAACTTAACATTTTTAATCAATATAGAATTGATATCATTAAGTTTATCTTAATGGTATTATTTTGATATTATTTTGATATTATTTTAATATCGATTTAATAATTATTATTTCAATATTATATCTATATTAAATTAATAATGAAATAATATCAAAATGATAATTAAAATGATATTGAAATGACATCTTTAAGTTAAACTTAAATATGTTATTTCAATATCATTTCTATTATTATTTTGATATTATTTTGATATTAAAATGATAATATTTTATTTTGATATCACATTGATATTAAATTAATATTGAATTAATATTAAAATGATATTAAAATGATATTGCTTGAAAACTTAAAGNTTTTTTTTTTTGTAAAGACGCAATCATGTTTATTGATAATTATGTTAAAGTAATATAATAATATAATATATTTACAAAAGTAAAATAAAATAAAGTATTCTAAATTAATTTTAAACATTATTAATATACTTCCCTTCTGAAGGAAAAGATTGACTTATCACCTTGAGATTAAAGGTGACTTGTCATGATAAATCTAAAAATTTGACCAATGACCTCCCTCATGTATTTTTCTTTCTAACTAATGTTAGTTACACGTAAATACTGTCAGGTATAAAATGATGAAAAGGATAAAAAGTTGGTTAGGTAATAGTATATGATTAATTCTATCTTAAAAATAAAAAGAAAAAAAAATATCACATTAAATACATTATAAAAGCAAACTCTTAATAATTAGTACTTATATCAAATTATTTATGATTATTACATTTATCATGTTTAGATTAGCACTTAGATAGGACCCTGAACATTATATATACAACTCAGTAGCAACTTTTTCGCAGATTGACCTAAATTTCACAAAAAAAATCAGTTTTTTGCGATTATCTTGGCATTCAGTGGTCCAATTTGTATGAACTTTTTTTTGGTTTGTAGCTCTCATTGAGTTCTACAAAATAAAAAAATCTGAATAAATCAGATTACTGGATACTGAGATAATTGCAAAAAACAGAAAATAAAAAAAGAGTAAATTGGGTCTTTTTTTGGCAAAAAGTCAGTTGTGAGTTCTATAAGAGATGTCTGGGGTCCTATAACAACTCATATTTTAGTAGTAATTGGAAATTCATAGCAATTGTACTTGGCTTTAATGCTTTCAATTCAAAATATTTTTGCTTTTGGTATTTTTATCACTGTAAAAAATCTGATTCGTGTTTTATCTTTCCATGTTTTTTCCGTAAACGTATCATTCTCATGGAATTTATAGCCTTAAATTATGGAAATTTTCATCTCGCTAACACGGATATCCGTGAATGTATCATTTTTACAGAATTTTTACGAAAGATACGAAGAAATAATGGAAATATTTGGATAAAAATTTTTTATAGGGTATACAAAAGAGAATATTGGAAATAAACGCAAGGTTTGTATTATTAAAAAAACTATGGATCAAATTAAGTTAAAATCACCATCAAGACATATTAAATCTTCTTTTAATACTTTAAATAATTCCTTTAAGTCACTATATTTCAGACAAGTTATATATAATGTTGTAAATTTGAGATAGATTATAAGATTTAGTATTATAAGAATTTAAAACATAAAATCAATTTAATGATTTAGCAAAAGTAAAGATTATTGCTAAAATGCATAAGATAAAGAAGATAAGGAAAAAGTATTAAAAAGTTTTAATTTTCAAGTTGTTTTTACCAAAGAACATGTATTTTTAATCAACCAATTATAGAAAAATTTTTATGAACTTTATAATAATATAAAATTTCAAAAACTTAATCCAAATCACTTTGCAAACTATATAAGGCAGTGATTAGATTTATTTTTTATTCCTTTCTAAGATAAACCCAATACTATTATTCAAGATGAGTTTATATTATCTAAAAAATATAATACTTTATATGTATATTTTAGTTTACCATTTACCTGAATTTATAAAATAACATTAGAAGTTTGGATTAAATGCTTTTTTGTATACTTCTGTTGAAAAAAAAAATTATGATCAAGTTTTTGCATTTTTTTGAAAAATAACGAAAGATGATAGAAAGAGTATAGAAAGAAAATTAACTATTTTTGAAATTTTACATTATGAAAATAGATTGTTATATTTTGTTCAAAAGAATATTATAGATAAATACTTCAAATCACAACATATTCATATTAAAAAATTAAAAAAATAAATTTATATATATACAAAAAATATTTTTTTTTTGTTTTATTCATATAAATACAATATATAATAAATTCTAAAATTCTATTTTAGTTTTTCTAATAAATATATTTAGATTTGTTGTATACAAAATTTTAAATTTTTAAATTAATATATTCTGTCAAAGTTCTATTATTTTTTACATTTTCTTTACTTTTTTTATATTTCCATTAACTGTTAATTTAGGTAAGTTAAATTTTTTTAACTTATTTTTTGGAACCAAATTACTATATTGATTAGAGAGATTTTTTTAATTAATATCTGCTTTAGCCTGCATATCAAATAATATAACAAAAGTTTGCTGATTATTATTAAAATATTTGCATCTTCAATTTGAATTATTAAATAAATTAGCTACTTATATATATATATTTGAACCTTGGAAAAAATATTTAGAATTTAAAGTATAGCTTATTCATGTTATTATTCAAGGTAAATTAAAAGATGATTTTTTCAGTTAGGTAAATAAATTATTTCTATCAGACTGATAGTTAAATTATTGCTTCTAAAGGTACTCTTCATATTGCATATTATATTTTGTACAATAGTTTTATATTATGTTAAATTAAATTTACTTCTGTATATAGTTTTTCAAACTGTATATTCATATAAAGTGGAGAAAATAGTTGGTGAAGAAGGTGGAGTTAATTAATAAAAATATACCTGTTTTTTGTGAAAAAAATATTTAAAAAATTATATAAAATAGCAATAAAAACTTTTAGCAATTTCAATATTCTTACTTGTCAAAAATATTTAGTCAAAGGTTAGAACGATTGGTTTGGAATTAAAAAATAGTATTAATTGAATTTTTTACTAATATTTATAGGAGTTTAATACTGAAATATCATTTACTAAATGTGTAGAATTTATTAATGCTATTATTTATAAATTTATGAATTCACATTTAACTTTATTAAAATGCTTTAATGGATTACAGGAAATGTTAATTTTAGAATTTTAAAAAGCTAAATATCAAGATTATTTAGCCAATTTACTTTTTAATATTGCTGCTTCTTTAGTAATTCTCAAAATTAGTTAAGAATTTAAGAAGTATTTTAATTGATAAAGTTTTTTCTATTTAAAAGATTTAAATTGATATTTGTTTTAAACATATGTGCATATCATTATAATTGAGCCTTTTTTTAAGGTTACTGATCAGCTGATTTCTGCAGCTGTGATTTGTGACTAGGTTTATTAGCTAATGTAAATATCCTTTAAATATATAAGAAGAAAAAAATTTTTTGGTTTTTTTATAATTAAACTAATCGTTTTAACATATTTTAATGTATTATAATATTTAACTAATCATTTTGATCTAAATTAACTAATCCTAATCTTAACTCTAAAATTTGAATTTAATTCATTTTAATCCTAACTTTAACTTAACTTTAATTTTAACCTTAAAAATAAAACATTTAGTCCAACTTTTTTTAATTAGATATAAAATATTTTAAAGAAATAAATCAGCTTTACTTATTTTTTTTTGATGAAAAAAGTAACTTAATTATCTAAAGCAAAATATTAAAAAAATTATTACAAAATATTTTTTATAGATGTTGAAGAATTACAATTAATTTTTAAATCAATAAAAGAAGCCATCAAATATTTAGAAATGAAAAATGTAATATTAGTAGATATTTAAAAAAAATATTTGAAATAAAAGGGAAAAGAAAAACTAATTATAGGAAAAAATTATGAAAATCTAATAAAAGTTTATGCAAATCATATGATCACATTATTAGGATGATATTTAATGAAATTATTAGGAGTAATTTAAACAAAATCTCTTTAAAATTAAAATATTTTGTCTTTAAACAAATATTAGATTTGTAAAAAAAATGCAACAAAAATAATAATAAAAAAAGTGAAATTTTAATTATTAAAAAAAAATAGAAGGATATATATTTAATTATAATGGACATTCCAGAAATTTAAAATTATACTGTAGGTTATGAAACATTTAATAATATACGATTTTTTCATTTTGCAATATAAAATAAGAATAATATTAATTAAAATATTAAATCTTTTTTCTGATTATTTTATTTTTAAAGGTACTGAATAATTTCAATTAAAGCAATTTTTGATTTATAACGGAGGCTAACATTTTTAATTCTGATCAGAATTATGTAATTGGTGCATAAATATCTTTTTTAGTATAATTACTATAAAATTTTGTTATTAATTTATTTTTGCATTTTAGATAAAATCTTATTTGATACCTTTATATATTATGCTGGTAATGATTATTTTTTCCTTTTTCTTTTTACTATAAAATTCTAAAATATTTAATAAATTAATTTTAAAAGTATTTTAATTAAATGAAATTTTCCAACTATCACTGGGGGTGATGATCACCGGTAACTGAAATTATGACGATCGACTAGCATTAAAAAAATATAGTGCCGGTAAAAATTGATAATTCTGGCCAACGGTGATGATCACCCCCGGTGACTTGAAGTAAAAAACTAATTAAATAAGGTATTTTATATGAATATTGCTAAATATCACTGCTGGTGACTGTCATTTACCAGAATTAAAAATGGCATGAAACTCTGCCGTTAATATTGATGCGGTGAGATTTAGCAATGCCAATTATATATATATTATATATAATTTAAATAATTAGTATTTAAATATATATAATTACTTTTATATATATAAAGTTTATTAAAATACAATACATTATCTGTTATTATAAATAATAATTATTAACTTTCAGTGTAACAAAAAAAAAATCATAAAAATAAAAACGAAAACAAAATGTACCGATTAACGTATGAAAAAATTCTCCCGCGTATATCGAATTTTTTAAATCTCAAATAAACAAATTTGCAAATTCACTTATCTATTTTATCAAAAGATGGATGTGTTTCTCAGTTTCAACAGTTTCATGATCATAACGTTTTACAAATGTGATTGATTTTATTTTTGATTTTAAATTTATTTATTAAATAGTAAATATATCAGCATTCTAAATAAAAATGGAATCAATTTTTTAAGAGAAACATTTCGTTAATGTATGTATTACTTGAAAAATTCTTCCAGCTTTGGCAACCAGATCAACATTTACATGAACGGAACACTTATTTTAAAAGAAAACCTATAAGAGAAAAAAAATTTGAAGTTAATTTCAATGATATAGTGAAAGCTTACATCTTAAAATTTGATCCAGTCTAACAAGTTTAAAAAATTTAAAGAAAAAATTATTCGGTAAAATATATCAGCTAGCAGTGTTTGCGCGCCGCACAGTGAAATTTTGCGCACACCTTTTTTGGTAAAGATGTGCGCTGTGCCACACAGAAAAATTTTACATAGGCGAGCAGTGCGAACTTTTGCGCACAGTTGCGAACAATCGCCGCACACTGCGAACAGTTGCGCACAGTTGCGAACAATTGCGAACAGGTGCGAACAGGTGCCGCACACTGCGCACAGTTGCAAACAGCTGCACATGACTGCCGTAAGTGCCGTTGCAAAAAAAACTTGCATTTAAACAGTTTTTTGTAATAATGAAGCGATTTTTTCCATCTGTTGAAACACAACCGTCTGCAAAAGGTAAACAAAAACAATCTGAATTTCCTGGTGAATCTTCATCAAGTGAAAAGCCAGATTCATCAAAGCCATCTGAAGTAAAACGGCGTAAAAATAGAAGTGCTCCTGACCCAAAATGGATGGATAATGGGAATGATGCTTGGTTAGAATATAGGGAGGTAAACGGAACATTAATAATGTTTTGTAGATGGTGTGAATCAAAAAAATATACTAATGAACTTGCAAAAGGAACCAGCAATTATCGAAAACAAAGTATTGATCGGCATCTTAACCATCATGAACATAAAAGTGAAGCTGAAGCTAGAAGAAATCAAAACATTATAAGAGTTGACTTTTCACGTAATTTAGATACTCATAAAATTAGAGTTATAACACAAATGCAATGCATATATTTCATGGCAAAAAAATATTTAGCATTATCTGTCTATCCTGATCTATATGAATTAATAGATTTTCATAGAAAAAATTCCGAAGTTATGAAACTTTGTGATACTCCCGAAACATTACAATCACCATCACTTCTCACAAAAGATTTACCATTAGAATCAATGAATATGGATCCCATTTATCAAACACATCTGCAAAAGAAATGGAAGAAGCTATTGTATATGTAATTGAAAAGGCGTTATGTGAAGAAATAAGAAGTTCAAATCATTGGAGTATTATGATAGACGAAACAAACTCTATTACAGATGAAAAACATTTGGCTGTTGTGTCCCGGCATATTTCACATAATGTACCCGTTACACGATATTTGGGAATGATTAATTTAGATGAACTTACTGCTGAGGCAATTGCGTTTGATTTAAAGAGTTTTATTATCGCTAAAGGATTAAAAGTGGAAAATTTATTACATTTTGGCAGTGATGGGGCTGCCACTTTAATTGGCACGAAAACAGGTGTTGTTAAACGATTTGAAGATTAATCCTTTTATTACGTCTGTTCATTGTATTGCACATAGACTACATCTTGCCGGAAAAGATGCCGCGAAACATGTTCCATATTTTAATCATTATGAAACCTGTATAAAGAAATTATATAATTATTTTTCAGGTTCTTATCGACGTATGCAAAATTTAAAGATGATACAAGAAACACTAGAAGATCCACAATTAGCTATTCTTAATATAGTTAATACGAGATGGCTATCAATGTCGAACAGCGTAAAAAATTTACACCAAATATTAGATTCAGTGATCGATGCATTACGTTATGATGCTGAATTTGACAAAAAAAATCATCTGGCAAGCAATTTACTTGATGAACTGAACTGTGATTTTATCATTTCTACTAAATATCTTGCAGATTTAATGTTTATATTGACGAAATTAATTAATGTGTTTCAAAGAGAATATGTTAGCTTTGCTGACATAAAAATTCATCTGGATATGGTGTATGATGCGATAACGGCTCAGTTTATCGGATTTGATGGATCTACTCCTTCATATGGCACCCATTTACGAAAATATATGCAAGACTTTAATATTTCGCCAGAAAAATTGCCTCCATTTATAAAGAGTTTTTCCGAAGCAATTGTTGATAGCATAAAATCAAGATTCCCCCAATCTAATTTGTATTATTCTTTTCGTATATTTGATCCCAAATTATTACCTATAAAAGAAAGTGAATTAGGTAATTATGGTGATGAAGATATCAAAAAACTTTCTGATTATTATGGAATAGATAAAGTGGACGAAGAAGGAAATGTAATGGAAAAAATAGTTGATAGTGATGATGTAAAACAGGAATGGGAGGTAGCAAAATATTACATTAAACAAATTAGAAGTCAAAATGCAGCAGGAGGATGGGAATATATTTTTAATACGTATCCAGATTTTGTGAACGAGTTCCCAAATATTGCCAAACTAGTTAAAATTTCGTTAATTATTCCCTTGTCAGATGCACAAGTTGAAAGAATATTCTCTCAACACAAACTTACTAAAACCCGATTAAGAAATAGAATGAATATTGAAACATTAAACAAACATTTAATGATATTACTTAATGGACCTGACGATTTTCGTAGGTTTGATTGGAACAAAGCCTACGATTATTGGGCAATGAAAACACGTCGCTCAAATTAATGGAAATATGATTACTACCGGGACGGGAAATTGTAATTATTAAACTTTTTTTTATTTGTAAAATTTTTTTTTACATTTCTATTTGTAAACTCATTTAAACCAAATTTTTTAGGAAAGTCTCTTTCAATTAAATTTTATTCATTGTATTTTGGGGGCAAAATTAGTTGATTTTATCAAATTATTTGCTAAAATGATATATCAAATAAATAATTCTTTCGAAACAACTCTTATTTTTGATGCCGCAATGATAAAGTGAATATTGTTAAGTAAATTGAACGGTTTTGAAATAATAATTTACGCGTTTTGCCAAAAAAAGAATTTAATTAGGTTTAAAAGCTGGAAAATATTCGAATACTGCAAGGATAAAGAGCCGCACAGAAACATTTTATGATTGAGCGCAAATGTGTCACAGCGAGCATGCTGCGCACAGAAAATCTATATCAGTCACTGGACATTTCCGGAAACAGGGGTGTCAAATGGATTTACTAATTAAATCTGCAGCTTGTCGATCACTTTTTTTACTATGATTTATTAGTAAATATTCAAAATTCTGGTTTTTTCGTCACATGTAAACTTAATTTTTATCCAATAAATATGCGTAAAAATTTTTTTTTTTCTTACTCTCTGAGTTCTAACTGACACGCCGATATAATTTTCCAAGGGTTATTTATTAATAACAAGTTAGAAGAATCTCTCCTTGAAGTTGGCTATTTTTTGTTAAATAAAGTTAAACTTACAAACTCTAATGGAGAACTTTGCAAGTAACATAAACAAACCTGACTTTCATAATTATGACGACGTTAGTTTTATGGAAGAAGAATACGATTTTGACTTTAAAAGTATGGACCAAACTGAGGAGGATACATTTGAAGATAGTAATATTTATTTAAATAGCGAAGAATATACAAATAATTCTAATTTTTTTCAATTAGATATTAATGCTTTTCAATCAGCCCGTTATTTTTCAACTATTACTGATAATATAGATGATTATATATTAGAATTAGATAGTAATTTTGATGATGAATCTGTAATTTCTATGGCAACTGATATTACTAATGAAATACAATTAATTGAAATTTCTGAGCCAACAAAGTCAACTAAATTTACTAACTGTGTTTTAATAGACAATTTTAATGGTGAAATTCGTTCCTGTGGAAGTTCACAAAATTTACGTTGTATACAAAAATATTTTTGGAACTTGGGAAATTGATAGTGAAGTAGTTCGTAAGGTAAATGATTTTGCTTCATTAGGAGTTTGTTATTCACATCAAATGTATGATCAAACTAAATTACATGCGAAAAATGCAAAAGGAACTAAGAATTCTTCTTTGGGTTTTATTAGCAATAGGAAATGTCTTTTTTGTAATATTAATAAGACTTTTTATACCCGTGGTAAGCAATGTGATCAACATTCTTGGACATTAGTTGGTCGTGACTTACAAGTCCCTTGTGAACCACCCTAGCGTCGCCTAGAAAAAATGGTAGCCGGATAGGTTTTCCGGGTTACACGTGATTCGGAAACTGATTTCTGGGTTAGCTTGTTAATTTTTATTATAATGTAGTAAAAAAAACTTCGATAAATAACTGAATAAATTAATATAGTAAATATTTATTTTATTTATTGCTATGATATTATTTCTTTTATTTATTCCCAATACATTGTAATTTTGTTAAAGTTTTTCCATGTTTTTGGCATTGTTCAACAGTTTTCTAGTGCTTTAATATCTATTTAATTTGTTGTTTGTTATTTTGTTTGATCAGAAATTTCTCTCCTCTTCCTCAAGTGTTTATAATAAGAAACTTTTTCTATAGTAACACGTATTTCAAATTATTTCATGATTACATTGTTTCATATTATTACCAATATTACCAATGAAAGGCGAAGTAAAGGAGGCGTAGACAAGGGTATTTTTGCCATAAAATTGTCGTTTTATTAACGATTTTGCCACGTTTTTTAATTATTCACCTTTTCCAACAATCTGAAATTTTGCAAACATTTTTTAACCATAGATGTCGTTTTGGTTTGTTATATGATTCTTTTAACAATTCTTTAGCCTAAAAAAATTATTTTGACATTAGTNTAGATGTGTATAAGAGACAGGTATTAACATGCCTTGGTCGTGGATGTAACATTTTATGAGAATATTTTTAAACTTTGATTAAGTCCAGTTTTGATAAGATTTCTATATTTATTGTTCCTTCACAATGGTACCGTTATAAATAGGTAGATGTGTCTCTTTGTTTATCTAATATAGGATGCTTTACTTGCCGTTTTCCAATTTCAATTCGACAATTGCAATAATATAATATATGAAGAGAGTCTTTTTTTTGATTTTTATTCCGATAAACCCATGAATAGCCATCACCTTCCGAAGTAAGTATTATTACAGAAAGATATTGATGAAAAGGTAAAAAGGTAAAAATTGATTTATAATCAATTAATGTAACCGGAAATCAGTTTCCGAATCACGTGTAGCCAGCAAACCTATCCGGCTACCATTTTTTCTAGGTGACGCTAGGTAAGTTGTCCATTGTGGTGGTCAGTATCATTGTACTTCTTTAACAGAAATTCAACCAATTTTATATTCTAGTTTATCTGCTAATAATTATGTATGTACTTCTTGTTATGAAAAACATGGTGGACATTTTCATCAAAGATCTGGAATAAAAGGAAAAGCTAGTCTTAATTGTCAAAAAGATTCTTCTCACAAAAATGATGCCATAGATTCTCTTCGTTTAATAGCTAATTGGCTACTTTATGTAGCCGAACATGAATCCTCTGATTTTCAAGAGCAATTATCTCGTGAAGCGCTTAATCTTTTACAACTTTTACCTTCACAAAAAATTACTCATGTATCTAGTACGTCTATTTCTAAAGAATTTAACCTTCTTAATATCATTCCTAGTCCCTTTATTATTAAGGCTGCTTTTAAATTAAATAAATTAGATTTTTTTAATTGTAAATATAGAGTTTAGTAAACAAGAAAGTTTAGAATTTGGCCAAGGAATGGCAAGAAAAATTTTAAAAAGTAGAAAAAACATTAATAATAACAAATTTATTTGAAAATCCAAATTCTTTAATTGAACATCATGATATATTTCCTTCTTTACTTACCAATTTTTTTTCGGGATTAATTAATACGTTGCAAATGTCAAATTTTAAAGAAATCAATAGGAAAAAACTAGTTAATAACAAACCTACAACTTCTTTTGATCCAAATAGTACTATTAAAACTCGAATTTTTCTTATGTCTATAATTTTTCGTGTTGCTTTTCCTGGTCTTCATCTTTGGCTTCCAACTATGCTTGCTTCACTCATAAGAAAACCAAAATTTACCACCCAACTTCATCAGTTACTTACAACACTTAATGCAGTTGCACATACTCAAAGACATGAACGTAGATTAGAAAATATTAGAATGAAAGCAGCAAATCCGCGTGAAAAGGTGATGATATTTGGAATATTGGAGTGATTGATAATATAGATTTAAAAGAGAAAACATTCGCTGATTCAAATATTTTTGACCAAACAAGAAATACAACACATGCAACGTTACGTATGGTAAAATGCCTACTTCACTTTCAACTCTTTTGGGTAACATTCTTCCTATATCTGATATTTCAACTTTAAAACTTTGGGGTGAGAATATTAAAGCTCAACAATTCATTTCTAATTTTCATCAGGTTTTTGTAGATTTTTTACAATTTTCAAACTTAGAAAATACTTTCAAATACTTTCAAGATTTTGATTTTCCCGATATACATCAACAAATTATTAATAATGTCGAATTAGGATGTCAGTTACCACCAGCCAATGTAGTTATTTTAGAAGCTGGAAATAAACCAAGTTCAAATGAAGGAATATTTGAAGCATGTGATATGTTTTTACAAGATTTTAATATAGATAATAATAAATATATGGATATTGTTTCTGATGAAGCAATATTTCGAAGAACAATACTTTATCTTGAAAATCATGAATATACTAGAATAATCCGAGTGATACGGAAAGTTGTGGAGTCCGGTGGGGATGATGAGTGGAGTACGGTCCCCTATGTGACAGTTTACTCAAGTGATAAATAACACGACGGGCCAAACACGTGATTCAGAGTGGGCCGAGCTGCTATTCATCACCTGAGTACGCTTCACACCCTTTATGTTACACACCGCCAAATGTCACCGTACTCCACTCAACATCCTCACCGGACTCCACAACTATTCGTCTCACCGAATAATCCTGGGTCAATGGCATACAAGTAAGGACATGTGTAGCGTACTTATTACAATTTTTTCAGGTTTTGGTATATTTAATTTAGCGGCAGCTTTGGGAACTAAATTTCTAGATAAATTAGAAGCAATAGTTGATTATCGATCTACTTGTCGAGTATTTGGTTTGTAGTAGGTGTCGCACTTCATATTCATTTAAAAAAATATAATAAAACAATTGAACAAATAATGAATGAAGACAATAATTTGGTAAAGACTTGGTATTTTTATTTTAAATGGGCTGGATTGTGGAAAGCGCATCGAATTGGAATTCGGATGGGAAATTTTGAAATGCAGCATGAATCACTTTCTGCATTTGCACCACTCTTTCCTGTAGCCGGTAAACTTAATTATGCCTCATCAGTTGCCTTTTATCTAGCACATTTAGCAAAACATCCTGAATTAAAAGAATTATTAAAACATGCTTGTTCAATTAATATTAGTCGAGAAAAACATTTTTTTGCATTTGACGAGGCTTTAGAAACACTGGGGGTTAAATACATAAAACAAAATATATCTGGAAATCCTATTAATATCGACCAACTTAAAAATCAGATTAAAGCTGTTCAAAGTGAAAGGGATCGAATTAATCTGTTTTTATTTGAATTTTTAGATGATAATGTTGCACATCAAGGTGATCGGGCAGTAAAATCTCGTAAAGAAATTACTTGGGATGTAATAAATCAACTTGTTATAGCATTTGATAATCCAATGAATAATTCTCTTTTTAAAGATATTTCGGGATTATCTAATATGACCGCAGAATATACATCTGAAGGATGGACCAGATTATTAATTGTTATTCAATAGGAGAAGAGCGTCTTAATGCTATATTACAACAAGACATTTTAAAACGCGAAAAACGAGTTGCAAAGGGCAGAAGAGCAAAAAATATTGGACATCATAAAATAGCAAATATGAAAAAATCTAATAATAATACTAGGGGTCGTGGTAGAGGTGGAGTTCAGCATGTATTGCCATCTAATATATTTACAACTCAATCTTCAAATTCAAATACTTCTGTTTTTAATGAATCACAACATTCTTTTAGTATGCCTTCTAATCCCAATAATTCTTTTGACCAAAATATTAATTACTTGAACAACAATTTACAAAATATACATCTAAATTCTAGTGTTCTCTCGCAATCTAATCCTAATGCAGAAATTCAGAATCTTCCTAATATACAAGCTATTCATTCTCTTCCAGACCCAATTCAAAATCCCCGCCCAACCAAACGTACCAAAAGAACAACCCATACACAAGAATTATCATTTTTAGAACCATTAGTGAATGATACAAGCGAAGAAAATATTAATAATGCTATTCAACAATTGAATAATTGGAATATAGCAAATAATCAAACTGAAAATATGTGGGATAGACAACGCGTAATAAAATGGGTACAAACACGAACCCGTTATTATAGGTTGACAAGAGAGAAACGAGAACGAAATAATTAAGTCTAAAAATAAATTATTAGTATCAATATATTGTATTAATATAGAAACATTGTAATATTTACCGTTATTAATAAAGAATTTTATATTATCAGCCATCTTTCAACAATATACATATAAACTTCTGACCAAATTTTACAATAATGCACCTATATTAACGGTTGACATTTCGTATAAAAAACTTTGCGAAAGAACTTATATTGGCAGAAGGATCTCAGTTTAAAGGTCAAAAAGTCATAGAAAAGCCTTATATATTGAAATATTTAAGGGAGTGAGGTATTTTAATGAATTTAGTGCCATTTGAAAGTTCATACGTATTACTTACTGTATAATGTATTTCAAAAAAAGTTATATTTTGTTAAAGTCGTTGTCCTGTTCGAACCAAATGAAGATAGGCTAATTTATGTAGTACAAAATTTTTAATTAGTGATTGCTGCTGCGCTGGAAATGTCCAGTGACTGATATGCCGCACAGAAAAATTTTCTAAATTGTGCGGCATCCGCACAGTAATTTTTTGATGAAAAATAAACACTGACAGCTAGCAGATTACCGACTTTGTAATTATAATCTTACTTCGCAACCAATAAATAAAGATTTCTCAATAACATAAGTTTTTTAAATATAATTAATTTATTTATTAATCAATGAGATCTAAGCTTATTACTGTAAACAAAACGATTATACATCGTCTATTTTTCCACTTAAATATGTAATTATTAGCCTCCACGCTAAAGCTCCTTTATCTTATTGTATATTTGGAATCATTTTAAGCTTAAAAAATCTTTTTCCCTTAAATACTATAAAATTTGAAATCACGGTTGAAATTGGATAAGCTTAATAACCTAAGAATCAAATTCACTTTTTGTTGTAATGGCGCAGCATTGAAATTCTTTTTATTAAAGAAAGTAAAATACTGCGTTAATTTCTTTCAATAACGTTTTGAGAAGAAAGGAGTTTGAAGTTTTATTATTCCTTTTTTCGTTATTTTTTTTACCTCTTCTTTCGAACCAAAATATATGCGTATAAAAAAAATTTAAAGTGCGGATAGGAAAAATAATATATTTATACATTTTTCCAATATCCTTAATGCCACAAATAATGTATATTAGGAATATTAGTTGTAGAAAAAAAAAAAAGATAATACTAAAAGAGCTTTAAAAGTAAAAAATAAAGGAAAAAAAATTATTAGCGAAATAAAATCATGAATTATTAACAAAGTGTTCCTTCATGTTCCAACATGACATTTCCTTTTCGTTACTTGCTTTAAATCATTGCTTCCTAAACTTCCGCCGCAGCGGCTCCCTTCTTTGACTTCTTAGGCAAGAGGTTTTGATGAATGTTCGGTAGAACTCCGCCTTGAGCAATCGTTACATGGCCGAGCAACTTATTCAACTCTTCATCATTGCGAATAGCTAACTGGAGATGACGAGGAATGATTCTTGATTTTTTATTATCACGGGCAGCGTTTCCAGCAAGTTCGAGAATTTCCGCAGCCAAGTATTCAAGAACAGCGGCAAGATAAACAGGAGCACCAGCACCGACTCTTTGAGCATAGTTTCCTTTACGGAGCAGACGGTGAATACGACCAACAGGGAATTGAAGTCCTGCTTTAGCTGAACGAGATGAGCTCGCTTTAGAAGCGGCAGCAGCAGCAGATTTTCCACCAGATTTGCCTCCTGAAGACATGTTTACAATAATATGGATATAGTAAAAAGAAGTACAAAAAAGTTTATTTTTATTTGTGACTTTGGATTAGAGTAAATCTCTTTTACTTTACAAATGTTAGAAAGAAAAAAATCGGACAGACGTTCCCTTTTAATATGGGTTGGTTACAGAGAGTTATTCAAAAATTAGGGGTGTGGGGTGCTCAAAAAATGAGGTTAATTTATAGACAATTTGTGCGCCACGCTTTTTGGTGTATTTTTTAAAACTATGATGTAAACAATTACTAATTAAAGAATACGTGTTGTTTATTATGAGCAGATCAATCAAAAAGAGGAAAAAGAGGTCTATAAAAGCCACGTTAAAGCCACCCTAAACAAGTAATAATTAATGAAATACGCGTCAAGCTTCTTCCGATCGCGTTGATTTTTCCGCTCGCGTGACTGAGTCTGACTTAGTAATAATATAAATAGTAAATTTAGTAGATTTAGTAAATTTCAATAAAGCACCGCGCGTTGATTATTGTTTTGATTCAGGTACAAACAAAGATCAAAATACTAAAAATATTAAAGACGCGGCTTTTTCGCGTTATTAATCAGGAGGAATTTTAGATATAAAAACCCTCTATTTTCCCTAAACTTTACTCTTTTGCAATTATTGACTTGTTATTTAATCAAGACGCTTTTTCCTCTTTTTCCTCTTTTCTCATATTTCATAAAAAAAAATAATCCTAATTATTTTCTATTACTTATTATCATATATATATAAAAGAAATGGGTCCAAAAGCCGAAAAGAAACCTGCTACTGGCGGAAAAGCCCCAGCAAAAGCTCCTGCTGAAAAGAAAGACAGCAAGAAACCAGTCGCTTCCGGTGACAAAACCAAAAAGAAACGCAAGGTCAGAAAAGAAACCTACTCGAGTTACATTTACAAAGTCCTCAAGCAAGTACATCCGGACACTGGTATCTCCAACAAGGCTATGTCCATTCTCAACTCTTTTGTAAACGACATCTTTGAACGTATCTCGGGCGAAGCTTCGAAACTTGCGGCCTACAACAAAAGGTCGACCATTTCCTCCAGAGAAATTCAAACGGCCGTACGTTTAATCCTACCTGGCGAACTGGCTAAACACGCTGTTTCTGAAGGTACTAAGGCTGTTACTAAATACACAAGCTCTAAGTAAATGATCTCTTGACTAAAGGTAAAGATAGGCCTCTGTTATATATATGATGGGATTAAATTTCGACACGCTATTCTTCTAAATGTTAATTTTACTCTTGTTCTTTAGTTTACGCAAAATATATTTTAAATCATCAAATTCATTTAATTCGACCAAACTTTGTTTCTTTATTGTTTCTTTAAAATGTAATATGAATAATAAATAATTTCGTTACTTTTATCATAATACAAATATCTTACACTACTTGCACTACTTGCGTATTATTAAAAGAAAAAAAATTGCAATTAATATCAAATTTATTAATCTTTCTATAATTTTAAGTAAAACAATTTTGAATAACTCTTAAACTATTAATAGAAATATGTGGCCAGAGCGCGGAAAGAACTTGTAATATCACATCATTAGTTAATCTACTTGTATTTGCTTTCAAATCCTTAGAGTATCTTATAGTATTTTCTATAGTATATCGACTTGGTATTTCGTGATAAATAAGCCATGAAGATAAATAATGTAACAATCTTTTATTGTTTCCTTCACCTCCAAGTTTTTCGCTTTCAGGAAGTGCAGAATTTGTTAGATATGCGTGTAAGAGAGATGCGAAATATTGTATATTATCGTTAGTTTGTTCAATATTTACTTTAGGTATTTCGAAATATTGATCCAACCTTGATTTTAATACTTCAATATACTCTTTTTTTATAAGCACGTTTTCTTCATATGATCTTTCGTCTTTTCCATCGTCTATATTATTTCTTGTTTTCCTTGCATGATAATACCCAAGGATTAACTTAAGATTCCATAGGTTTGTTTCGCTTATTTGTTCTAAACTTTGCTGAACTTGATAGAGAGCAAGGTAAATTTGAATAGCTTCAGGTTTGTTTCCATTTAAACACTCTGATAATATTTCGGTGCAAAATGTTGACAACTCTCGTCCTTTATCATAAATATTCGCAGAAGAAGCTTCACAAAGGTACCTCGTAAATGCTTGAACTTGAGGATCTGAAGAAAAGATTTTGATAAAATCTAGATCATTAGATTTCTTGACTTTAGGGCTTATGATAGATTTGCCTTTAGGAAATATATGTGCGGATATATCCCATAACCCTTGAGGATCCTAAATTTTAAATAAGAAAAATAAAAGTTTTTTTAAAAAAAAATATTAAATCAATAAATTTAACTTGCAGAAAATTTACCTCAGAATAGGTCAAATGTCCCGTTTTTCTTTTGACATATATTGTAGGATCTTTCCAAAACTCAGAAATCATATCCGAATTCTTAACAAACTCCAATTTTATTGGCCAATATCTTGGACTATTAATTTCAATTTTCTGGATAAATTTTGATTCAGGTAGCAAACAAGGTGCCACCAAATCTAAAACTTTAGTTTTCACTACGGTTTCTTTCGTGTCATCAGCCCCTTTTATAACAGATGAATTATAGAAATCTTTAAACGTAATTTTAACCGGCACGTGACAAGCGTCTCGAGTCTCCAAGTCTCTTAATATTAAACATCTTGGTTCCGCAGCTAATATCCACAGATGTCTAAAAGCTTGCAAATGAGCTCTGTTATCAAAACATTCAACTGGAAACCTCGAAAATAAAGCGCAAATCAATCCTGCAATAGCTTTATTGGATGTTGACAGTGTATAATTTCCTCCTCCAAGAAATAAAAACCCTAAAGCCATACTTATCACCATATAATTCCCGTACGAACGAAAATAGGTAGCGGTATTGCCAGGATTAATGTCTAGTTGGCGAAGTTTACGTATTTTTCGTAATACTTGAAGATTACCAGTACCAGCCGCAACAATCGAAGTACATATAGCTAAGACATTCAAACAAGTTTTAATCGCAAACCTCGTGATGTTTTCATCAAATGTTGGAGCTAATAAATTGAGTATTAATAAAATTTTTTAAAAAAATTATCAAATAAATATTGTAAATACCTCTTGAAACACCCAGATTCATAAAAAAATCAAGATAATAAAGTAAACACTGCAATGCTGTTTTGTCTGCCGATCCAGCATACTTTAAAGCCATACTAAAACAAGCTCCTGCTATAATGTAATAGTAGGACCTTTTAATAGACTCTAAATTTGGATCAACATCATCGTTTTGATGACCAAAATTTCTTTGCTCCAATTTTCTCTTCATATATTCAGGTATATGGCTTTCGACCCAAACTTGATCAGATTTAATATTACTCCACATGATCAAATTTCGGGCAAGAATTCTAACCAAAAGAAAATCAGATCTAACGTAATCTAAGAAAAACTCAGTCTCTGGAATAGGAATTGCTTTTGCAACATTTTCCTTGTTCGATTTCAAATACAATAATCCAAGTGCTATTGTCGCTCCTGGAGAAGTAACATTAACGTTGACTCCATCAGCATTTCCATTCAAACGACCCCCACTTCCGGATGGAATCGCACTAGACGATTTTTTTACTGAATTTTTACCTCCAGATATATATAACCTTAATTCTTTGAAAAGATCCAAATCAGCTAATTCACGTGCTTCATCGCCTTGACCCAAAGTTATGAATCCAAGAGAAAATCCTGCGGCAAGTGAATATCCTTCTGAGAAATCCGTTTCTGAGTTATCGGACGCTTTTAGAGCCTTCGTTCCAATTTCTCCAAGCATAATCTGAGCCATATATCTATTACATGTGTTCATATAGAGCAAGCCAATACCAAGTAATGCTGCAGACTGAACTAAGGGCGATACATTTAAACTGTTTGATTTTGGCGGTAATAAGGCCGTAACATGAACTGCTACAAATCTAGTTATTTCCGTATCCATAGTACCAATATACGAAGCTGGCAAACCAAGAACCAAAGCAATAGTTGTCATGTCGTGCTTTGGAGTTTTCATCAAATAATCTACAGCTTGCCATTTACTCATAGCTTTCAGATGTCCATTGAGTCCTAATCCTAAAAGAAATCCCGCGTGGCTATTGCTATTATCAGTCATATTTGGTTTATTAAGCGAAATCCAAGATCCTTCTATATTACAATTAGAAGGAATTCGTAAACCAGATGCAACACCTTCATGAAATTCTGGCCATTCAATATTATCCGGTATACGAAGTGTTCTATCAACTTGTATTGTAGAATTGAACGGTAATACCTTAATAGTTAAACTTGCTTCGGGAATTGGAAAAGGTTCAGTAACTATAGGAGTTGTGGTACTATAAGTTAAGATTCCTCTTCCAACTGGAAGTGCAAAATTATTTAAACAATGGTTCTGAACACGGTCTAAAACTAATGGAGAATTTTCTTCGATCTGACTAATTAATTCATAAACATTTTAAAAATGGTTCAAATAAATATAAAAATTATCAAAAATGAAAGTTCGAACTATACCTCATATCGGTAGAATGCAATACAATATGTACAACGTTACTGGATTGTAAAAGTCGCTGAACTTCGTTCAATCTTTTATCATTGCCAAATCTCAAATCTGTAATTTCGTGATTTGAAATTTCGCTTGCGTATATTTCTTCTCGATTTTCTTGCTGTGGGGCGGGAATTGTAGTTTCTATTACTTGTAAAATAGATTTTGGCTTTGGTTCCTACAGTTATGAATAAAAATAAGTATTCACAAAAAAATAAATATTAGAAATAAAAGTAACTATTACCATTTTATTTCCTCGAGAATGAATATAACCAATCGGTGTACCAAATTTCAATTTTGCCAAATCTTCTCGACCTATTGTAAATATAATTTACATTAATAAAGTTTGCACAATCAAGAAGATACTTTTATCATTAAATGGTATACCTATAAGTATGTAAGCTGCCTCAGGCCAATCTTCTGGAGGATTTTCTTTACATTTTCTTATAGCTTCTCGCAAAGGAAGTGCAATACCAAAAGGTAAAGATTCAATATCTTTACTTGTAAATCCAAATTTTACCATTTCAAAAATCATTGCCTTTTCTCCTTCATAAATTAATTTGATATAGATTGAGCATATCTGCCGTGTTCTTGCACAGCAGTTGGGATTTTGGACTAAGATTTCCCCTTTCTCCGACATTGAGAAGATTCGATCTATATCCGCAAGATCTGGAAAAGGTTGGATTTGTTCAACATTATTTCGAATACATTTCAAAATCCATTGAGTTATATCAGGAGGTGTAAAGAAAGGATGATCAGAACTTAATGTTGAATTCAATAGAGTATCTGAATTTTAGAGAGAAAAAATTAATTCAAAATAAAAAATATACACATAGAATGCATTAGGTTACAAACCTTCATTGACAGTTAACTTTTTATCTAATCCATAGTTTCTTTTATAATATTCAACATAAGTCTCCCATCCAAGAAATTTTGATAATTGAATCAATAATGGTAAAATTTCGTCAACATATTTTTGTGTTAAAGTATCTAATTTTAGATCCTGATAAACAAGATGAAGAGTGACAAGAATAATAGGTAAAAAACTCGACAATTTTTGATTAACTGTTGTTTTAGTAAAAAACGGTTCCCGAGACTTTTCACACATCTTTATTATAGAATCATCGATTGCTTGTAATTGATTTGATGTCGGGCGTATGCAGTGCAAATAAGAATTGAAATTAAATTTTGCGTGTTGTGAAGATGAAAGTAAAAACTCCCATCCTTCGGTTTCTTTTGTCTTCATATTATTATTAGAATGCAATGATATGGAGAAAGGTAAGAATGACAAAAGAGCAACAGCGAATTTTTCCCACTCATTTCCTCTGGATTCTGATCTTACATTATCTTCCTTGGCATACTGATAACAAAGATATTGTGCTTTTAAGTTATAGTATAATTCTGTCGGTAACGCGAAACTCAAAGCATCCAGACATTTTTGAACAATTTTAGACTTCGGAATAAAGTTAAGGTCTATTCTAAGTAATATATTGTTAGAAATAACCAAATTAACACGATGACGAACATTATCTTTTAAATCGAAAATATTCGAATTTAATTTTTTCAAATTTAATATGGTTTTATCCGGTACAATGTATTTTTCAAGTAATTGATGATGAAAAGTTGATAAAGGGAAAGATTCTTTTTCATATAATGTCTCTTCCACAGCTTTGCCAGAATAATCCTTGAAATTATAATCCAAATTCAATGGAATAATTTTGCCATAGCCAATCCATAGTTCAAAAATAGGATGTTTAACTCCCTCTTTTACAAACAAAATATCATTGTAATTAGGCCTAGTTGCAGAGATCGGTGAGGCTGCTATTGCCTTAAGTTCAAATTTAAGCGAAATTTTTGACTCATTTGAATGATGTGTAAAAATATCCAATGCAATGAAGTTTTGATTTGATTTAATAAATAAGCATAAAACATCATTTCCGGCATAGTCATGAGCTATAAATACTTTGCTCTCTTCAAATTTATCACTTGACCATGAAAATATAAATTAATCATTATTAGAATGTTAGTATAAATAATTCAAACAAGATCGAAATATTAAGAAATTATTAATTACATTTTCGCTGTAGATTCTGTCCAAAGAAGTTCCATAAAAATATCGCTTTTTACGTCTAATTTTGAACTTAAGTCATTATAAATGTCGTCTGAGCTAAAACCAGCTACGTATAAAGATCTATCCATATGTTGAAGAGAACTTCTCCCCTCGGATCCTTGAAACGAATCGTCAAGTCCAACAGAAATCCGTCGTTCTTTATTTTGCAGTGAATTATCAGAACGGACGTTTGAATTTCTTTGGCTACGTGATTTAACAGGTGATGAACAGATCCTTTCTAACGTTTTTAAACTACTTTCTTTCTTGATAACATATCTATACACAGAATGCCGAAGAGTTTTACGATTCAATGTGACTATAATAAGATTGTCTTGAACATCACAATCATTTACAAATATCACGGCTTCATCATTATCCAAGAAAGGTTGTGTCATTCCCAATATATCGATTTTCTCACCCTCATAAAAAATTTTATCCGCAATTGAAATACGTTTGATATCCTCCAAAGGATCCAATATACTGTAGAGAACCGGAAGGGGATCAGAGGTATAATTTGATGTATTTAAAGACTCTGAGTCGCATTGAAGAATAACTCCAACATTCATTGCCCAAGCACGACGCACGTAAGAAGGAACCCTTATCAAGAAATGTTGACCATCTAAGAAATACACCTTTGCATAATTTTCGAGGAGCACAAAGAGAGCTCGTTGTCTTTCCGTTTGTACGGGTTTCTTACGAGAAGTTTCGGAATTCCGTTCAAGCTCATAAGCATAATAACTTTTTGCTACTTTAAACCAAACGAACAAAGCTTGCAAAATTGGCTCTTCATATGTGAAAGTTTTATATAAAATATTTCCTCTACTCCAAATAACTGTCTTATTAGAAACGTAAAGCTCTTCTTCAAAATCGTCCAGATTACTCGTTTCATGTAATGTCCTATTAAAACCCTCATAAAGCTTGTAATAGTTAGTTAATTTTTCAGTTAAATTGTAAGAATTTGGGAGAAAATTCTTAGAATTCTCTTTAATTTGTGGGTTTTTTTGAAAATTTTCTTTATGATATCTTTCACCAAAAGAAACGAAATTTCCTAAAACGCGTACTTCCATTTTGATAACTTTGATTTACACTGCAATCTTTGAGTACAAGTTACTTTTATGGGCTAAATTTATACTGATGTGATTATGGCTTCTTAAAAAAATAATCCAATAATCACTAAATCTAAAATTTAATCACATTGCGTTATAGTCACGAATTAAAATTTAAATAATTTTATTATTTTCTGTAAGTAAAAATGTACAACAATATAACTATTATTGAGAAGAACTAGAAAGAATATCGGAATCACCAGGATCGGTGATACTCAACACTCCTACACGAAAGTATTTACCACAAGCTGTACCGAGATCAATATTATCTAGTAAATCAAATTTTATTTATTAACTTCAATTATGCTTATGCGGTAATCAATTCAAAATACACTTACTGCCAGAATAATGGTGCACAGGAGTTTTTGAAAGCATAGCATAATATTCCAATTCATGTTTTCTCAATGGTGGGCAATTACCAGAAATAATAACAAGTTTAGCTAAATAATTATATGTAAAATCATTAATTCTTGGAAGGTCTATCTTTGCCAGCTAACTCAAACAAAATGCTGACTCCTGACCCTTATATTACATTCATATTTTATTTTATTAATGTACGAACCTTTTCCTAGGCGAAGAGTCTTAAGAGTTGATTTGTATCCCAATGTATATTTACCACTCTTCATTACTAAAGCAAGACGTGTATTAATTGATTCGGTGGCTTTTTTTGATTTCTTGGCAGCCATTTTTGCTATATTCCTATAAAAATACAAAAAATCAATAAATAAATAATTGTATCCATAGAATAAAATAAAGAAATTTATATCGTTTCATGTAATAGTAAATTTAATTACCAGTAATCTAAAATACCAAATCAAATAGTAAATTTTTTTTTTTTGAAAAAAATTTTTTTTTTTAATGTCAGATACAATCATGTGATACTTGTTGTTTTAGTGTAATTGTAGGGAAATTATTACTGAATCAAATGATTTTCAATATATAAAATGGAAGTAGAAAAGAACAATCCTGTTAACGAAGTATCAAAAGAACTTGCAAAACATTTATGTGTATATGAAAATAGTACCGAAGTCATAAAAGACATTCACAATGGTATTGAGAATGTAACGGTTCAAATGGAAGATACTAAAAAATCTTTGGAACAGGTTAAATATAATTCTTTAGAGTATTGATTTTATTTATTTGATTTGATAAAGCTCAATTATTTAGACCGATTTAGGTTCGTTTTGATGCTGAAACACGTTCAGAAGTTGCTTCGAAAGAACTTTATGAGGCTGCTCATTACCTTGATTCATTATATAATAAGATTGACGCATTAGAAGTAATAAATTATCTCATATAATGATGGTTTTTTAGAAACATTGTAACTTTATTTCTTTCTATGCACTTTTCTTGGATAGCGGTTCATAAACATTGTCAAAGAAAATGTTAATGAAGTAACAGATCGTGTTGAAACAGCAGAAGGATTTCTTACAAATCCAATTAATCGTGTATTAGATACAATAAAATTGGTAATCAATTTCTAATTTAGTTTCTTTGGAAAGTTTTGCAACAAGATAAGAGTTATTAACTATTTGTTACAGAATACGGCCAAATCGATCGACTCTGAAGATCTGAGGCTTCCGCCAATGAAACCTCTTAATATTTATCACACATCTGATTTTTTTCCATCTTCACCTGGCAATGAATAATCTATCTGTAATTATACTTTACTCTCTTAAATTAAAACATTCGTACATTTGGCTAGGGCATTTAATCCATTGATTAAATTTTTGTTCTAAAAGCATTCTTTTAGCAGTTTGATAATCTTTACTTGCTAACTTATAAGTTCTATAAGTCTTGTTATTTTGTGGCTCGACAAAATTTCTATTTATAAATAATAAATAAATAGCTAAGAATTTGATTTCTTTAAATAGATGAGCCGTGGATTTTTTTACCTTAAATTAAAAGGCACCAAATTTGAAGGCATTCGTTTTAATAATGAATCAACTTTCTGAAATAAGCAAACTTTTGTAACCGAACATCTATATTGCAAGATTTCTACGTGAATCGACTAATAAAATAATGTAACCGAGGGGAAAAAAAATGTTTGAATACCGAGTTTTATATGAATATTCTCCAGTTTTCTTCGATTTAACCGTGCCTTGTTTCCTTCCGGCTACAAGAATTTCTGGAGAATTTGCTCCTTTAAACCATACTACAGCTTTAAATATAGTATAATTTAGATATATGTAAAAGACACGAAGAAAGAAACAAATACAGTACTTTTTTATGTACCTGTACTTGATGGGATCAAATTCTCGTTGGGAAAGTACGATGACAAATAAAATTTTGATCTTTCAAATTGTTTGTTTGTATTAACAATGACAGGTTTACATAAAGAATATTCATGTGGAAGATCTTTAAAAAATAAGGAGAATTAGGTCAACGAATCACGAAATATAATTTCGTGCGGCTATATTTTTATGTGATTATATTCTTATAAATCGTACCATTCAAATTCCCGATACGTCCATATAAAGCACGGATCAAAGAATCTTGTGAAAACATATCACCCACGATGATAGAAGATAGATAGATCGGAGAGATAAATTCAGATAATAAAGCAGATTGTAAACCAACGACGTTCCATAGCGCTATTTTATCACTATATATTAATTATAAAAATAATTTAATTTTCTATAAAATGTATGTGAGAAGTACAAACTTCGTGAATCAACCTGCATGACATCGACAACGTTGGTTCTGAATCAACTCTTCCTAAAATCATATGATTCTAATGAACCTATCGGTAGAATTATGAAAGTCTATATAAAATAAGAAAGAAACCTGGTTTTGTTCTTAAGACTCCCAAAGAATTATAATCTAATCTCCCTCTTCTAAACCCTTCCTTTTCTTTTGCAACATAAACTTTATCATATGTATTCAGATTTCTGCCATCTTCACGATCTTCACTTTGAGAGTCTTGGCTTGAAAGATGATCATAAGAATTTACATGTAGCTCGGCTGGTTGAATTGAAGCTAAACTTGTTGTTGACGCATCACCACCTAATACAAATCCGATTATTTTAGGATCAAATAAATGAACATTCTTATATTAACCACTTACAAGGAGCTTGACTGATATACATATGAAAACTCAATCTATTATCCTTTAATAAAAATGGTTTATTCTCAATTTGATCCCGGATCTCCGTTTCAGAGTTAAAATGTTCATTAATCCGAAAATATCTTGATTCGGATGTTAAAGCCAATTCCAGTTCATTCATAATAAATCTGAATTCATGATTAATTTTCATATGATCCTTAAAAAGCAAGGAAATAAATTTTCACATTGATATCTTACTTCACGAATCCTCGCCTAGCCAAAACTTCAGCATGACTATCATGAATCAAATCTCCTGATTTACTAAGTTTACTTTGTGGAAGACATTTTAATCCACTTCTAATGGCCCATTTAATCTCGTAAGCAAGAAATTTATAAATTTATGAATGATATAATATAATTTAGATGTAAAATTTATTTACCCTAGTGAAATACATGTTAAACTATATTTTCCAGTATCTGAAAAATAATTTTTAATGAGAAATATATCATATATCATTCTACTAAATTAACGTGTATACTATTTTTTTACCTGTGATATGACAAGCAATTATGCCAGAAAGTACAGTCCACTCAAATTTATGCTGAATTCCTATGGGTTTATCAGATTTTTTCGATAATGATTTATATGCTTGATGACAAGTTAAAGATAGCTCTGATATAAAATTTGGATCAGAGTAAAATGTCATGTCTTCCTCTCTACACGTGTAATACAATACGAGTGTAACCATTTATCATCAAAGAACGGAGCGCTACTGCGCTAGCCGTGTATGGGTATGGGCAGTGACGTAATTTTTGACTCGGTGTAGAACATAGAAAAAAAAAAAAGCTTTTTTTTTAACTTGGATTTTTGAATCATGTCAAGTAACTCGACGATTCTCTACAATAACCTTAAGAAGGAATTTAATTCACAAAATCCAGATTTAAAAAAATGTGGAGACTATCTAGCTAAACTCAAGGTTTTTTATTGAATATTTGCTTTCATTACCATTTTAAGGCTATTAATCCTTTCCTTTCTTTTATAGATCGCATTATCTAAAATGCAGCTTTTGCTTCCGGAAGGGGATGTAAAAAACACAGAGGAACTTCTTATTGCGCGTACGTAGAAGATATAAAGTGTATCCGAGAATAACTTTTATATTAATTATAACATTATTAATTATTCCATAGGTGATATTTTGGAAATTGGAGCCTACTGGAGTGTTCGTGTTAAGGATATACCATCGTTTGAAAGATATATAGCACAATTAAACACCTATTACACTGATTACAGGTACATAAATGAAAAATTCAATTTTTCATTAATTTAATAATGATTGGTCTCATTTTTTTGATTTTATAGTTCTTTGCTTCAGCCTTCACAAGCAATGTATCCTTTAACAGGATTAAATTTATTGAGATTATTGTCACAAAATCGAATTGCAGAATTTCATACGGCATTAGAAAATATTGAACCGGAACAACTTTTGGAAAGTGTTTATATTAAACATCCTGTCCATTTAGAACAATATTTAATGGAAGGTAGTTATAACAAAGTTTGGAATTCAAGAAATGAAGTACCTGCACCCGAATACCTGTTTTTTATTGATATTTTAATGGGCACTATCAGGTAACTTGTAAACGATATTCATGTTAGAATGCAATGCAAATATGTAACTTATATTTTGTTATTTTAGGAGTGAAATTGCCAGTTGCAGTGAGAAAGCTTATTCTTATTTACCACTGGCCGACGCTGCTACTTTGTTATTTTTTAATAATAATACTAATGAACTTTTGAATTTTGCAAGTGAAGTAAGTGATATTATAATGGTTTGATTTTTCTGTTATATATGCGCATTGATACATTATTTAATTTAGCGTGGATGGAGTGTTAGCCAAGCTGAAATGAAAATTTATTTTACTACTAAAGACGATGATCATGTTGAAATACCTTCGGACAGTATTATAAAACAAGCACTTCATTATGCTAGAGAATTAGAACAAATTGTTTAAATAAACGTTTTTAATTATGAAATGAATTTTTACATTTTTCTACATTTTTTTACATATATTTATTTGTTTAAATTGCTGATATTGCTAAATTGTTTATTTCCAAAATAATTCATCAAAGACTAGTGTAACAAACAATTAATACTTCTAGATACGCTTACAACTCAACTTTCATTCCAATGTTCTTCTAAATGTTTTTTTAAATCTGGAATAAATTTTATAGATTTCGCATCACATAAATGACATTTTAATGGTGATTTCAATAAATCTTCATAATATGCTTTATTAAACTAAATAATTCAAAAAATTAATGTCAGTTTCACTTCTTAAGCAATAAAAAAAAAAATTACCTTAACTTCTCCTTGCTTTTCCAATATTCTTTCGATTTCTTCCACATCTATAAAAAATTCCGTTGTAAATGAATTCCAATGTTTCTTATTCTTCAACGAAGGCGAAATAAAGTCTTGTGAAATCACATGCATATGGAGCTGTCTTTTGTCAAATTAATATTCAATTATCATAAAAAAAAAACAAGTGATGCAAGAATATTATTACCTTAAGCTTGGAACAGCGTGGAATCCCATACGAAAAAATAGTTTTGGATTTTCTTGTTTCATTCTAAAAAAAAGAATAAATTACGAATTCGAAATTAAGGCACAAATTAACGAGTAGAAGAAATAATAGAAATAATCTTATCTGATGAACTCACTTTTCAATAACCCACTGTCCTTTTTCCTTCAATGCCCTCACCAATTCTAAATTTTGTTTTTTCAATTCTCCAATATTATCAATTTGTTTTCGTGGTATCACTAATAAATGATTTTTCGCTTTTGGATATTTATCAAAAATAATGACAAATTCATTATCATAATAGTAAACTTCAGATTTTGGAAACATTTCGGGTTTTTGACAATACGGCAATAAAACGTTATTCCATCCTCCGCTTCCCACTTTGGAAGGAGTTCTTCTTGATGATTCAGGAGAAATTTTAGACGAAGGTTTACTTGCGGATTTCATCAAAATGTCAACTAGTCATAAACAAAAGACAAATAAATAATGCAAATTATGCATGTTAAATTTAAATTGTCTAATTATTTCTTACATGCAGAAACTTCTTGTACATTATCCTTTATGGTTGTAATCGAACGATATTCTTGTCCATTTGTTAACTCCCAAAACGCGTTCAATATAGAATCATACGTTTTTTTAAGTAATTCTTTTGCTTTTTCTAGTGAAACTGGATCGGGTCTCGATGGATTCATATTTGGGGATACTACAAAAATGATCTAAAAAAATATTACATAACATGTATATATATATATATATATATATTTATATATATTATGAACAAAATGAATTGTTCCTAAAAACCTGCTCAATGCCTTCGCTTTTATGTAGATCAGAGTCTTTTGGGACTTTTACCGGATATGCTTCACCAACCTATAATTACAAATTTATAAATAAACCGATATTTTAAAAACTAGCAAAAACAGAATACTTACTATTCCAGGCTTCGGGTACAGCCGTTTTAATTCTTCATGTAGCTTTGATCCGAGAGCATCAAAAATTTGTTTGCTTAACTGATTTGTGCCTGATATCAACAAAAATATATAATCAACATATTTTCTCATAAATTGTATTCCTATTGGTAAATAATTACCTGGTTTCATTCTCCAAGTTGTTTCTACGACAATAAACCTTTTTAACGCAAAACATTTATAATATTTTTCAAATAAACATAAAAATACTTTAATTGATATCAGACCTACACTCAATTCTAAGATCACTTTTTAATTGCAATAAATTTCCTTTTTTTGTTTGAAATTTAAAATCTTCCAAATCATCTTTTATCTCTTTCCACTTCTACCAAAACAAGGTTCGATATGTAACTTATTTAATTTATTATATATCAATAAAAAGGAATATGAATAAATTACCAATTCAAACACATTTAAAACTTTCGAATCTTGTTCAGTTAAAATCAGTTTAAAATCGAATTCTTTATGTAATTTCAAAAATTCTTTTATCGCCTTGATTAAATGTATCTTCATTTATAAGTCAACGTATATAAAAACATACAGAATAGTAAAATAAAATCATTATATATGTAAGAACAAACCTCACAGCCGATTTCCGCGGCAATATCTATTGGAAAATCACCAAAATTTGTCGAAATAGATGGGAACCCAAGTCCAACAACTCGTTTTTGCTCATTCTATATTAAAAATAAAAAAAATGTAATAAAAAAACCATCTTTTTATTATAATTAATTATTAAGATTAATTAGGAACCATTTTCTTCGTTTTGAAGTCGTTGAGATTTGTTGAAGTTCATTTATAACGTTTATTCATACTTTCAACTTATTGATAAATTTAAGGGACATGATTGGCTATTAGCATCTGTGTTATTCTTATCATCTTCACGTGTTCAAATTTTTTTTTTTTTACTAAATCTCTCTCCTCGTTTGTTTGAAATATAACAAGATATGGTAAATATTTCGATAATTATTAAGTTGATAACTATAAATTTTAGAAACTATAAAAATAAGACAAATGGTCTATGGAAATATCATTAAGGAAATGTTTAAAATAATGGATGTCAACCAAATTTATTGTATAAAATTTAAATCTTGTCGAAAAAATTATTCCTATTAGTTAATATATAAAAATTAGTGGAATTAATTTATATTATTTTATCTGGTATAGCCTTCAAGACTTAAGAAGAACAGAAAGAAACGTGGACATGTTTCCGCAGGGCATGGTCGTATCGGTGAGTAAAAAAACAATTTGATTTTTTTTTCCTTTTTTTTTTGACATGAATAAACTTTAAAATAAATTTCTTTTTCCTTTCATAGGCAAACATCGTAAACACCCGGGGGGACGTGGTCTTGCAGGTGGTCAACATCATCATCGTACCAATATGGATAAATATCATCCAGGATATTTCGGTAAAGTCGGTATGAGACATTATCATTTGACCAAACAACAATATCATTGTCCTATTGTCAATTTGGATAAACTATGGACTTTGGTATCTGAACAAACGAGGAAAAAGTATGCTGCTACAAAAGACGTTGTACCCGTTATTGATACTTTAAGAGCAGTGAGTAGGAATGAAAATAAAGTCAAAAACTTCATAAATACATTTTATTAATTTATGTATTTGAATGGTTGGTTGTAGGGATATGGCAAAGTATTAGGTAAAGGTAATTTACCTAATCAACCTGTTATTATTAAAACAAGATATGTCTCTAGAAGAGCCGAAGAAAAAATAAAGAAGGTTGGAGGTGTTGTTCAATTAGTAGCATAAATATATGATAAATGTCTATTTTGATAAACCTGGTAAGAATTTGAGTATTTGCAAATTTTTAATCATCTTTGATATAATTATTTATTAATTTATTTTGTTAGCTAGTTAAAAAAGCATCTTTATCAAATATATAAAAAAAATTTTGTTATTTTAAACAATACATTAATAAAATATATAACTTTATAAATTTTAAATAACAAATCATATTTATAAACTTGTAAATATTAAATATTATTCACCATATAACCAAAAGTAATCTTTCGATGTAGATCATTTCCCATTTTAATCAATTTACACGAGTGATCAATTTTGCGATTAAATCATTTTTTTCATTTTCTCAAAATAATGAAATCATGGATTTCCTTCTTTTTAACTGACGCACGCACATTTGTTTATTGCAAGCAAAAAAAAAAAAAAAAATGTTTAGTATTTTAAAGGTAACAGCAAAATTATAATAACCTATTCTTGACAAAATTCTTTTAATAAATATTTTTTTTTATGTTAGCCTACGAATTTTGCCAAATTGCATATACTTGTACCAAAGACACCATCAAATCCTTACTTCACCAACTATAAAACTCGCCAATTTTCTCAGGTAAAACTATAAAAATTATATTTTTTTTAATGTATTTACGCTTTCAATATGTTTCAATTTCTAAAAATTAATAATATCTTTTTTAAATTTGGTAACTGGGTTTAAAAGTCGACTATTGTGTTTAACAGATTTTCAGAATTAGCTAAAAAAATTAAAGAATCATATCCGATTTCTGAAATAACACCACAAGAACTTCATTCATCACTCAATTCATCATTATCTACTACTTCTAATTTATCTCCTACACCAAAGCAACCTCCAATTATTATTGATGTTCGAGAAAAAGATGAACAATTAAGAGGAATTATACCAACAGCAATTCCTTTACCACGCGGTATATTAGAAAGAGATGTTGAAAGAAAAGTGACAAGTGTTAAAGAAGTAAATGATTTGGAAAATGGAAGAGATATTGTTGTTTATTGTGCGGGTGGTTTAAGAAGGTAATTTTGAATTTTTTGATGAATGATTTAATTGATTTTATTTAATTAATTCATATTTTATTTTAAATTTATCCAGTATAATGGCAGCAGAAAGTTTAATTAGATTAGGATATAAAAAAGAAAATGTTAAAAGCTTAATAGGTGGATATGATAATTGGAAAGAAAGTGGATTTGAAGTGGCTGATTATGAAACTTCAAAAAAAATGTAAGCTAGAATAATTATTCAAACATTAATATTGTGAATTCTATTATAATTTTTTAAAATAATTTTTGAACTTTAATCTATTAAAATAGATAAACTAATTAATAACACAATTTTTATTTGTATATTGTAAGCTATTAAAATTAATTAATTAAATATATAATCTTTTAAGATTAATTATTATTATAATATTTAAATATACTGTTTAATTTAGTAAATTATATTAATTCAATAAAAGATAAATGCTTACAATATCATATTACAATTCAAATATATGTATTATAAATAAATATTTAAAAATTCTGCTATATTTAAAAATAAAATAGTAAAAGCTATTTATCTAACTAAAATGCAATATCAGCTTTTAAATAAATAGACTATTAAAACAAATTTATATATTAATTTCTAAATTAAGTAGTATTATCTAATTATTAAATTGGTCATGAAGCTCAAGATGCAGAAGAAATATATGATACTGACTATGTCAATCGATCTTAATGAAATGGCTTTGAGTCAATGAAATAAAGGAATTTGGACTGCTTCTTTAAGAAGTTTTCCAGTACAATAGTTCCTGAATTTGAAGTAGTGTAAAGAATATGAAAAATTTCAAGCAATTCTAGTTGATATTTCCAAATCAATGAATATCAGTATTTTATATCCTGCTGATAACCCTGCTTATTCAATATTTTCTCCTATAAGTTGTAAAGCTTTCAAAATTATTCAAAATAAAGGGTGTTTAAAATTAATTACATATTACCAATCTTAAGCAGACTTGGATAAAATCACCAATATGGAATTTGAGTTTCAAGAATTTAAAGATGTATAAACAAGATATTTTGCATCCATTTTGAGCCAACCTTGTAGATTACCAATAAAAAATAGCCTACATCACAAGCAGAATCAAAATGTAGATTTATTAGTTATATTAAAAATTTGAGTAAATAGAATCAAAAGAACAGATCCATTGGAAAAAAACAAACTAAAAGACTTCTTAAGTTTATGAAAAAGGATCTGGATGGTATTTTCAAGCTGACTTTGTTGGTAAAAATCAGGAATTTAGCAAGTAGACTTACTAACTGATAGGGAGACTAGGCAAGCTAGTTAAACTATAGGCAAAGCAAATGGAACATTTTAATAGTTACTTATTATTCAAATTATTTTATTAACCTTAACCCTTTTTTTTATTTATATTTTTACCCTAACTTTTATTTTGTTACTCCTTTATTTTCTTTTTTGCATTTTAGATTTCATGTTATAGTTATAGTGAGTCTTTTTGGATGTTTACATAAAGATGGTCATCAGTTCTAAAGACTATTGGTCTCTCTAATCCTATATGCAAAAAGACTGGATCACGTAGAACTGCAGTCTTTTGCGGTTCTCGTGATCATCTAATGAATCAATAAAACTGACCATCTTTTTTAGGACCGCAGTCTTTAAAAAACTGATCAATATTATTTTTTTAATCACTTTTTTTTAGATAGTAAGAACAGGACTATAAAGAAATCTAAAATGAAATTAAAAATATAAAAAAAAAAATAGTCAGTAGGTACTACTTTCTTAGTATATAATATAAGTATATTATTTTTTTTTGTTTAACACAAGAAACATTTAATAGAGTAATAAAAAAAAAAAATTTATGAGACAAACTGATGGTCTTTTGGTCAGTTTTAGATCAGTCTCCAAAGTGGTTCTACTACATCACAAATAATTAGAACTGGAGTCCAGTCCTATAAAGATTAGAACCAGTTGAGACTGAACTATGTAAGACTGAATAGGATTATCACCGGTCAAATGATGACAAATAGGGGACCAATAAGATGGAAATCGGGTCACCTGATTTCCATCTTATTAGTTCCCTATTTTTTTTGTTTATTATCAATCGGGAGCGAAAATCCTGATTACTACCAAAAAATGGCGCAATAAGAGTACATTAGGGGATATTCAAATAGAGTACAATCGGATATTTAAATAGAGTACAATCGGGTTACAATAGGCCATTTACTATTTGACATATCAGTATACCGATTGTTAACTTTTCAACCAATAAAAAATCTTCTGATTGCCATACATTTTTATTTTAAATTTACAGTTTTATTAATTATATTTTGGTTAGTTTACTAAATACGATTATATATTAATTATTAAAATTATAAAAATCTGTTTTACAGAAATAAATTTATTGCTAAATTATTATTATATAATTGAATCATCCCACCGATTTACTACTATCACTATTATCGTATTCTTCTGAAACAAGACTTACACTTCTCTTTTTCCTTTTTTTCCTATCATCCACTTCTTCATCCTGCTCTTTTTCCTGATCTTCATTCTTTTCTCCGCCGGTTGCATCATCATCTTCCTGGCTTTTATCGTCATCTTCCTGGCTTTTATCGTCATCTTTTTGGCTTTTATCGTCGTCTTCCTGGCTTTTATCATCGTCTTCTTGGATTTTATCATCATCTTCCTGGCTTTTATCGTCATCTTCTTGGCTTTTATCGTCGTCTTCCTGGCTTTTATCATCGTCTTCTTGGATTTTATCATCATCTTCCTGGCTTTTATCGTCCTCTATCTCTTCGCGATTAGCACTATATTTTTCCACTAAATGTTTCAACGATCCTTTGTAACCGACTTTTGCCCATTTGGGGGCATTAACGGGTGCACTGTCCTCATTAGAAGCATATTCGGTATCATACACCCATTTTCTTACGCGTCGAGCATTTGACGCCGCATTATCAATGTAATTTCGTAAAAAAGAGCGTAGCTATAAAAAAAAAGAAGAATAAAAATACGAATTATTATGCACTGATTGGTAAAAATTATTCAAATACTTACGGTAGCTGATTTCCATTTGAGATCCCGTATGACGATCTTTCACTTATTAGGGTTATCGCTATCGGTCTCCGATACCTCTGAACTGTGGTATTGATTATCAGTCTAAAGAGGCTGGAGCTCGTTGGTATGAAACTTATTTATCAATCAATCTTTTAATTTTTTTAACTTGTCGATAGTTTTATTTCGTCTTTCCCGCTTCTAAATAATTAATAGAAAATTATAAGATAAGGTAATATAAAAACAACGATTTAATATTTACATCACTTTGTCTTGAATTTGCATGCTTTCTTCTTTTTTTGAGATCTTTCCAATTGGCATCCCTCTCGCTATTGAGTAGTAGCTCTCTCTGGTAACGATGTCTCTCATGCACGATATGCTTAATCACACCGTCGGATACAGAGAATATATTCTTATTGATCATTTTTTGTACTACCGGAATTATGTTATTTTCGACCAACTTTTGCTGACTATCAAAAGTTTTCCTAGTATTTAATGCTTTGTCTTCCGGAAGTCGGTCCATAATTCGGCAATTTCGTTCTAATCGTAAGAATATCAACTGATTAGCAAACAATCTGGGGAATTAAACTGAACTAAAAAAAAAATAATTACTCTTAAAGCAGTCTTTAGATCCCGATCCATTTTCTCGTAATGAAGAAATGATGAATTTGAGGATGAAAATGAGGAGGATGGGGATTGAGATGGAGATGGAGATGGGGATGAGGATGACGATGATGATGACGATGACGATGAGGATGGAGGCAGAGCACTTTTTGATGATCTGGCAACTCCATATTCTTTTGATGATCTGGCAATTCCATAAGCTTGGATATATCGGTTCTTTTTCGGTGATCGGGATACGTATTGGCTCTTTTCTAAAGAATCTGAGGTTTCTACTCCCGACCAGTTAATAATCATATCTTTCAGATTTGCTGCTTTTTGTTTACCTTTCGTTATTTTCTGGATCAACTGACTCAATTCTTCGACTTGCTCCTAGAACGCTAAAAAAGAAAAATTGTGATAAAATTGATAAAATTTGATAATCTTATAATATACTTATAATATATACATTAATAACATACCGGTTTGATCATTATCTCTCTCATCCTGTTGAATCGGATCATCGTCGTCATCGTCAACTAAGTCAATTACACCGGACTTTCGGCCTTTTTGGCCTTTCATTAGTTCTGATTGACGTCTTTTTGTTCGTTTTTCTTTATCGAGTACTTTAAATTCATAATTATTAGGTGATATAATAAATTTGGGCATGATTACATAAATATATCGAAATATACCAATATTTCTTTCTTCGTCTTCAACAAAGTTGATTAAAGTGGGCTTTTGTCTTTTCGTTGGTTTAATATTAGATATCGATCGCTAATAAATCGAGAAATTAAAGAATCTGATGAAAATCAAATAAATTAAATTACTGTTGTTTGTCCATTTGTTTCTTTGGAACCGTTTTATTGGTCTTTCGCACTTTAGCTTCAGGTTTTTCGCTATCGGAGAATTCTATATCCAAGTGGTACCGTTTTCCAGATTTTTTCTTCTTTTCATGTTTTTCATGTTTTTTATGTTTTTTAGTCATATTTAATTATAATATTTCAGTAAGAATATGTTTCAGTAAATTTACGGATAGAAAGATATAGGGTTATGTTACAAAAATCGGTAACAAACGAGAAGAAAAAGTCGAGTCTAAATTAGCTCATATATATATTCCCGATAGTTTATTTTAGCTTAAATAGACTGATTTAATTAACTGTTACTATTGATATATTTAAAAATAAAAATAAACTGATTTAATTAACCGTTGCAATTAATATTAAAAATAGTAGCGATAGTGATTTTCTCGCAATTTCTCCGATTTATACGTTCATACGATTAATTGATACATAAAATTCATTTGTTCAATCATAATTGATATTATTATTTTTTAATTAATTGCAATAAGATAACTGATTGATATATTATTTTTAAGAATTTATTTAATCAACTAAATGAAATAAGCTAACTGATTGATATGGAAATTTTAAGTATTTATTTAATCAACTAAATGAAATAAATTAATTGATTGATATGGAAATTTTAAGAATTTATTTAATCAACTAAATGAAATAAATTAATTGATTGATATGGAAATTTTAAGAATTTATTTAATCAACTAAATGAAATAAGTTAACTGATTGAGAACTAATTACGATAAATTTTATAAACAAACTTCAAAGTTATTAAATCAGGTTATTTAAATTTAAAATAAAATTGGGTTGGTAAATATTTATATCAAACCAAATATGCCAAGACCAA